GCCGAACTTCCCCCCCCCCCCCCCAAGTCTCCAAAAGCAGCTCGTTTAGGTGCTAAACTTGTTGCCATAGCATAAGGCACCACGAAGGTCACCTTCCACAAATGGTAGTTGCCTGGAGGCATAGAATTTTTTGGCCCGAATTGGTATTCCGAAAATATGTCAAAAAAAACTCGCCTCTCCCGCCCTTTTGGCCTTGAGCCAAATACTGGAAGGCGTGTTTTGTTAAAAGAAAGAGCCTGAATTCTGCCTAGTCTGCATAAAACCCCTTCCAGCTGTGCACAATCATCCCCTCAGCGGAGCTGATGATCACCCCGCCCCTATTCTCTCACTTCTCCACTAGCCTAATGATACCGTGCTATGCATATTAATTGCCTCAATGGCGTTTGCGGCCCTTAAAAAAATGTCAATCTGAGGGAATGGATGTTGAACCATGAAGCATTGCGGTGTGTCCACCGAGTGCGTAGAAGGGTTCTTCCCATGTGCCTTTTCACGAGAGATTGATCATGTGTTGAGTGCGGCTTAAAAAAACTGGAGAGAAAGCGGAGCCTGGGAGGGGCAACATCGTCACAGCCACGATCTCCACCGATGGATGGACAGACTACAAATTAGTGGAATTATTCTTCACCACTTTAATGCGCTGCGGTAAGAACCTTCTCAAAGAACGAGCAGATGCTGATGCTTCCTAACCTTCTCGAAATAAGGGTAGCTCGAAATGTTTTAGTAGTTGGTAAAATTAACTGCAGTTGGAGCTCAGTGGTCTTCGTGGTAAGGCAGTGGTGCATAGGAAAATAGTCCCGGTTTGGCGTGAGTTTCCTCGTGACTACCGTATTCGTTATTCGCTTCGGTGATCCAAAATGATTAAAACGTAGAGGCTGAGTGTTTAAAGATGGACTTACTCGTTAATGGGTTATGCTCACCTGACTTTACCCGTTTGTGCGTTTAGATGACGAAATGTGCATTTGGGTCAGTCGGACCATCCGATTAGCCCGGTCTGCTCAGAAAGAGAAAGACCGTACTCAAAGATCCTTCTTTTTCTTGCAAATCAAGAAATATGTGCAGGTTGTTGATGGGTAAAAATGGTGCAGCTTGAGCTCACTGTTTTGTGCATTGGGATAACAGTTATTTAAGTGGAAAGCGTGACAGAACACCGAGTCCCGGTTTGGCACGAACGCCCCCCGCAGCCGCCGTTTTCGCTCGAGTAAATTTGCCTTTGCTGTTAAGACTGCACAGTAATTCAAAATAAAGTTACTTGTTAACAAGTTATGTTTAACTGACGTCATCCGTCAGTGCTTCCAGCTGATAGAATGCGCATTCGGATCGGTCAGTCTGTCTTATTAGCCCGGTTTGCTCAAAAATGGCAGAGCTGTTTCAAGATCCTTCTTTCTCTTGTAAACCAAAAATATGCAGGCCAAATAAATTGTTGGAAATAGTGTAGTATGATCTTACTGTTTTGTATTACAGGGTTATAGTTATCTAAGCAAAATTCGAGACAGAATGGCGAGTCTCGGCTTGACACAAACACCTTCGTAACTACAGTTTTTACTCGATAAAATTCCCCTTGGTAATCAAGAATGATTGGAAGAAGGAAATTTAGGGGTCTAAGATGGACCTACTTGCTAACAGTTTGTGTTTACCCAACTCTGGGTGGCAGTGCTTTCAGCCGACAAAATGGGCATTTGGGTCAGCCTGTGGCTAGACTGGTACGGCCGAAAGCCGATTGGCCAGACTATAAATGTGGCTGAAAGGTTACTCGGAAATGCCCTGTAACGTATAGAAATAAAAAAGTGGATTTGTTTTGATGAAACACCTGTCGAAATGGCACGGCACAGTGTCGAAGGTTGCTGTTAGCCCAAATCGGTGTTGGGAACCCATAGCAAATATGCCGCCTCCTCCCTCTCCACTTCATCTTGAGCCAGAGGCTGAAGGATGGTGCTTGGTCAGGCGGTGGAGGCGTGATTCCACCTGGTCTGGAGGAAATCTCACTCCAGGCTTGCAATCATACCTTCACCGAGTCTGGTAATCGGCCTCCTTTCTCATTTCCCCTCACCAATGGACTAACACTGCAAAAGTGCGTCATAGGCGTCCGCGTTCCTTCTGGCCGAATAGACAATGACGCTGATGTGTGCATGCCCACGGCTCAAGGTGCCAGTTGTGGTCGCGGAATTTCATATAAACAATTGTGCCCTTTTCCGTGGGGGGGAAGGGCGGGGGCTATGAGGTATCACAAGTACACCACTTGATGGAGAAAGAAGAAGGGGTAAGAAGTACATGTCATTTCTTGTGTAGAAAATACGATTTCTGTACAGGAAAAATTGCAGACATGAGATGTGGAACTTGATGGATGGGTGCGAATTTAACAGAATATGGGGAAGAGGGGGGAGGGGGCGGAAGGTGGGCGAGATCTCCTCGCCTGGGGAGCATGATGGTTGGGGGGTGGAGGAAGGGGTGTGCAATGGCTATAGCAAAAAGAGCGTATGAAGCGATTTTAAACCCTTGAACTTATAAATAACCTCTTGGAATGGGGGGGCGAGAGGGTGGGGTGGGGATGCAAGCGAAGGAAAGGGGGGAAGAGGGAAGGATGCCTGTGTACTGAAGTTGTCGTGACGTGTACATATAACGGTATGTATATATATTTGACCGCGAAATTGGGCTTATCCACTTGTCTCCCCCTCCTCCTCCGTGACTGGATTCCTGTTATTCGCCTTGAGGGACTTTGAATGGAGAGCCCGATACCAGGCCTCATATTCTGAACTAAAAGTTAGAAAAAAAACAAAACACATAAGCACATTCCTCTCACCAATATTTGAGAATTAGCTTCCGATTGTCCCTGTAATGCTCGGTTTTAGTAGGGGGCCGCTTAGGGCGCCGCCATTTTTACCCCCCTACCGGGCGGATTGGCCTCCGGGCCACGCCGGTGACTCCTCCCACTCCTCTGAAGGTCGCCCATTCACGTTCTGCCCCAGCGGTGCGTCTTCTCGCACCTTTAGGGAAGTGGCGGGGCGCTGCAGTCGCCTGCATCACAATGTCCGGTAGCCTTGATTGTTTTAATCATCTGTTATGGATAATTTTTCCGCGAATTCGCGTGTTTATATCCGCCCAAAAGGCATTTTAATAAAAAAATTTCAGGACTTCATTGGCGGCAAAAAGACCATCTTTTCAGAATGAAAGGCCAGTCCCCCCCATATACAGATGGGAGAGGAGGCTATTGGGATATTATCAAGCCAGAAGTAAAATTTTGGACGAGCTAAAATGTAAAACCTTCTTCCTCCTCCTTACAGGTCATGGAACCTCCTCAATGCGGGGCGAACGAGAGGAGTGTCGCTGCACCTCCTCGCCGTTGGAATTGTTTAGTGGTGGAGGTGTTGGCATGCTGTGTGCTCCGCAGTAACGCGAGATCTCAAGTCGCCACGGCTTGTGCACGTGTCCCAGTGGTTTTGGCCTGCCCGCGCACGGTCTCTCCCAGCCCCTCGGTAAGGTGGTGTTAAGTCTTTTTTTTACCTGCGACTCCAGTGAAGCCTCGGTACGCTTTTATTGTTGGCAATGCGAAGCAAACACAACAACAGTCCTTCCCTGCCTGTAGCCATCAGCAGGTTTTACTGTCACCTAAGGGGGATATCCACCGGGAAAAGATGAAATCTGTGGTGACTGCCTTAAGGAGGGCTGTAATGGCACCTGATAGTGGCAAATCTCCCACTTTGTGCCCTACACGGTAACTGGTATTGAAGGGAGACCCACTTCTCGTAGAAACCGCATCGTAGGGTGTGATGCTCCCTCCCTCATGCGCCTTTTAGGCAAGTGCCACTAAGAAAAAAACTGAAAAAACATTGTCCATTCCCTAGCGCCGGATACATCCGTGATATGACTTGCATTTCAAAAAAGGATGTGATGTTTGGAAGTCACGAGCGGGTCGACAGAATGCAGTACCACTAATACAGTGTCCCATTACCGGTTGCAATCTACACAAAAACTGGGGAGAATGACACTGCTGTGCGCTTAACTGCCCCGGCTCCCAGTCCCCAGGTTTTGTACTTCGTGCCCTACAGCATGGCCTTTTAGCCGAAGCTTTTAGTCCCCTTTCCTTCCCACCCCACCCCACTCCCCCTCCACTTTACCACCACCTCTGTAGGAAGGGGAATAATAAACTGTTTTCCCTCGTTGATGCACCCTATTACGGGTTCGGAGGAAAACTTGAAAAACGCGGCAAATGTTTATGCGAGGTTGACTCCAGGTGTTATAAAGTAATCCGAAAAGTGAGTAAAAATACCCAAGAATTAGTTGAATAAATTGCTTCATTTTTCACCCTCCAGGGTGGGGCGTGAATGGAAATGGACTTTACGGCTACAATTCGGTATTTTTAGTTTTAGTTCCATAAAAATGCAACTTTTAGTCGGAGATTCTTGCTTTTTCACCTTCAATTGGATTTTTATCATTTTCACGGAATTGACGATTGGTCACATCCAGCTTTGATTTTACGTGGGCGTGCGCACCTGGGCCTGGTCGGGGTGGAGCAGAGTGTGAAAGTAGCAAAACTGTCCGCGTAGCTTTCTTGCACATTGCATTTTGCTACATTCAGTCCAAATGAGCGAGCAACATTTTTTGGTCTGTTTCTGGTCCACTTTCCTAGGTTCATCCTGTTTACCCAACTTAGTTCTTTCGAAGAAAAGAAGTAAAATAGTAATACTTTGGTTGCTTCTTTAACTCTGCACTTTGATTACGCGGGCAATTAAGGCTCCGCCGTTGTACTTCCGCCGGTAAAGTGCCCTCCGCCATACTCCTATGACTCCTCTCTCAGCTCTAAAATAGACTCGGAGCACTGCAACCACTTTAATGTCAAAATATAAAACTGCCTTAATTTTAGCCGAAGCAGGCACTCACTTTGAACCATGAATAGTATTTGTTTTTTGCCGTTTTAGAACGAAGCGCCTTATTCGAACCACTTCCCCCTCCAGGATTCAAGGCATTGGCAATTAATATAGTCGAGCTATTGCGTAGAACAGCATGATTCTGCTTCCACCTCATTTTATCGTTTTCAGCAAAGTTTGCACCTCCTTTTAAAGAAGGGAGATCGGAATGTTTGCGTATCATTGTGAGTTTTTCGCCAATTTTTGCACTTTTTCCATCAAATCAAGTGGTCAAGTTTCTTTCCTTAACCCCAATGATGTGCTTAACGGACACTGTGCCAGAACATTTCCATAATCTCTCTTTAACCTTCGGGGAGGGGAGGCGCGGCACCCACCATGCGCAGAGAGGTGTAAGCGTGACAGCAGATCTAGCCTGCGGTCCATTCACGGGCCTCGAATTTGCATAGAGGTCCTTCAAATGGTCCAAATCTAATATCTGTGCGAAAGTCAAGTGCCACGATGCTACAAATCACATTTGATCGTACTTATGCAAGAAAGTGGAATTAGAATTACAGGTACATCACCTCTAGGCGTAGCTTGGATTGCCAAACGAACTAAAAAGTGATGAAGAAACTAACCGTTTCAAACGCATTAGAGTGAGGCATTAATTTCCTTTCCTACCATTCAGTGGACCGAATTAGTTGGACAAAAAGTTTGTTTTTATTTGCGGTTTTCAGTATAGTTCACTGCAATGGTTTTAGTTAATATAGGTATGATGACGACTGACGGGCCATCGGTACTCCAGCCCTTACTGTGCCTCTAAAGTCGGGACGCACTCGGACATGAACAAAAAAAAACTTTTTCTAGAAAAGATTCAAGACTAGTCAATCAGTCGGAAGAGAGTTCTTCACTCAAGATTTCACATCGAAGCCAAATTTATGCATGGGGAAAGATGCCGCCTCAGCCTCACCTCCCTCCCGCCCTCCGTATTCCCCTGACGCCTATCCACCAAATGATTTACGTCTAATTCTTTTTTGACATTACACAATTTGATCATACACAAAGAGAATAGACGTTTATAAAATAAAAATGAGATAGAAGTGGAGGTGACTATAGGCATGTGAATCGCGAGTTTGTCTCTTCGGAAAGGAGAAGGAGGATGACAAACCAAGGCGGTAATTACTTCAGCAACCAGACACGATTAAACGAAATTGTTTTCATGTGATACTCTCTGTAACAGCATTGATGGATTCTACGAAAGCATGGTTAGCTTACAAACTGGAAAAGCATTGTTCCTCTTTTATCCTACAAGTCCATTCATGACATGTTCCTGCGAGACTCATGCTTAACTGAATTCTTTGACTTGTGCTGTCAGAATTGTCACTGCCAATATTACCGTTTCCCTTCACCTGTTCCCCAAGTTCTACGTGATCCAAAGGAACGTCTAAATATCAAAGTCCAGTTTTTGCTTTTTACTTAAGGAAGAAGAAATTCTACCCATAAAGTCAAGGTTTAGATAAAAATTTTCACTTTAAAATTTTCAAGTCTGTTAGAACTGTCACAATGTCAAATGCGACATCATTTTGCAGTGTCTGCTAAAGAATATCTTTTTTTGCGTGGAAAAGTTTAAGCGTACGAGACAACCTATTAAGATTATGATAAGGCAAGTCAACATCCAGGCAATCGTTTCTAATGGAACAAAAAAGAATAAAAATCCTACAACAATGCCTAGCATTAAGCAAAATTCTGTTGGTAAAAAAAGAAGGTTTGGGGATTGATGAATCACAAAATGAATTGTGTTTGACTTATTTCAAACTATGATAATGTTTGTATCTGTTATTGCGGACCACACGCCTAGACTTTTGCGTCTGAGTCTGCACGTCACGAATATGTGACATTTTATTATGACTCGAAGAGAAAGTTGAGAATGTTAGTTTTCCCTTGAGACCCTGTTGAAGAGTGTGCTGTTTGCATACATCAGTGTGTTCAAACCCAAGCTATGTGTAAAACAACAATAAATTAAGTGAGCAATCAAACCTGTTATTAGTAGTGAAACAGAACTCCGTGCAGCATCCACTTTGACTCTCAGTCAAGCAGACGTAGAGGAGAAGTGGAAGATCCCGGTTAATTGTGGATGATGGTGGTGTATAGGAGGCTCTAGTTGGGACCGATTTCGAGCTGAGGCTGCTTCCAGAGCGTCTCAAACGCACCGAGGAGAGACGGGAAGGGGAGAGAGGAGGTGATGCAGGTGACCCAGCACCGCAAACCTCTATGTTGCTCGAATCTGATGAGGCGGAACTCAAGGAGTAACCTGCTGGAGGAGAAGGGTGTGCCGGTACCTCGGTGCCGGTACTGAAGAGGGCTTCAGGCACCTCCGGTGTTGTGGTGTAATGACGTGGACCACCCTTGAAACCGAGGATATTTGCGCTGGGTCGTTTCTGTCGTTTCGTAATTCCACTGAAACCGCCACAATTGTTGATAGTCAGCGCTTGGGAACGAGGAACTGAACCCATAATGGGATTTAGGGTCGCTTCACTGGGGTTGCCTATAGTTACGTACACCTTGTCACGCGGACAATAGTCTTGTACCAAGTAGCGGTCGTTCCTGAAAAGGAAAAAAATTCCTTTTTTACTTTGTTTACGATATCCTACAATAGTCTTCTTTAGTAGAATCTCGAGATAGGAGAAAAATTTTTCTGAGTGCACTTTGGAGGGAGAAAAAAAAAACTTGTCGAGGGCTATTTTGATGATGTCATTTTCATAACTCCCGTTCTTTTCAGCATGCTGAGGAATGCAGCTTGGCAAAAGGGTGTTTCCCCCCTACTCTCCAGGCAAATTTTGTTCTGTTCAACATTCGCTGGGAAGATGCATCAGTAGTTACTTCTCATGGATCAAATTTTGACGAGGGAGGGATTTGTTAAACTTCACACGAAAAGGAGAAAGCTTCCTCCAAGAAAGCAGCGTAAATCCAGCATCTATGAATGCAGGACCAAAAGGCACCCTTTTTGTTCCTCATTTCACTATTTTAGTTATTGCTGGGCAAACAAAAGCACCTCTTAGCAAACCGCAAAAAGGACGTCCAACCTAGGGAAAACTTCAAAAAATGTGATTTTGAAGTTTGCGTGGTTAAAACATTCACTAGCGGCGCATTTTGCATGCAGCGTCCCAATTTTCTTGCATGCGACATATTTTTCTATGGCCCCTGGTCGCACCAATTTGTGTCGCCAAGGCGTCTACTTAAAAGCGAAACATCAAAATAAATTCAGAGTGTTAATAGTTTTGTTTACAATTGCACTTTGTTGACTTCGGAGGCTGGTGATGTGGGCAGCTGCGTAGCTCACGCGTTGGTGTCGCACGAAAGCCAACAAATACGCCGAGGTGTTGTGGTCAGTGCGCAAACTGGTTGGATGCTTTTATTTACAACCAAAAATTAATACAATTGAATTTTCACCAAAAAAGCTAAAAATATTCCATTTTGCAGAAATTGCAGTGCCGATTGCAATCCCGCCCGGCGGTATGACCTCCGGGCCGTGTCATAGTAGCCGCACAGTTCCTCCGAAAGACTCAGAGCGCTACTAAAATCTCATTCTACTTAGAATGGTGACGGAGTACCGTCGAAAAGAGATCCCGGAGTTCACTTTCCCATTTCCTCAGTGCGTGGGCTGAAGTCACAAAGTGGGTTCAAGGCTAAAACTTCCCAAGTCAAAAAGCAGCTGAATTGGGCAAGTATTTCTGTATTGCTTTGATTGTCTGTTTTGGCCTCTAGACCATGTCAGTAGCCCCCTTTTGCAGCCCTTCTTCACGTCAGCAATACTTGCTCCCCCTTGATACTACTTTTTGTGCGTCTCCAGGGCAGTCTCGGGGCGCTGCGTTGGTGGCAGCGGAAAGCGAACTCGACCCTAAAGTACAATTACCTTGATTTACATTGCTGCTAAGCCTTAACGTGACGAAAGAAAAAGAAGGACACATGCGGCAAATGAGGGAATTTGTGACGACTCCCAACAGAAGGATTATAAATGACGTCTGCCTTTGGCAACTACCCCAGTCCCGTGTTCTGCAGGAATGCTATTAACGACTGAAAAGACAACAGGTGTAAATCGGCCGAAAAAGTTCATTACGGAGCTGTCGACAGGATTTAAATAAAGATGTCGATTAAGTGAACACGCTATACCTCCTCCACCTCTCTAGCAGCTGGACAGAACCCAAGTAGGTAATGGCTGGGCAGCCCTGAGGTGGCAAGGGGAATAGACGCGACACCCTGTCCCCAACGGAACTGTGTTCAACCCTGTCCTTCGTTACATGACTTTTCTTTAGGTCAGCGTTCTTACGACTAGCGGTAAACATACGTGATGGCCAACACGGTTCCCATGGAGGACGAAACGCTACACCCAGTTGAATTCCCACCAGGGCTCAGTGTCTTCTCAGCTGCACGCAGATTCGATGGCGGCACCGACTATATCGTGATGGTTGACCAAGGTGGGTGCCGGGAAGGATGGTTAAGGGGGGAAGGGCAATACAGTATGGGATTGTTTGTTTAGTTCTGTACTTCCGAGCCATGCAATTTGCCCCTAAGCCTTTCTCTGCGTCGACAATGCATTTACTGTCCTAGCATTAGGTTTTCTTTCATAGTCAGAGAAGTCTCAAGGCGCTACAATATCATCGGTGAATGCGTTTTTCGTTTCTATAATTAGCCTATCAGACATCAAGTAAATTAAACTGTTTCACTGGTGCTAGAGAAACATATTAAACCCTTGAAATTAACAAGTAGTTTTTCACAGATTATTTAATCAAAGTCCAAAGAGCATTTCTCACCTGACTTTTTAAACGGTTTTAAGGTCTTTATTTGTTTTACTCGCTCGGAGTAATTAGTCTAGTATTTACGCAATGCTGTAGGCAGTTTAAAACTAGCCAGCCGTGGACCTCAAAGGGATCACCTCTTCACTGCCACCGATTATTTACACATTAGATGGTCTTTAAATCCTCCCTAATTATCAAAATAAGGTTATTTATGGACACGTTTAACTAGTATTATGCTCCCCAAAATAAAACACTTAGCCAAATTGCGAGGTGAGCAGTAAACTTCAAACGGGTCTAATTGAAGTGGAGCTAATAGCCTCCTGGACACCCGAGCCTCAAACGAGACGCGTCGGGCACCCATCGACTCAACACAGGCACCCTTGCATGCCCCAAGCCTCAAAGATTGACGGTTGTCCTTTTTAAGTAAAATTTCCGTGCAGATCCGGTAGTGCATAAATTCTACTTCCCTTGCAACATCTTTTAACCACCAGAAATGGCGTCCAACTAAAAGTACACGGTAGGGGGGAGGTGCAATACCAGGTATACCTGTTTTTCATTCTGTGGGAGGTACCCTGACTGCTTAAATGGGACAAGTAAAATTTTATGTGGTAGTTTAATGCTTCCGGCTGTTACCGCAGTCACCAGTGCAGGTATGTGACTTGTCATCAATTGGTGGGCATATTGTGACGTGGGTATTTGGATCTGGCCTTAGTACAACTCCAAAAACGCCTTTTTGTGTCATCAGGAAAGGTCTTTTTAGGGTCAAATCACACAAATGCGGTTTACTCACTTTTTTAACTTAGTGACCATGAGGAGATCGTGAAAGAGAATGAGATAAAATGTCTCGGGTTTCTTTCGTCCCAACTTCTTGAGCAAAACTGCTGCTTTCCCGTCCGAACTGGCCGATTTCAGCTCGCCCTCTTTTACTAGACGCTTGTCACTGATAGCGATTCTCTACAACATGGAAAGGTGGAAGAAGTGTGGATGGCAAAATTTAATTGAAAGACGTTTCCCTTCTTTCGCTTTAAATAAACCAAACATTGTAAGTCAACAGGACGCCAGATGGTTTATGGAAAACGATCCGCCTCTGGCATAAATGCCAGTAAGGTGTGGAAACATGGGGGGTGGATTGACTGACTGGAAATACGCTTCCCTAAAATACCTGTTGTTGCGAATAAAACTTTAGCTCCTTAAAACGTTTTTTCTACACCTAGGATCTTAATGAAAATATATTAAGGAAGTTGTAATTCTTGTTTGCTTTTTTTCAAAAAGCTAATTAGGTTACTTGATTAATTCTCTTCCCTGTGAGACTATCGTGTTTAATTAACCTGAAAGATCCGCGATGAAACCGTGCTTAGAAAATGAAGCGCAAAAATAAGCATCTCAGCTAATTATTCATTTAGCCATTGTTTCTGGTATTTAAAGCCACCTCTCTAAGTGGAGTAAAAATCGCATTTTTAAGTAGATAGGGGTAATTGGCGATCACTTCCAGTTCCCCTGAATGAAACGTGGAATTTTACGTAGCTCTAACAACCTCAGGTAGAATGCAAGCACAAGCAATCGGCACCTCCCCACCTTGACATTTTCCGGAAACTCCAGGGCCGAGGAGAGCGCCAGCAGTCGTGCCTTTTCGTCCATGAGTTGCTTTTCCGACTCGCTTTCCGACAGAAGCTGTAGATTTGTAGTTGTTTTTTTCAAAAAACAAAAAAGAAACACATGAAAGAATGGTAGATAAACACACGATCGTTTGACCAATGTTGGGGGCTTTTTGTTTCACCCCACCCCCACGGTTGTGTACATGTTATTCGTATTAAAGCCTTGCAAACACTTCCCCATGTACGGCTGAAGTGGTACCCATTTTGAAACGGATGTTTTTGAGCCCGTTCTATTTCGACACAAAAATGAGAGGAGGCTGCGAGAGGATTTTCTGGACACCGGAAGGTGCCGGTGTTTATTGAATCTCTTAAAACCGGTTGTTTTTTGCCATGAAAAAGCGGGAATCAGCTTTGTCCGATAAAAGGCAGAGACTTACATTTGAATAAGTCATTGGTGAGCCTAAACATTGCAGGATTTATAACTATAAGTAAATTTAGAAGTCTTCTTGCTGTGTTAAGAAAGAAAAGTCATGAAGGAAACAGTCTTCCCGCCTGTCTCAACTTTGGTCGCAAGGCATTCGACTTCTGCCGTGTGGTGAGTGACGATGCAAAATAGGCAACGCAGGAAGTGTCAAGGCGAAAGCTCAAAGCATGACGGAGGCTACGTTGAGTCAACTGAAAACTACCTGACGTGATGTCATACTATTTCTTCTGTGAAAAAAAGGGAATTTAAGAAGCCAAAGAATAAAACCCCATTTTGTTAATTCGTAAGCGAAATCAGTTGCCTTGTTGTGTGCTGGCTCCACCTCCACGCAAGAATAGGAAAGGAGGTAACAGGACCCGAATAAGACCGCCAGACATTTAATGCCACCTTGCCAATCGTCCGATTAGTGTCCATTATATGCCCCCAAGACAACAACAGCACCGCCAACAGACTGTTACATGCTTTGTTACTTTTAAATCGACCTGATAAATAACAAAAAATAAAACAAAATAAAAGTTCGCCTTTTATAGTTGTGGCAGAAACTAAAATCAGTAAAATTTGAAAGAGTTTTGCAAGAAGGACTTGTCAATTTGGAACCAGAAATACCCGGAGGATATGGACTGCTTAGGAGTAACTTAAAAAACGTAGAAGTCACAAAAAATGCCACAAAATTCTCAACAAATATTCACTAATAAGAGATGTGCATAATTATAATCTGGGAAAAGATGTCGAAAGCAGATGACCTATGATAACTTAAAAGTGGAGCACTTCCACCCAATAGTACAGCGAATTCGTCTCCGAAAAGATTAGAATCGTGCGGTTCTCTAAGACTGTGCCTTGGCAGAAGGCAGTATTTGATCCCACAGGCAAAGGGGATGATTCGAAGCTCACCCGTTTGAGTTCTCTCAAAGCAATACTAGAATTCTCCAACTGCTGTGGCGTAATTTTCATTCTGCGAGAGCCCTCACATTCGCCTGGCGTCATTGTCTCCGTTGAACCAGTCACTACGTCCTCCTCGGAGTCACTGATCACTGCCATTTGCAGTTTTTGAATCACCTCCACGAGCAACTTTAGCCGCGTTAACCTTTGCATCGGGAGAGCTAAGAAGGAGTCCAGTCGATTCTTTCCAACCTCTGGATGAGCGTGCATTCTGGCAATGGCCTTCTGAAAGTCTTCACGACGACTGTGAGAAGTGGAAAAAGCGATGACAGTAGCGCTATCATTTCAAGCTGTCGCGTTTTTTGCGGTTAGTTATTAAATTTAATTACCCAACTGGCTGGATTTTTACTGTGAAAAGTGGTAAGGGTTAAACTAACTCTGCATTGTTTACCAAAAACAAGGTCGAGTCTTTGTTTAAAACGAGTCAATCCTACAAATCGCAGTGCTGAAACTGGGAGCTCATGTGCCACTTTGTTTTCAAAGAGGAACGACTTTTTTTCCCAGAATGAAACAAGGACCTTTTTTTCAACACAAATAATAGAAAAACCTCAAATGAATCATCTTTTATTTGAAATTAGGTTATTTTTTCGTTTCATTCCAAATGCCTTCCTTGTGAGCTGATTAGAAGAAGTATTTTTTTTATCAAAACAAAGTTTCAGTTTGGTTTCGACGTCCATAAAATAAAAAAGACGGCTTTTATTTCTCTTTATAGGGTGTTAGCGGAATCTTTCATCAAAAATTTGTCTCAACTTTATGAAAAAGGCATGAAGTGTTTGATGTAACTCGATGCAATGTTCTCTTATTGTTGGCATGGCTACTAGCAGTGTTGCGACCCCCAGCATTTCCACTCTATCACCTTAACCGCATGTGGAGTGCAGGCGCATTTGCTTTACAAACCGAGGTTACCTCGGCTGCGTAAGCCAGCTTCTTGTCATATCCGTCGTCGTACAGCCTTTGAAGGTAGTGCGGCAGCAAAACAGGCCACCCAGAAGTAGCTTAGGCTATGATTAACCATTTCTCTCGATGTATTATTTGAATAGGGGGACGGGGAAATTGTTTTGAAAGAGGTCCACTCTCGTTGAACCGTAGCGAAGATAAGGCCATGCACATTGCATTATCTGCTGCCCATAATGTACTTCCGGTCAGGCTTAATTGCTTTCCCCTTTTAATAACGCCTGTAGAAATGTTTCCAATCCTTCTGCAATCCCCATCCCTTAAGTATAGCCCCCTAATGGTCAAACTAGAAGTTTCAAAATAAAAATGACTTTTCCAATCTAAATAAAGCAGATGCTACTTTCTATACATATCCCTAGTCCTGGAAAAAGACATGAAGGTACAAATAAAGAGACCTTTCAGCAAAGGTGGTTCAAGCAGCTTTTTACACAGGGGAAATACAAATCATCCGGGACGTTAAACTCCCGATAAGCGTACTTGGACATAAAAAACAAGCGGACTTTAAGTTACGGAAAAAGAGCAAACACTTCTTTCTTGGTTAAAGGGCTTACTTAAGTCGTCGATAGGCAGCAACTTGGTAGGTTTGGTTGCGTAGGTACGTAAGATAAGGTTCAAATTGTACACTTCCTGCATGCTTGACTATGAGATCGGAGACTTCACTTAGCAGGGGCTTTTGTGAGGACCATCTGGCTTCCAAGTCTTTGAGAAATCTAATTTTCGATTACAACAAAATGCAACACTTTATTTGGCTTTAAAAGCAAAATGAATTAATTGCCTACACTACACACCCATTTGATTGCTTGATTAAATTTTCATTCATTTATAACATAAAAGCTGATTTTTTTTCGCAGGCAAAGAGGCCCACTGAAAACATTCCACGCAAAGCAAATAAAAATCTAATCGTTATGATGACAAGATTCCCTGTTTGCTTCTCCCCTGCCTCCTGTAATAGTCGATCGGTTAAAGTGTTGATTTGTTGCCTCCAGTGCGACATAACTTAGTTGTGACACCTTCAAAATAAAATTTAATATTTAACGATGACAAATTCCCCAAGGGTGCTTCGGTGAAAGCATCAACTTTGAATTTTTTATGGCTTTGGCGTACATTGCTGATTGCGGATAATTTGCCTCTTTTTTGATTTGGCTCCCTCTGGTTTTAGATTTCCCTACAGACGTTTGATGCAGCTGTTGCTATTGAGTAACTTGAGGTTAACTGAAATTTTAAAAAAGAATTTCAAAAATACTTCTTTTAATCCGTCTTCATAAAAATTCCTCTGAAATGGAGTACGTAGGGCCTACTGGCATGGTGAACGATAATAAGGCGAGATCTGGCCCACCAAGCTATCCTAACTCCATGTGATATATTACTGATAAATTCCAAATATTCATTAGTAGTATACTGCAAATATACGACTCTTCAAAGTAGAATACCGATTTGAGAATACGTAATGAGGAAGTTTCAACTCCTGGTTGCCTAACCTTGACTCTGAGGTTATGCGCCTTATTCAAAAAGTACAAAACTTCCCGATCTTAACAAAAAAATATTTAAAAGTGCTAGCAGCTCGAGAGTTTTAAAAATTTACAAGCTGCACGTGTGAGGTCTGGAAGGTCACCGAGAGCTGCGAAGTAAGTTAGCGTCGTTTTATATCTCACGAAACATCACATTCAATTAAACGCAGCGTCGAAGATCACTGCTAAATTTTAATCCAAATAAATGATGCGGTGGGTCACTGTTGAAATTAAGGAGAGCTTCGATTTTATTCAAAATGGGAGTTTAGGGACAACTTGATTTCTCCCAAGTTTGTATCGAGTAGGCTGGCTCAGATTGAGTAAACAAAGTCTCCAAATATTTAAATGTTCAAGTATCTCCTGCGTGTAGCAAAAGCAAAGAAAAACCTCCTCATTACTTATACGAATAAACCAGTCGATGGGGAAACAATTTTGTGCATAGAAACCTCCCCTAGCTTGGTGGAAAATCCCGCTATCTAGGTGAAAGCAGTAATAAAATCGGTTTCAGGTGACGCTTCCCATATAAGGCCTCTCTTTTGATTTGGAAAAAAAAATTGCCGAATTGTTAAAAATTATGCCCATATCTAAAGGCAATGAACGAAGGTTTAAACTTAGACAACTTGTCATTTATTAGATCGCTTTGATGTTAAAATGCTACCCAATGAACCAGAAGCGGGATGCATACTCTGTTACTTTTCTTCTCATCGAAGTTTCTTGTAAAAATATAAGAAAAGTTGTTGGAAATGCATAAAACTTAACAATTAACCTTCCTGTCAAGAGTTCAGAAGAAAGTCGAACACAAAAAATCCGAGTTTTCTTTATTCTACCATCATGACACAATCACTAAAAACAATGGACTAACCAATTCAACACGTCTTCAAATACCAGAAAATGTGCAGTGGTTCTCCTCAAAAGGACATTTCTTGCCTTATCTTATTGTTTTAAACGGTACGGTGCAACTATTCACCATAAACGGCCAAAAAGCAAATGCCACACGTATGTGGCGTTGATGGAAAACATTTGAGAGACCTACTTTCTAAGTGTCGAAAATTCATCCCCATAACTGACCTCTCGCTAGCCATACAAATGAGCAGAACATTTGAGAAAAGGTGATGTTTCTCCGTCGGACTGAGAACCGACTTCATGACGGGAACGGCTGTAGCCTCCATGGACGTCGAAACCGACCCTGCTCTGCTGTATCCACCCAAGCCGGAGGATGGACAAGATGTTCTTCCCTCATTACCCTGAGCGGGAGTATTATCATTATCGTTTTCTGCACCACTGCTAGGAACCTCCATACTGGTCGGCGCTGATCGAGAACAGTCGAATTCGGGTGCACTATAGAAGTGTTCTATCAGGACTTGAAGGCTTCGGTAGTAGGAGGCCTCCGATGTTATCACTTCAAACATGGCCTGAAGATGGGCGAAAAGAAGTAGTATTGGCAGAGAATTCAAGCACTGAATAGAGGCGCAAACCTCTCCCCAGATTTATCCATGCATGCACAGGCGTTACTTCTTTCCACGAATTTACTCACAACCGCAGGGTTGAATAATTTATAACTCCATTTCACTTATTCAGTCAAGTAATTTTCGAAGCGAAGGGGAAAAATTTACCAACCTTAAGCGGTCAAGGAACAAACAACGGCCTGAATGGGATGTAGACTTAATGGTTTGATTTGCGATCCCCAAGACAACACGAAGAACAAGTTCATTATGGAAAAAAGGCGGGCTATCACCTCATTCTCTTTTTGCCTCTATCAATAGGGCACTACTAATTCATTTCTCTTATAGAGGTGTCCTTAGGCTCGTGCAAAATCACGTCTTTGCAAGGTGAACTTTCAAGTCACCTTGTAGTATCTAATTAATTTTTTCCATGCTAATAATTAGTTCACAGTTTTCGCAATTCTTTTGACATTTTCCGCCCATCTTCCACCCTCCGAAAGATGGAAGAGGTGTTTAGTCAAATCAAAGTGTTGAATGTGTAAGTCTAGAGCATCTGTATGGGGAAAAAACTATTCGTCTTCCATGTGGGATAGGTTATTTGGAAGGCGCTTCACTCACCTCCTGAAGTTGGATTTCATGCCGTGTTAGCGACGCGACGAGATTTCCAGACAGTACCTAGAGAGTTGACAGGGAAGAAATAAACAGAGGCATGGAGCTTTGATGTAGTATTGCAATGAATGAATAGTTAATGGGGACTTATAAGCCTCCAGTCGGGGCTTGTCACCTCTCTCTCTCCCGCTTTCCCAACTACTGACAGCGAAGCTAAGTAAGCATTCGTTATTTACTCTGTGTAGAGAGTAAATAGTGAATGTCTAGCGGCATCCGAAGGAGTTAGGGTGGAGGCGAAGGCTGGTGCTACCCCACTTCTGCCGTAACGCCTGTTTGGAAGTTATTTGCAAAGGAACGGGAATTGATTCTGCCATCTGACGCAGGCATAACATGAAGTAGGTCGGGAAAATTCGACATTAGTCAAGGTCTAACAGAGAGTCGGAAGTAAGTTCACGTTCTGAAAGGCTTTTTTGCCAAAAAGGCACTAAATTTGACGATTTGGAAAGACGAATTTGCTATTAACTAGAAGGCAGTATCTAAAGAGGGCATAAAGCTACAATTTCATAGCAGAGGAGAAAGTGATTGTTCCAACAGAAAAGCACTGGTAACTTCTGGCCCTTGTCGTTATGGTACAGTCTCTATGGTATGCCGGAGTGATGAACCGCACAAATATGGATGTACAACAGGCGTTGTGACCCTCTTCTAATCGCCATCTTGAGAAACAAACCTCCTCCCCTCTCGGGTTCCCACTGACACCTTAAATAAGTAAAGGTTAACTTGTCAAGAGCTAATTTTAGTAATGTCCTGTGTGGGTGGTAAGGAAATACCTGGTCTACATTCACATTAAATGAAGAAATTTTGTATCTTGTGAGTGAAAGTGGGTGTCAACAGCTTCAGAGACTAAAACAATATATTTTTCCACACTTCTATGCTACAAAAGCGCACTGTTTTGGGACTGTTTACTGGCTGACACCGGTTGGTGATAAAGCATGGTTTTTGTACTCCAACATTTTCGTCGATGGGAGCAAACACAGCCTCGGTTTCTCGTATCCAGCACACCCATTACCCACCTCACACTCGTAAAGCACCACCTCACCCCCGGCGGCCAGGCGTTGAGTGTGTGTGGTGGAATGCGAACATCTTTTTTGCCAGGAAGTGTACCCTTACAACTGGATCTTGGCACAACCCAAAGGTGTATAAGAAAAACTTTTTTTCTTAAAAAAAGTTACGACTAGTAGAGCATTCAGAAGAAGCACGTATTTTTTATTTTTATGGGACAACGCAAAGCACAACCTCGTGAAGAGACCCTTATACCTCATTTTGATTGGGAGGGGGGGCGGAATACTACCTTGTCCTCATCCTCCCCATTCCCCTAATGTTTCTCTAAGTGGCCACTGTCCTGTCCTGACACTAGGAAAGTATGGAAATAAAAGTGGAATGCAAATATGTTTTCGTGCGTGTGGTCATTTAATGGAAAAACCTGTTTTGGTATCTTTTATTAACAAATTTTTGTCAACCAAAATTATTATGAACAAGCACTTTCTTCGTACGTAGACAAATACTTGATGGCATCTTCTGTCGTGTGTTATTTTAGTGTCAAACAAAATTGTGAAGTTTAATTAACAATTTTCTTGGAATATTAAATACAAAAAATGAAAAAAAAGATAGTAACTTTTCCTTTTCACATCATAATGCTGACTATTTAGGGTTATTTTTTCCAAAAATTAAACACTGGGTTCATGTGTCAGGCTTGTGCCGTTGCTGCTGCGGTTACCGCCAATGTCAAATGCACGGAGAACTTTCAAGTGACAACTTCGTAATATGTATCTTTAATTAAGCCACAGAAGTTTTTTTAAGTCTGATGGTTATTTTTATGTATGTGAGGGCGCAAAGTGAACACGCATTGTAAAGTGAATTGCGCCCGGGTAAAGTAGAGCCTTGAATGCGTTTTCTTTTAGCGTGCTCCTTCATTTCCTTGCATGTCACAAATATGTGACAGGATTTCCTGCCCACTTCGTCATAATTACAGTAGGCAATATAATGTTCCAAAGAGAGGTGAGTTGAGTTTTTAAAAAGGAAATTGGATACATGGTAGTCTTTAAGGGGGAAATGGATGCCCTCTCTGGCAATTAGGCAGGAGATGGATTGATCAGTTCTATAACACAAGTGGAGATGTTATCTGTTCTCCTCTAAGACAATTTGTCGTAAGAGATCGGCTTCAGACCCATTTTGACTTTAGAATATGGGGTTTTACTATAGCAAGGACATCGACGGGTCCACAAAGGGTAAGTCTCATTCCTTTAAAATGATTCAAGTCGTTTCTTTTCATTCAAAGGAGGCCTGTGGCCTTCTTTCAGTTGTTGCTTACATCAACCCATTCGATGTCAGACTTCACCTTTTCTGGCGTCATAACATGTATGGCATGCCTAAGTGACGCACGATGCGTGTGTGTGGGTGTGTTTTTATCGCATCTTAACGAGAGCGGTGACATTTTGCCGTCCCTACCTCGGGCATCTCGGACCAGGCAATCCGACAGGGTCCTGTTTTCGTGGCTAGTTGGTTGAGAATTTGGTGTTTGTAGCCAACTGTCTCCGTCTCGGTCTCTCCCACTGCTGCCGCGGCGGCGTCCAACGCGCCAGCGCCCTCGCTGATTGATGGAACTGAGGCCTTGCGACTGGTTTCCTGCAACAATACAAACATGTATGAAGGTCATAAAAACAGCACCTGTCTCAGTGATGTCATCCTTTTACACCTTCTTTGAACTCGATACAAGTGCAGACGTCTTCAAGACAGGGTCATGTGAATTCGGAGGGTACATTTGAATTTTTAGAAATGATATTAACTGCCCCGACTTTGGGGGGCGAGAAAAACATTTACTTTTCTATACGAAGGAATTTTTGGTGGATGGAACTATTTGGGATTTTAATTTACAAAAGAAGTGGTTCATCAGTCGCCCGTGCACAATTCCCTCCTACCAGCAGCCACTTGGGTATTCCCGATTGTATCTCAAGGCATGCCTCGGAGAGGTGCGCAACACTTCTTTTCAAAGTGCCTTCCATTTTCCACCTTGACAGACACATTTTTGTCGGCATTGCATAGAAGCGGTGACCGATGTATGGTGAAATTACCTCGTCTATGGCATTAGATTGTAGCTCCGGTCAAACTTTAAGTGCCGGTCGTAAAACATAGCATGCTTTTTAATCATTTAATGTTTCAAAAGGTCGAAATAGAACCGGCCCATGCTAGTAGAGCACATACGTAGTGGTATGAAGATTACCGACTCCGCCATTTATATTCACCAGGTAAGTCGGCATAATTCGGAGTGAAGGACTCAAACTTCCCAAACTTATGCTAATTTATTCAAAGAAAGCTAACAAGAAATCGAGCTGCTTGAGCATACAACTGTTTTTGTGAAGAAAACAACTCAGTCCTAATGCGTGTTTTTTTACCGATCAAACCGTTGTTTATCTATTAAAATAATTTATTTCCAATTCTACGCTTTCATAGTAGCAGACCTCTTTGAAAAAACATATTAATGGAAAATGGCTTCAGTTACCAAGTAACCCAATTATTTCCCAACAAACTGCTTAAGATACTACTTAGTTGAGTTGGTGATACAGTAGATGGATCAGGGGCAGTTTTTCCGGAGGGAGGGAGAGGGGAGAAGTAAAGCGCTCCTCGAATCCGTTTTCGGTGTGCACCAAAATTTTAAATCTATTCCGTACTTAGGCCATAATTTGCCACCTGAATTCGCACCCAACATGCAGCCCACCAATGTAGGTTGTGAACTTCCTCTAGGTCTTAATGACACCGCGACGAACACATTTCGGGACCTTGACCTCAGGCAAAATGTTTAACCACCAACGCCACTAATACCCTTTTAGGCGACCCCAAGCCAACAGCTGGTAAATTTCAATCGGAGCACCTTTTTCCTTCCCCAAAAAAGATGCCAATTTTTGGAGCACTATGACGTTACATCGCCCCTAAATGTCATCTAATCCATCGTATTCAGAAGCGGATAAATAAGGTCTTAGTTTACTTGTGAAAAAAAAAATCATACAGGCAGTGTGATAGACGCGTAATTAGCCAGGAGACATTTTGACAGCAGATTAAACTGCAAACAAAGCGACAATGAATCACCGCGATGTCAATTACCTCTGGTCTGGATGATAAACATCTATATGTTAAAACACTGCCTTTTTTAAACAGCTTCTATACAAATGGAACTAATAAAGACGTATTATGTCGTGCAACAGTGTCAACAAAACCGAACTGCGATCGGAGGAGGTGTGCCTAAACAGTCGAGACTGCTATCTGTTGGCATCGGGCAAGGCCTTTGAGCCAGCGGCTCTGCCGCGCCGTCAAATCTCTCCAGCTACTTTGCCTTGACATTGATGGAACGACAATATGCGAGGTTTTGCCTACATTTGATGCCTGGGCATAAGGAAAGTAATTCTGCTGAGACTGATGGAAAGCCTCTTTTTTGCAGAAAAGCATAAATACGTAATACCAATGTCTTCAATGGTGCCTTAGAGTTACCTATAATTATTGCTTAATCATTTTTTATAGTTTATTTCTCACAAAAAAGAGCAGCTAATATTAACTCATCCTTGCATTACGAAATAAAAAGAGCAACTGCAACCCTCTGAATAATTTATGACAATAAAATTCTCTATCACAGGAAATACTACCCAACTCCTGCTGCACTCTTAAAAAGTGGATCTAAAAAAATTAGTGCTTACTCAGAATTCTTGCAAAATAGTTCACTTTTCGGCTACGGTGACAACTTACCCCACTTGTTCCGCCTTCCAAGACTTTGGATTCCTTCTGATCCTTCTCGGAGGCCTCCTCAATTACCACACCGGGGACTGAAACAATGGCAAAAGCGGGATTTTGAGAGAACGTGTAAAGTCATCGAGTCAACTGAAATGGTCCAAGCTTAAAGAACATAAACCCTTATTTTAAGCAGACCACAGAAACTGGCAAATTTTTATGGAAGAAGGCAGGAGTTTTAACTTTCCCAGCTCGCAATGTCTCTGCCCATCTTGAGCACATTCTGAAGTTGGTGGCAGGGATCCAGAATGGCAGCCGCATGACCCAATTAAAGTGCTCCCAGCAAAGTTGTCATTTAAGAAAGGAATACATTCGAAACACTTCCACCGCAATATTTTTCCCCTCCGCTTGAGCATGTTCTTTTCGAGGTACGGACAGCATCCGTCCTACATTCAGCTGCACGCTCAACAAAAGCAAACTGGAACATTTTTTCTTCCAAAAGTGCGGAATTAAGACACAGATTTCATTTACCCAACCACATTTAAAGAAAAGACTTTCTTAAATTGTACCATAGCTATGTTAGTCCGAGGGTATATACAGAAGCAGTTTGATTGATTAAAAAACGGTCTGTCATTTTGACAGCAAAGCGCTTTAATTACATTGCCAACTTGGATGGCCACAGACTGACATAATGAGATTCCCTAGACAACAATGCGACCCTCCAATGCCATTGAGGTCGGTACTTAAAACAACAGTAATGGGCACCGACTCACTCTCAATCGCAGGTCTCTGGGACATTGTGAGATCACCAAAAAAATTGTTGAGGTCATTTGAAAGGAGGGTGGTTTTTGTTGCCTCTTCAAACATCTTTGTAAGGGAGGCCACATCAATCTTATCAAGAGATCCATTGAAAAAGATAGAGACTGGTGATTCCGAGGGGTCATTGGCCTTAGCCTGAAAGTGATTTCAATTTTTTTGTTAAAATAAGAAACAGAATTTTAGATTAGCCAAAGTGGCAACCAAAAGTCTGCACTTTGGGGAATTTTAATGTCAAGGGGCGAAATTAGTGACCTTTTTTCAACAAATTTTAACATTAAGGTCAGACTTTTGAGTCTCGCTTCTAGAATACAAAATTCCTTCCCTGTAGTGAAAGCAGTCAAGCAGTTTTCTTCTTCTAGTGGACAAAATTGACTGAAAGACTTTCCATTACATCAAATTAAATTCAGTTAGCCTGTTTTTTTTATTTCTGGGTTAAAAGATGGTCCCCAATGGAATGCAGTACATTCCCCAGTGGTCGCTAATTACTGGGTTCAGACCAAAAGAAAAACTGAGCTCGAAAATTGAGGCAATTTTAAAGGCATACTGATAAGCCAAAATGTGGCAGAGGAAGAAGGGACGATTAACCAGATCCAACACTCCGTTGTTTACTGGAAAAGTAGAGGCAAGTGCTGCGCCCCGTAAACCCCTCCTTTCCGAGGCTAAGTTCCACCCACTGCTAGACTGAAAATATACCAGTCCAATCGGACAAATAGCTGCTTTAATCTGAACTCATTTTAATGCATTTGCATGAGACCTCGGGCGGGACACGTTAGCCCCACGCCCGTCCCAGCAGGCTATGACAGATGAACTTTTATGCAATGTTGTTTTTTTCTCGGCTGAAGGCATTCGTTTCCCAATAAAGTGGGAAAAAAAGATTTATTTTTTAGCCATCTGTCAAATGCTGAAGTAGGGACCTTCCTCCCTGCATTCGTAAATGCTGACTTCTCATTCCATCAAATGGGGCACACTTGAAGGTGGCGAAATGTTTTAAAAAAGCAACGTCTTTTTGCTTCGCTTAACATTCACCACACCAGAGGGTGATCTGTAGCACCGTCTGCTTCACCCCGTCTCTACTTCAATAATGAAGTATTGTTCGAATTAATTAAAAGGCTTATACACAACTGCCTTGGATACTTTAGCCCCTGTCTTGAAATCAAAGACACTAAGGTCAGATCTGGCAAGGTAGCACTTCGGAATACCAAGAATAAATCGGCTTTGCCTTGACGCAAAACCGTACTACCTTACTTAAACAGATCTATTCATCTTCAGCTGAAAAAAGGTGAGGAGGAAGAAGCAAGCTATGGTATTAATGCATCATAGCGCTCCTGACACATGGAATACTGTGTGGGTGGGGTTATTTCATCGCCTTGCAAATATGGTCATTGAAAAGAGCATAGTCACTTTAACCCGAGTCACAAAATCGCGTTATGCTTTCAGGGTGGTGGATAGATCACTGCAATCGCGAGGTGTGAAGTACTCTTGTGAATGTTTTAATTAACTCGTGACACAGATTTTAAGCATTTTTGTGTCACTTTTGATAGGAAACTTAATTTAAATTCTTTTGAAAATCTGAGCTCAGTAGATGACAGGTTATACAAACACAAATGGTACCACCTTTGTAGTTGGCGTGACAGTGAGCAAGACTTGTCACCCATTTGTGGGTAAAATAGGTACTAAAGATGTAGAGGAGGAAATTATTTATTTTCCGCTATATTAGTAAGTTTGCACAGTGCAAAGTCACCAAATGAGTCATAAACGTCTTGTTTATCACCCACAGGCCAGGAAACAATAAATAGGCGACCTACGTGCTGACCGATCATGCCGTAGCCCTGGTAAAGAGGCAATCCGTCAAATAGGGAGGGAAATCCGGTGCCTCTCAACGTTGTAGTTGTCGTTTTTGTGGTCTGACCATTCTCCGAGGTGTAATGGTCGACGACTGTTGTGGAGCCGTCGGAGGGAGGGGTTTTGGTGATATTAAGTCGAGTCGCAAATTGACGTTCACACTCCTACAAACAATAATTATGGTGTTTTGTGAAGGCCATCTAGTCTGGACGGAGAATTTTAGAGTGATTCTGAGGAATGACCTTTCAAAACATTTACAAGAGAGAACAGTAATTCATCTTTGTCATTATTCGCACTCATTAAAAAGGGATTTCTTTTCCTTGAGTTGAATTGTATAGAAGCAGTAGGTTAGAAATAGGAAAGCAGATTCTGGTAGTGCTTCATGGAAGCAAAATAAAGCTATAGAATCCAGCATAAAACTAAAAAAGCGCTTAATCTAAAAAATTCTTTCAATTAATAGAGAAATAAGATAATTAATTTACAAGGGAAAGTGACTAAGGCAAAAATAAAGAGGCTAGGATTAGTTAAGATGTTCTAGAATGGAATCTGAAGGTATGCACATTTAATCTGCCAATTTATGACACCCAAATAGCTGTCGAGTAAGAATATTTTGGCAGAGCCAAGTATGGGAACGGTTAACTTCCATTTATGAACAGCCTTTGGGATGTATTTGGCCGAGATTACGATTCTGGCCTCATGAAGAGGGTGTGTCTTTCTAGTTGCCCCTGTTTGGAAAGGCTTCAAAAATACCATCTGCTCTAGGTGATCTGTAAATAACTTAAATAACCTAACTCTTTTTCCAAGTCTATAGACGACTACGCAATGAAGGTCAAGTGTACATACCCAGGGGGAGGAAAAAGTATCACTAGTCTCTTGACAGATGAGCCACGTCAAAACGTATCAAACCTATCTGTCAGCCATGCATAAGTCTCAATGTGAACACCAAAATGACGGTTAAGGACTGAAATTAATCATACTATTTTAAAAAGGACTCAATTATAAATTATTTTACACTTTTCTGGGTTCAGCTATTATCCAGCTAAAGTTTTTGAGTTTCACCACAAAACTCTTCCAAATGGGAAAAACTGATTGCACAGTTGCAAGTGCCGCGTGTTTTTTTCTTCCTATGGCTTGAGCACAAACGTGGACAAATGCGGCAATTTCGATGTTTCCAGGCCGCATAGGCCCATAATCTCGGCCACGTTTCTACTACTTTGGCCACCTCCTGCAAGCAAACTTCAGCTCACCCTTGTAAATTTGAATCCATTGAAGGGAGGACAGTGAATAATCTCTTAGAAAGTCTTTTGTGGTTTAATTTGCTTCCAAACCGGGTATTAAGGGGAGCGTTAAATAAAGTTCGCCTGGCGAATAAGCATGCAGGATGGCACTATGCCGTTTTTATAGCTTTGAGGACTGACAGTGTCGTTAATTTCGTTTATGCCTTGTTCAGGTGCACTGCAGACACATCACCCAACTAACTTGTCACATGCAACAAGTTGGCACAGGTAAGCTTTTGCACGTATCGTTGTCACGTTTGAGTCAGTGACTGGGTGAATACCCTCAGTCCCACTGTTGGTCACACCAACACCCAAAAACCAGCCTCAAATCCTCTAACAGACTGATAAGACTGAAAGATTCACTCACTCGCAGGGCGGTCATCGCGGCGGAGTCGTCGTTAGATAGGCTAAAAGTTGAGAGAATTCTTTTGGTTTTGGTAACAAAAGCCGAAGTAGGAATGAAGAAATAAGGCGCTCTCGACAGAAAACTTGAAGCTTTCATTTCAAAGTTGTTAGTAGTCAGGATGGGCTTAACGCGTCAGGCAACTTACTCGGAGCTGCCTTCGACAAACGAACCCCCGTCCACAGGATTACCTCGAGCAAACTTTTCAATTGAGTCGCCTTGAAATGGAACTCTTCCACAATTTTTAAGATGATCTAAAATGTGTTTTTTTATTTAAAAGTTAGGAGGCAAAAAAAAAACGCAAAAAATGTTCAATTTATGCATGCACAATTCAAGGGAGACAAATGTCAAATGACGTACGTGGCGCGCTAAAATAAACAAAATAAAGGGTTTTAAATAAAGTGTAGGAAGAAAGTGCTTTTCTCCTTTACTTATCAACTACTTCATGCATCCAGGTAGGGATTTAAAGATTTTAAAATGTGAGGCTGTAAGACATTTGATAGACTGACATGTGTGTTTGTAGAGAAGGAACTCATGTTAACTTACCTCTTACTGTCGACCTTCGTGTGTCGAGAGGCGAATACTGCAGAGACTGAGGTTGTAACACGCTTTCGAACTGTTTTGGTGGTGGTTTTCGCTTGAGAAGCCCCTTCCGCTAATTCCTCATCACCTGATTTGCCGCCGGTATGAACCTGGAGACAAATTAGGCGATTAACGTCTCTGGAGACAAACTTGTAAATGAACTACTGCCACAGCTGACCTCCTCAAAGTGAATGCAAGTTGAATGAGATTTTAACGGGAATATGGTAATGAATTTTCATCTGACCAATGATGTACGAACTTTATTAATTTATTATTTCAACCTCGCGGCTCTACAATGACATGACCCTATCATTCAAATAAGCTGATTAGCTGACTGTGTGAATTTGCGCTCTAAAAGACCATGCTATAATCCGTACTAAACATTTAGATCTGTGGATTTTCTTCATACTCTCTAAAAATCTTCTTTTTTGTTGACTCTTAATCATTTTAAACGTTTAAATTACTTCTGAAAGGCTAAGAGCGAGATGGTGTGACCTTTTCAAGAGCGGCAACTGGCGGATTTTATCGATGCCGTATAGCTAGCTTTATTTAATGGTGACAGTGTAAACTTTAAATAGGCTTTATAAAGTTTTTGCTAACCACTCTGCCTCTAGGTGATGCTCCAATTTCATTGGAGTCTACATATTACAATGAAATAGGTGACAACTTTCTTCGTCTGAATAGAATCATCATACTTTTTTTCCTACATTTTGACCAGCAAGTCTTTGTGTAATGTTAGAGCAATGCAAATTCTAGATAACAATGTTGGATTCAATGATAACGGTGGTAGGAATTCGTGGTATCTATCCCTTCATCAGCCGACGGTCTTCAGCTTCCTTAACGTAAATCGTGGGCAAAGTAAGTTGCTGAATATTTGAGACGAAAGTATGACGGAGGTAGCAGGGAAACTTTCAACCAGTCGCCCCTCCAACAAAACGTCTGCCATGACCCGAGTCTTCACAGGGGTCGTAAAAAAGCCAAAGAAGGGTGGAAGAATACATATTAATAACTCGCATAGCCCGAAGGCCATGCCGCCCTGCAAGAACGGAAGCGCCCACGCAGTTCAAGCCACGGTGAAACGAAACACCAAATCACTACACCTCTGCGATGGTTTCAAATATCAAACTGGAGAAAGTTTTATTTTCGTGTATTTTTTAAAAGATTTAGATAGAAATTGCTTGGAGTTTTATGCCTATCAAAACGTCACTCTTCAAGATTACTAAATGAGGAAAAGAACGTCACGACTGAAGTGTTCCCACAATACTTATCCTTTCAGAACAGTGAGAAAACCTAGTTTTTTCTCAGCCATTCCCCATATTGAATCGGTTTGACAAGTTTGACCATTTGCCTCATGGGTTTGTACCTTATCGCATTGTAGCCCAGAAGCAAATTCGTCGTTTTGTTTAAGATTTTCCTACTTTTAAAAACACCTATTTGCAGAAATATATCCACTCTGAAATTAAAGTTAACATCAATGCCCTTTCCAAATACTGATGTAGCTGTACTAGCGAAACAACGAAGTGCTTTCTTTCCGCCGTTTTAGTAAATCACGAAAAATTTTAGGGCTAAAAAAGTTTTTGCTTTGCGCTAAATACACTAAATAGAGTTGTTGTTCTTCTACAAACTGAGTTATTAGATTAATAAAGGGTTTGTGTGGATTGGATGCCATCTTCGACCGTAAAATCACTTTTAACAAACCCATTATTACTACAATGAATAAAAATGAAGTTAATTCTTTGAAAAACCCAAAACCTTACCTCAACAACTTCTGATGTCTGCGTTTGAGGTTTCATAAAGGTGACTTGGGTTATATTTCGCGGTTGGGTGGGATTTCCCTCATTCCCGGAGACATGAGTCAAGCGAACGATCCCTGAGCCTGCGGTGGGTTGCTGAACGCCCTCTCCCGCCACTATTGGAAGGGCTGGAGTTTCAGCAAGCACCGTTGCGCCTTCAGGAAGTACAATACTCCCTTCAGGGACGCCTGTAGTCGTGGTGATGTTGCCTGGAGCGACTACACAGACCCTTCGAACAGTGGTAGTGGTTCGTAGGGTCGTGGTGGTCGTAGTTTTGAGCTTCTTCACTCGACCGTTGGAATCCGTGATTGTGGAGGTGGTGGTAGTGGTGTTCACAATCTCTGTTGGTGGCGACTGCGAGATTATGCAGGAGGAGAGAACGCCTTCCGCTAGAGAAATAATCGATAACAAAACCTTAGTTGTGATCGACTTATTGATCCTATTCGAGTTGAGTCATCAAGCTGGTGTGAGCGCAAGTCATGAATTGCGGGTGGCACAATCTAGCACTCCACTCGCTGGACGTGCCTTACAAGTTTTCTAAAGCGGAAAATTCTGGTATTTTTAGGGTAGTTTTAATTCATTTGCAATCGTTATTTTTCTTCTTGTCACGGAGAAGTTATACACATTTATAACATGAAGAAATTGTATTGAATTTGTTTCTCTAGCATCTATGATCTCTTCAGCTCATGTCATTTCTGTTTACAGCCCACCAGGTCGGTTGTGGTGGCGTTTACCTCACATCCGTGCATGTTTTGATGCCTTTGGAGGGGAGAGAGACTTTGGGAGTTAATTACAAATCGGTAGATGCATAATGACATTTTTCGGAATGCTCATTTGATCCGTGATAAAGAATTAGGGCTTTGTGTATTATTTTTAACTTTATTTACTTTCAAGTACTTCGGTAGTTTAGGTGTAAACACGTAAGAAAAGATTATTTTGATCTGATCGCATAACCTACAAGAAGGTCCTGATCTAATCCTCCTACCATTTGAGCTGGAATGCATCCATACCTATGTTTCTAGTAGTATTTTAAGTATACAATCACTTTATCTTTTTTTGAGATTACATTACCATAAAATGATGAAACGTTACTTATTTTTTCCTCTCTGGACTCAATCGTATGTTTGATAATTACTGTTGAAAAGATAATAGGTTTCCTAGAATTCATGTCAACCACTTTTCATTATAAATTTGTTTTTTATTTACTTGATTAATAAATTGCATACTAATGAATACAGGACATGTCGAAAAAGATCCTCTCAGCCTATTGTCTCTTGCAGCTTCCCAATTTGTAGTCATAAAATGTCTTGTACCATACGACAAAGTCCTCCCCATGGCCTGGCAGCAACCACTTAGGTGGGCATATCATTTCTAGCACAGAAGAGGGCTGTGTCGCTTAGGTGGCTACAACAGCCTATCAGGGCAACTTGGATACTTTTTTGAGGCTTTATTTAGGCAAGAAAGTTAGCTAGCTGGCTAGATGCCACATAAGTGGATGGTTCATTTGTAACCTCTCAATCTTCTCGGTGCAAATACATAATTATGCAGAGCAATTATCAGACAACAGTGTGGGTAACAACGATTATGCAGTGACTACAGCGGAAATAGTTGTATGTGTTACTCAAGTGATTGCCTTTGGTGTAGGTTTATGTCTCTTAGTAAAATGAGGACCCAGTAAACATGTACGCAGTGGCGTATATTGCATAAAAGCTAAGTTGACGACTCTCTTGCTCTAAGTGAAAGCTACATCATTTGATTTGATTTATCGTAAAGTCTGTAAGTTGATCATGTCTTTTGAAGACAAAGTGAAAGAAGTTGTGATGTTACCGATAATCTCTATCCGATTTTAAATGGGCTGGCATAGCGGCTGCACACCCAGGCGTGAGGAGAACACCTTGGATTTTGCTTTAAGTCTTAATTCCTGATAATATGAGGCATTGAGGAGGGGCAAAGTGGGAAGAATGCACTTACAGTTCAGCTGATCAATGCAACACGTCTGTTCCGTGGACCAAGGCTAAAAATACTGCACAAAGCCTGTTGGAAAAATTCTGTTTTGCTACGTCTACTTCCTCTGTAGCAAACATGAAGAGGGCTAATAGGCCGAGCGGACCATGCCAAAATGAGAGATAGACAGTCAAGAGGTAGGGGTGAAAGGGGCACGCAGCCATATGCTTAGGTGGATGGGTGCGATTTTTGATTCTGATTCTAATTACCAATCAAAATGGGAAATTAAACATGTTCTGGTCCTCCCCTAAGCGTAGGGGTTTTAAAATGACCGATCAAGGTAAGCTAATTCATGCTGAATAGGTTCGAGGGAAGTTTCAGGTCCTCCCAAAGAAGACATTGGACGTTCTGCTAAGGCCTTATTCCTCCACTAATAGGCTATTGAATCCATGCTTAGTTGTTCAGGTTGTCTCCTAATCATGTTTTGATTTAAACGCCGTAGACTGCTGGGCTTTGAATGCCTTTTCTACACTATCCAGGACTTGCTAATGGTTGGTTACCTAGAGAGTTATGGCCTACGCGAATAGAAGAGGACTCGACAACGTATGTGGTCTTCTTGGGAACCGTAACAGAAGATGACAGTTTTATTGACCTCTTTTCTGCTATTTTCGGCAATAAGTAGTGCTTTAGTTAGCATAATCATTGATTCATTCCTCTGTCGTGTTTATAAAAGGTTTATTTCATTTTTTTAGAAATAAATTCTACCATTTGAAGCACTTACTCCCAGGAGTGTCTGTCGGCGGATCGTAAAGCTGAAGGATCTTGCATTCTTCGGGTTGTGATGAAGTTTCCGCACTTTCTACTGGTGAAGTCATTTTAACATCAGTTTCTGAAACAAAATAAGTAGCATAAGAGAAAAGGTTATTCAAATTCCTCATTTTTTGGTATGCTTTAACGTTGAAAATATGATCCAAAATTCAGCTTTTATTTCCACACCTCCTTCCCAGCCAAATAATCTTGGTATTTTGCAGTTTGGTGTGTTTGGGAGAAAAGGGAGACACGTAAACAGCTTTATCGTTGCCACACTTAACCCGCGGTTTTTTAGCCCACCTTATCCGGATATGCTCATTTAAATTCATTTAATTGCTTTGCGCCGTCTTTGATCCCTTGCTTTACTATTTAAAACACAAAAAGTGGGCATAGGATGCACCAAATTGAATGCCTCTCGTGAGGTTAAGGGTTCTTTCAATGACAGTAAACATGTTTTCCCTTTTTAACTGTCTCGGATTTTGTGATCCTCTAAAATCGGTTAAAGGCAGACCAGAGGAATGATGACACGTGATACCGATTTATGAGGCATTTATCGAAGAGGCCAATCTTACATCCTTTTTGTTGTTGTTTTGAGGAAAGCATTGGATTTTACCACCGCCATCTAGGTAGCACGAGATTCGGGCAAAAAGCGTATTCTCCTTTTAGCAAATAATTTGTAAGGAAGGATGCGTTTTCGAGTAAAGTTAACTAAATTTCTTTTGTAAGAAAGGCTGTTTGTCAAGGAGGCCTTTTTTTGACCGCCTTGAAGTTGACCTACTTAAATGATTAAGGGCTGTGTGAGGGCTTTCATTTTGAGTGAAAGATTTGGCAATTACTGGCGTGAGCGATCTCCAAGGTGTTTGGAAGCAATTTATTTTTTATTCTTTTAATGACTTTCGGGAAATATGGAATATTTCTTTTTGCTGATGGAGCAGATTGGCCAGACTTACCTTTGCCCAAGGGTTTATTTTTATCCTATGCGATTTTATCGCTGTTTTCCCACAAAAAATGTCTTTTTCTCCCTTTGATGTCCATGGTTTGGCAGTGATAAGCATGTAGTTGTCGTCTTCTAGGATGATTTTACAAAAACTTTAAATACCATCCTTCATCAAACACGCCTTACTGACCGATCTACCACATTTCTAAGTCACGAATTTCTTAGATTTCATCAGTCATGAGCTGTGGAAGGACACTACTTCACTTCTTCCACGTGGCTATGGCAACACTGCAGGTGAGCTGCCACCAGCTTGTCACTACTCACAGCCATCACAAATGAAGCCTTTTCTACCAAAATATTTCCAAGATTGCATTTTGGAGAGTGGGAAATGATTGATGAAAGGAAGAAGGCAAGGTGTAATTCCCTAAAGGGACAAAATCTCTTCGAGTGACTTGTTTTTGCTCTTTCGGATACCGCGGCACAGAAACTATAACCTTATTGCCTCCTTTTTACGCAATGAGACGTTATTTGGACAACAAGTTCTGTATCCCCTTTGGAGTCATTTTAGAGATTGCATTCCCAAGTCTCCTTTATCCCCAGCACGTCTTTTCTTTGTGTGGCAGAAAAGCATTCAGCCACGATGAAGTTTTTTCAGATCTACGGTGTGGGTCCATTCCAAGTGCAAAAGTGCTTTAGAACTGTGCCTTTTGTAGGCCGAAATTTTGAAATGGAGCGCCTGAAAGGGCGTGTATTACAGGCGCCATGGTGGAGGTTAGTGCAAGGTTAAAAGTACCCGCCCCCTCTCCTCATTAGTACAAAGTAACCTCTCAAAATGATACTGCTTGTTTTTTTCGTCGCGTGATAAATAAGATCTAGCGTTAAAAAAATGAAGTAGTCACGGTAACACGACCTCGTGCTTACCCAAATCAGGTGCCTTGTGTTTTGGCCTCCCACCCTTTCACCACCAAGGTGACAGATTTAATTCACAGCATAGAAATAAGCAGTTACAATGCACGCCTGATTTTTTTTTCATTTGCTGAGTTTAGCTTGAAGCGTGATGTGTTGGCTACACTTTTACTTGATGGGAAGGAGCTAATGATGAAATGACAACTTGGCGCGCAAGATTTGTTTGTTTCTTCTACTTTAAACAAAGCGTTCCTCGCAAGGCAGTATTAGGAGTGGAGTAATTCTGTGAGACATCGCAGTCATCCTGTGTCTTACGCAAATTGCAGCCTCCAGAAAGTGGATCACTCACGAACAAGTTGTGCGTCAAGTGTCATCTGCCAGCAAAATTTCAATGACTTGGATTTCTTTGCTGACTAAATAACGGAGCATGTCTTTATGCCCCTATCCAGTCATTTAAAGCGGTAAGCACTTTCACTTTTGAAGAGTTGTGGATAATCGTGGAGTTTTCAACTGCATCATAAGCAAATCCACCTACTTGACTATCTAGAAATGCCAACCAGCCATTTGCCAATGTTGGAGAAGAAACCCGCCTACTGAAATCTGCAACCATTTCAGTAGTATGTACCGATCACTAACCTTGGTGCTTCTTTATGTAACCTTATCATACAAAAGGGTGAAAAGAATGTTTGATAAAAACAGACTGCGTGCATATATGTATGTATCCGTCTACGTAAACCGTTGAAGGAAGAAGTGCAAATACCACCAATCGCCCCTCTTCCTTTGTTGCTATTTCTGTTAAAAATAAGCGCAAAGTGCTGACAAGTGAGGCAGCCAACACCTAGAAGGCTTCAGTGGGTATTCAGAATGAAGGGGGGAAGGGAGGTGGAACCCCAAAAGCTGCAGATGGTGGTGCGTTGCCTTCTTCTTCCACCTTGCTTTTTTTCACCTATTGTGCAATATACTGTGTTTCCGAGAGCGCAGCTTACGTGTCTACACCCTCTGCTAGACTGAAAAGTCACTGGCAGTAGGGTAGTGCTTTGACTATCAATTAGACGACGGCAAATGCTACAATTGAATGCTCTTTTTTTATAATCAACGAGAAATAAATCTATTTTTTAAACTGATAAGAGTAAAAAATTTTCCGATCCATCAAAGGTTAAATAACTTTGTGCAGAATTGTTGACTATTTAAAATGCTTTACCACTTGAAACATTAACGATGCACCTTTTCAAGCGTTAAATGGGTGGCACAAGGTGACATTAAACACAAGGTAGTGACATGATTACATTAAAATCGTCCCCCTAACACTAGTAAATGCCTGTATGTGTGTGAATGGTGATGTTTTCTATGCGTGATGGTGGTGCTGTGTGGAGGCATCTCAACTGACTAACTTGGTAGTTGAAAGGGGTTCAAGCCAACCACACTCATGTGATTATGCAGGACTAATCATTAGCCGAAAGGCCAAACAGCGCTGTGCCACATCAAGGTTATTTCTGGCTGGCAAGATAGACGTGGATTTGACTATGCCCCCTTTATTATTACTTTTTCTAAGGTATAAATACAAAATTGTGCCTTGTTATGATTTCACAGGAGGAGGTTGAAGTAAACTAATTGCTTCGGTCTAAGCAGGACAATTGTTTCCACCCTACAATTCCGAGCCACGTTTGGAGCTAGGCAAAAAGCAAAAAACTTGCAAGGAATGAAAAAGCATTGTCTACGCACAAAAGACCCGCAAATTTGAAGGGCGAAAGAATTGGAATTCCGCCCTGTAATCCCAAACATCCCAATCTCTTTTTACTCCCTGGTTAAATTACTCGCCACATTTGAGTTGACACCTGACAACAGGCTCGCCACAGAATTGGTCTCTAGGGTGAAATATACAAGAGATACTACTTCTTTCCTAGGAGCACAAGACACGACGGTGGACGGTCAGAGTTACTCTCGTTTTTTTGTGCAACCACTGCCTGATTTGGACCTGTGGCCGTGATAGCCCAATTAATGAGGTAAGTAGAGTTTCCACTTCTCCCATCCACACTGAGGGAGGGCTTATTATTTTTTTAGTTGTCATCCCCCTATGTTGCTCTGCTTTATGGCAGTTGAATACGCATTTAATTGAATCACCAACCCCGGGGGCACAAATTGAATCGGCGGCAGTGGGGAACTTCTTAGTGTCAAAATGTCCCCATTCTGTAGGCTGCTGGGATTCAGCACCTGGGGATAAAAGTCCACGGCGCTTTGCAACATGACATGCACACCACATAAAATGCACCATCAACTGCGTGCGTAATTTGAAACGGCAAATTCGATACGCCGATCACCATCAACAGTGAGACAGGTGAGGAAAAGTAACACCTGTGGGGATATTTTCAGCTTAGTTATTAGTTGAACAAGAAACGTTTGTAAATTTCGTTTTTCTGTCTTATGTAGCTCTAAGATGCACTTTGGCGAAGTAAGGCGACTAATGCGGCATTTAAAATTGTTGACATTTGATTAAATCACTTTTCCCTGTTTTGGGGAGGCGCAAGGTGACGCGTGTTTTTAATTTGCTGGTGGAGACGACATGTGTCAAAGGGTATCGCGTAGGTCATGGTCTGGAAAGGGTCACGTAACTCAGACCTCCTGCGTGGAAGGGGAAGGGCGGAACAGTTTACTGATCCGCGCTAGCAAGATCACGCGTCGTTGTAATTGCAAGGTGATAAAATTTGGCGGTGAAAAGGAGGTTATTTTAGCGGCAATAATGAATAAGAAGTAGATATTCCTCGTCAAAACAAGAATGAAGTCAATTTCTTAAAGTTCCATACCGAGTGTCAGAACCGTAACTCAGTGAAATTCTTTAAAAAATGCGAACTTAAGTGCAAGGTCAACTTGGTTCTGCCTAACTAGAACATAATAACAAAAAAAACTGAACAAAAAGTAGCTTCACTTCTAAAAAGTAAAAATTTGGCAGGATTTGATACAATTGATCTTCAAGGGGCTTATTTTAGCGCTGAGTAACAAATGCCCCTAAAAAGCAGGTCACCATGATAAAATCAAAGAAGCATATTAATATTTCAAAATATTGTGATAGACAGACGGTAATTTTGTTGATAATGATGTAAAATGCTTAAAACAAACAAATTGACAATTCCTGAGCATGTTTCTTCTGAAAAGTGATTTTCAGTAAACATGTAATTAACAAAAATATATGGGAGGCCTCATAACTGCACGCAAGTGTAATCCAGAAAAATCGAAGAAAAGTACTAAAAACCCATGCAAAAACTAAAAATGCTGCAAATTAAGGCTGCCAAAATAGAGATACTATCTAACGGTGTTTTAACTAAAGTTTTAGAATTAAAAATACTTGTGGATAGAACAGAAAAACAACTATTTTCTGACCAGAAAGCACCAACAGCTCATAATGTGTTAAAAAAACAAAAAGCACTTTTGTGGTAATGTAGGATTGCTGTCAGAAGCGTTTAACTCTGTGGGCGAAGGCCAAAACCAAAACACCAAGGACTAACTCACCCCAACCACAGTTTTCTCTTCCCACAATTGTCAAGGCCATATCCCGACTTCAACATGCGGTGCGTGCAAACAAACACCAATTAATTTGCAAATTGCTTTCCTGAATCCTGGTGTTTAATGCCAGTATTTTGTGCTTAGACGGTTTTTAAAAATAATTACACAGCCTAACAACCTTTTATTAAGTGCTGTGTTGCGATAATTATTGCAAAAAAGGCTCTTTTAAAAAGTGTCGACCAGACTCCAAACCGTAGGTCACACACTTTTCTCTTATCCGAAGTTAATGCATTTGCCAGTTATAAAACTTTTTGTGGGGCAACTTTATCCAAAAAAACAAACCTTTTCCATTGTAAAAGTTCGCGGTGCATATTTAAACGCGAAAATATGCAGAGCTTTCCTGGTTCCTATCCTTTCCCCTGCTCTCAATATTCTTTGAATCAATAGGTTGATTCAATTGAGATATGCGTATTAGGTAGAGTTGAAGAGGACTGGTACAGAGAAGGCAAGTTATTCGTTTTTACCTAATTGTAAAAAGGGGTATGGCCCTGGTTGCTTGATTCTCGGTTTTGGTATAGAGCCACTTTACATCTCTGCCATTGCACATTCTCAGGGTGGGCATGCCTTCGAGACATAGCTGTGGAGCAAGACTCATCGGTCTCCGCTTCCCTATTCCTAGCGTTCCTAGACAAGCCCGATTGATTCATTTCGGACATATTTATTGAAGATTTAAAGATGGAGAGGGAAAATACAACGTTCAAGAAGGAGAGAACCGCAGTCACTAAGTACGGAAGAGGACGATCCGGTCACGAGATTCGAATTTTCTCCTTGCCACCTCCATGAAAGTTACCTTAAAACAACATAGGTATTACATAGCTGTAGCCCCAGGCCCTGCTGTGTGTCAAATGTGTATTGTAATACAATAGTGTTTTGCCCTCGGTTCTGGTCAGGCGCTACTTTTGTACTTTGAATTAGCCCCCTTGTACCTCGCTGGATGGGCTGGCCTTTTGGGCCATGTCAATAGCCCAGACACCCTCTCCGTGCTGAATAGATATATTCTGCCCAAGTATTGCGTCTTCTTTCATCTTCAAGGAGTCTCAGGATGCTACAGTATGTTCTGCCTGAGCATCATATCGTCTTTTATATTTTGGAAGAGCCTGGGGCGCAACAATAACAATAACTTAAAACACCAGCTACAGGTCAACAAAAGTACGACGATAAAACTAACTTTGCTTTATTTGACCTTGTATTTTGATTTGTTTTGTAAAAGCGCGAAACCAGTTTACTGAGATTTAAGCCTAGGACATGCCCTCCCCTCGTACAGAGCCACGATCCAAACATCAATGAGCATTTCTCCATTCAAGTTGATTACAGGTCACAAGTCTATCAACACCTTCTTGCCAAGCACTGACGAGGCAGCCAAAAGTGTTTAAGAGTGCATAAGGCGTTTAAAAGAAGACGTAAAACTTTTAACATCGCATACAAACATTTACGATTGTCTTATATTAAACAGAAGATATACTATGACCAACACAGCTGGAAAAACGTCTACTGTGGAGATTTAGTGCAAATTTACGGGCCAATACTTACCTAAAACACATTTTAAATTTTATCACCCATGGAACAGGAACCCATTTCAAATGGTGGAAGTGCCCTCATACAAACAACCTCGGCCACAAAGCACAACCAGGCACCCAGCTAATAACCCTTCACTACAACAAGATACGACTATGCAAAGGGGCACCACCGGGGAGATATGGAGGTAAGCAGATAAATTAATTTTTGTGAATGAGGGGCAGTTAACATCCTTCAACCCGAAGAAAAGTCCCGTATCCAAAACTTCCTAAACTTGTAACCACTCCCATTTTAAATAACTAAACAGTAACAACTTACACTCAAGTCCTTTTTAAACCTAACTTTGTAGTCACTTGAAAGTGATTATTATACTAAATTAGATCTATAATGCACCTAATTTTCCTCCGGGCCTACGTCGAATTTCGCATACAGTTTTTAATCGCAAAATTACCCCTTTCTTTATATAAGCGCAGATTAATAGTAATAAAAAGCTTAAGCAAATGAATGGCTTTTTAACAACCATTAATACTGATGAACAGTGTATCCTAACTTTTGTTTCACTAGGTCACTGAAGTGCTTCTTGTGTGTAGCGCCCTATTGTATTACTCTTTGCGTTCGTGGTGCGCGAGTGGTCGTGGTTTCCAGCTTACTCGTAAGACTGTGGTTTGCGCATGGATGTGAACTACTAGAAAGGTCCCTTATCGCTTTGCTAGCCAACTTTTAGCTTCTTTTTAAGGAATTCTTGTGACCATTCTTGCAGCATTTTGCTTACAAAAGAGGTGCGTGAATTTGATACATTTCAAAAGCATGTTTTTCAGTCTTAAACTTTCGCTGTATTCGCATTTGTTTCCATTTTTTTGGAGCTACACAGGTCCAGGGTGTGCGCTGTTTTGTTTGGTTAATCAACGTGAAGTATCCAATCTTGCGAATCTACACTCCAGTTTTCTTGTTCCCTTTACTTATTACTTGAACTTGGTTTTTTTTTAATTTCTGGTATTATGTTCTTCCATTCTAGTTTCTTGCGGCGGCTTTTGTAATTTGGCATATTATACGATTTAACAATATTCTAATAGCCTGTTTTTCAAATGCATATTATCATATCGTTCTCCCCTGCAGTGAAGGTTAATGTGATCGTCTGGGCAACAAATGACTTCCAACTCGGAAGGTCACTGCAACTTCCCGCTTTTAAGAACTCAACCACCTACTCCATCAGTCTACCTGCCTTCTCTCGTCGAGAACATTGTTGCTGAGAACTCTTTGCAATCTACTACATCACGAAGCATTGAAAATATACCACAGCGTCATGGTAGACCTCAGCTAAGCCACCAGCGTCCCATTCGCATTTGCCGACGTCTCAAACGTCTGATTTCAAAGCAGAATACCTCCACTAACATCCGAACTTTCGCCACAGCAACTGAACCACGCGTCTGTGATGAACCTTCTACGCCGTCAGAAAACGCTGGCAAACGTCGATGTTGCTGCGTTCCCCTTCATCTCTCTTGTCTCCGTAGTTTCTGTTCGTCCCTCTCCAAATTATTGGGTCGCCTCACGGGAAGGCGAATGCCCAACGAGAATTTATTCGTTCTTAGCATGATCCAGTTGCTCTGTGGTCTTGCTGCAGTCGTTCTCTCTGGTGTAGCAGTGACTAAAGTGGTGTTCCTCTACCAAATGGCTACAGGACTGTGGTCTGGCTTTCTAATGCTCGCTACTGGATTTCACGGCATTCTAACTGCCCGTCGTTGCACTCCACGTACCCTTGTTAGTCTTCTCATCTTCTGTGTTCTTGTCGCGCTCTCGGCTTGTCTTCTGGCTTGTGTCTCGGTGGCGGGATTGATTGAGGACGGGATTCTCCGACCAGATACTTCGATAACTCTTTTTACCGCTTCTAACTCTCCCTTCTATCTATCCAGTCATGGTCCCTCCGTCGCTTCCTCCAGCCTACCTATAGACATCCCTCTAGGTGGATTCTCCCACCGACGTCTTGTCTCATCTAATCAGCCGCCACGATTGCATCAAGTGATGCTACACATCCTCCTCCTCGTTATTGGCATTCTTGAGGCATCTGTTAGTGTCGCTTGTGCTGTTCTCTGCTGCCGACAAATCTGCCCCTCGGACAATGCTCCTCCCCTCTCTGCTATCACTTACCTCCAAAATAGGGGAGCTACTCTCGTCCCAGGAGGGAGTGAATTCCTTCTTGCTGTTGCTGCAGATCCTGGAAGGCCAGCTCCAGTCCTCCTAGACTATGCTCTCCCTAGGCCAGATTTGCATCCCTCTGTGCATCACTTTCTTCCTCATCCAGGCCGTAGAGTTGTGATTTTAACTCAGGCAGAGACAGGGGTGCATGCTCTGGCGGCTGCCCAAGCAGTAGCTAGTTTGGTTTCACCTTCCTCCTCACGGAATACACTTTCTCTACCTTCTGTTTTCGCTTCTCAGCGAGCTCAAAAACGCGAGGAGTCACACCAACTGAAGGCTCATCTTTCCACTCTTCTCCCTCGATTAGCTTCGTCATCTGGAGACTCCGCGTTTCGTGCCGCGCACCCATCCAACCTCCTCTATGTTCTTTCCTCCCCTTCCCCTACTGATGCTCCCATGATTTTTCCACCTTTCCCACCGGCGTATTGCTCGGATGAGGAGAGGGGTGGAAACTCGATAAGCCTTCCTTTTCCACCCCAGATGTCACTATGTATGCACCCCCAAGAGTTTAATATCGGACCCCTGTCAGTACCCGAAGTGAATCCAGCTCGAAACGGTAGCCGTCGTGATGGCAGACGGTTGGGACCAAGATCTAGGAATGTTCTAGGTCCCAGACACCACTTTCGAGCCTCGCGGAGGAGTCGCAGAGGTAGCAACGCAGTGGATGCGGTGGTGGGATTACTGGGCGATCGAATTCTGCAACCTGTCCTGGTCGTAGAAGATGCAGAAACAGAGTCAAGAGGTTCGGAGGAAAGCAACATTCCTCCACCGAGCTACACTGTCTCTATTAGAGAGGTGTCTAGGCCTCTACCCCCCACTCTTGAAGAAGCATAACAATTCCAGGGAGGTGAGTTCCACGCGACTTTTTTGTGCAGATTTGCATCGCATTATGCTTCAAGTTAGTAGTACACAAAAAAGTGAGGATTATTTCGCATAAAAAAAGAACCCACGTTGGTGTGAGTGAGAGATCGAGATTTTCGCACCAAAATGCACAAATGTGCACGCACACACACACCGAATAGCCCAGACAGACCCTGCGATCTAGTGCGAACTTCGCTTTCTTTTTCTTTGTAAAAATGTTATGCGAATATGAAAACAATATTCCCTCAATACTAGCTCCACGAGTAGATCGACTATCTTCCGCGAAAATCGCCCCATCTCTTCTTTGCCTACTTCCTCCTAGCTGTAGTCTCTTGTACAAAAGAATTGGTTGTGTTGCTGAAACTTATCTCGCAAATAAAGTGGCAATGTTTGTTGGGTTATCGAGAGGCTAAGCTCTTTTTTCCTGCCTTCCCAACTGTTCGTTTGTCATGGTGAGAAGACGTCTGGTTTTGTGATGAAAAGACTTCTAATTAAGTGTCAGCCAGGTGAGGAGAGTAAGGAGGCATGTCAATTGCTCTCGGCTTATAAATAATTACCAACTCCGTCCATTCCTCAATTTGGCTCTATCTCACGTGACCAAGTCATTTTTACTTTTTAAGGCAACCAGTCGTCTTGTGCCGTTGCTCCACCGAGAGTTTTTGTCACCATGATTGTGCTCATATTTAAAAAAGGCAAAATTGTTTTTTTTTTGACAAAATATCCCCCCAAACAGAGGTGGTGAATCACTCGCCACAGCAGCAAAAATTCTGGGCAGTAGGGGCTAAACGACACATCCCATATGTTAGCTATCAAATTTTATAACTAGGACAGTTCCTCCCTGAAGCTCGCCTCGTGCATTTGGGGCCTCATTTATTTACCAGCTGAGTTAATAACTACGACGGCTTGCGCCTAAAATTTCCTCCTTCTCTGCCTACTCAATGGAATTGTTATAAAGGGGATAAAAAGGGGAAGTGAGGAAAACATGGTGATACTTTCCTGCATGTCTATGGTTTCAAGACGTTCGTTTTCGTGCCTTTCGAGCTTCCCATTGCCAATCAATGGTGATGATAAACTAAAGTCAAAATTTTAGCCTCATAAATCTCCTCCACTTCTTGATTGCATTCTGCGAAGAAGGCTTGGAATGGCTTTTCCCGCACAGCCCGATTGCAGGCATTGTTAATTTATGCAACAATGAGTTGGCTCGATTGCATGAGGGTGTTTTTTTTCCCTCCACGCCCTCATTCGACAGATGGTGGCTCTTCATCTGGTGAGAGGAAAAAGACACACAGTGGGTTCATAAACTAGTATTGGCCTCCCACCATATGGTCTTCCACCATACCCCCACGGTGGTTGGGGACTACCTGCTGTTGTTTGCCATGTAACACCGTCGGTAGGTATGGTATGGCGTCCTCTTTGAAGTCACAGGATAGATTGAGTTTCTTCGTATAATCAGTGCAACAATCCAGGTATGCAGGCAATGGGTTCAGGCAATTTCATTCACAAGAATGAGGCAGCCATGTGGGAGACAGTCGTGACCTGACGCCACGACGACATTGGATGATGACGACGATTTGGTAAGGTGAATGGTCGTTTAACTGTGTTCGACTCTCCCCTTGGCAGTTTGTTCAAAAAGCCAGGCAACCGACTACGGAGAGTGTTACAAAAAAAACCAAATTGGGAGGCTTGTATTCCCACTGCTCTCCTTTTGTTGGAAAACTTTCCCTCTGGGAAAAAATTGTGCTCCGCACTAATTCAGACGCGCGGTCTGGTGAATTGGTTCACTGCTCCAGCATTACAAGTCGGCGATTTTATGTCTGATAAATTATAATGCATGAGAAACAACTTCCGTGGAGAGACCCCGTAACCTCCTAACCCACAAAATTGCCAGTCCAATTTGTGTAATTGCCTGCTCAAATTCGCCTCACATTACAGGCGTACTTTTGGCAGCGGCAGCAGCACCACGAAAGCGAATGCGTGTGTTTTCAATCCGCCCTCCTCTCCTCTTTGCATAAAGTGCGGGCCGAAGACGGATGTTTGGGCTGCATTAGTTAATCAGGCGGTTATAGTTAGGCTTATTGATGGCCTAAACGTGTCACTTCGTGTTTTCATATTTTTTTACCTAAAGAAGGTCACCTTCCCCTCAGCCTGCTTACCGCATTACCAATCGCTCTCCGCCCGCGTGTACTTTTTCTCCTTTTCAAGGTCACGCCAAGTTCTGATGACCATCAAACAGCGCCTTCGTTGAAGCGGCAATCTCGCTCTCTCTCCCTCCCTCTCCTCGTCCCCTCCCCAAAAACTTTCCGAATAGTTGTCTATTTTTTATAATCTCTTTTCCCTCTTCAGAGATGTTCGGTTCTGACCCTACCAACTGAATACACACATACACGCATAGAATGGAGAGACCTACACGTCGCTTCCCCCCTCCTACTTTAGTGTTGACGCTCGAATAAAGTGAATACCTCCACTTACTCGCGTCCTTTACTCTTTAGAAAGACAGGAAAGAGTCTAGTCAAGTCCGTCCATGATGGGTTTCAGTAGGGGAATGACTGTGTTGTCTGCCAATTGGTGACACCGGAACTTCTGGTAGGCATACTCAAAGTCGGCCACGGATATGGATAGATTGCGAGGGCGCCTGAAAGGAGGGAAAAGTCAAAATGACAGCGCCACACGGCCGGTAGTGTGTGTCAAGCCAGCATTACTACCGACAGCCAAAACGCATGTCGTCGTGATGACCCACTCCGGACAAAAGTGGTAGCGCGTGTGCGTGTAACAGCGCGTGAACAAAGGCGTGAAACCTGTCCGTGCTTGCACGTATCTACCGTAGGCTTCAGATGGTACGGTACGCTGATGAGACGCGTGGTGGTAGCCCCTTTCGAATAATGGCGGGTAACGCCCCACCCTCCCCGGACAGTAAACGTTGATCGCGGTGGAGGGCGTGGCCTACACACACCTGTCTGAGGAGGTTACGAGACAAACAAATTGTCCTGGGAAGGTCTAGCCGTGCCGACGTACCTTTGTGCATCAAAGCTCCCCTCAGATAACAATTAAGTGGTGGAGTAAGCGACCTGAACACCTCACTCGAGAGGCGCCTCCCCGTTCGGCTTTTGAATGCACGGAAGTAATTAATCAAATATCGACCGCGAGTAAAGGAGTCCAGCTGCCCGTTGGCGTGGGGGGAAGGAAGCGAGGGCTAAATTGGCGTCTTTTTCCCCACCCACTCATTCATCCGGAAGCATGTGAGCGGGTCAGGTGAGCCGACCCCCCACCTTTTTTTTCCGACTGGAGAGGCGGCGGAAGGACAATAGGGGGGGGGGGGGGGCGAGAGGAAGCACCACTGCCGACCTTAGAAAGTAGGGTCAACTTTAGAACAACTTCGTTTGTTAAAACAAATGAAGAAACTGTTCAATGAAACCGCAGTTCATCGACAATGTGCCATTCTGGTTGGAGGGATTTCCAGGACGCCATGATCAAACCGCTGTCGTCATGGCTTATATGCATATCAGCTTTAAGAGATTTTAAAGCAACATCTTTTAAATAAACCAGTCAGAACTAATTATTCCCTCTGAGAATTTCCTTCAGAATTATTTACGCAAAGCTGAATGGTCGATTGGAGGAGGGCTCGACAAAACCCCCACACTTTTACCCGAGCTCCGCCCACTTCCGGCTAGCCTAGGTTCAAAGCAACACCATCTTCTCGTTGTCAATTATGCCAGTGTTATTAAGGACTGTATAACAACAATCTTCTTATTAATGAAATTGAAAAGTAGTAAATCTCTTTACGGTAAGTTAATCAAATAGGAGTGAGGAGCTCCAAGCCCTTCAACTGTTTCGAATAGTTCACCTAGAAAAAGAGGTTCATAGTATTGTTTGATCAAATCGGTGTCATCGCGAACTCAAGTAGTACCTAATGCCACCCAGAAGCCAAAGTCCAGGGTCCTCAACTAGCGATCGTCAACACCGTAATTTACTCAACACCTGATTACCCAATTTAAATTCGTATGCGTATCTGCGAGCTAAGGCTCTTATCTATACCAACCGGCAAAAAATTATTTATAATACTTTTAAGTGAATTTGTTTTTGTTTTCAGTTCCCTAAAACATCAATTACTAGTCAGAAAACAAATTTACAAGTAGAAAAGTCCAAAAGGTCTTCAAAATGACTTTGCGGCAATTTGTTTGGTTGGTGCTAAGGTCGCAGAAGTTACAACCCCACCTTGTGCTTGAAGTAGACCGAAAGGCGATTCCTCCTCCTCTTCAGTGAATAAAAGGAAGTCACGAAATCTTGACAAGACTTGGGTCGCCACTATTTCACCATTTCAAATGGGAGAATTGTCCTTTAAATAGGTTGGTCCAATTTTATTGGTGGTCGGGTTGCAGTCTCGATCCCTTAACTGATCTGATCTAAAAAACCATTTCCGACGCATCTCTTTGCTGTTAGGAATCCAATTAACACTTCACACTCTGAAGGTCACCTTACTATCTTTACGGTAGGCAATTCGTCCGAAGTATTTTCACCAACTGGGTATCTTGTTCCATTTAAGCTCTCACAATTATAGCCGATAATTGAAGGTTTATAGTTTGCGGATGTTTTTTGGTTGAGACGGCATTAGTGAGCATCCCACAAAAAAGTGACTAACAGTCAATAATCAGACGTATAAACACGGGTCAAATTTGATTGGTCAATTTTGAAGCACCGATAACCTCTGACCTTCTAATCGCCTGCTTTCATGATTCTCGTATACTGGTTTTAAAGAACGATTTTCGGCAATTCCTAACAAAAAAGAAACTGGGAATCATTGAAAACTGTGGAAAAAAGCAAAGAAGAAGGTGATTGGTTGATCTATGGGTATAGCGTCCCCCCCTTCCCCCAAAATTAGTTTGCGTTAGGGGTATGGTAGTAGTGGGAAATAACTATCTTCTCACACAGACGATAGGAAGTACTGAAATAACTGATTCGTGAGGTTGAATGTCTTCATTCAAGCATATTCTTGCCACCCCTTCTCTACCTCTACCAAAATCGTGCGATTTTTCAGGCTCCCAGCTCCAATGAGGGACAAAAATTTATCCCAGAGGTGGGACAACACAAAAACTCCCACTTTAAGGGACACTTTTTCAGCAAAATCCAGATACGCGAGCACAAGCAATAGAAAACGCCTCTGTTTTCTGTTTTCACAACCACGCCGAAAGATTCCCACCGTCCACCCGCCTGGGAAATTCACACCTAATTAAACTCATTAACCGTCTACGACGTGAAATTCCTCGGTTAGGGGCATAAAGTTCTCCCAACCACCCCGCAAAAGTACATGTTTCTTCCTGCTTCCGAGAAATTAAAGGTCATATGTACTAATAAGGAAGAGGTGATAAATCCGTGTTTGTTTACCTCCTCCACCGTCCATAAACTTAATTCGGTGGAGTAACCGTCACAGGCAAGCCTCCAGTGCCCATACAGATGACATATCGCCAAAAAAACAAGTGGTGAAGCTTCCAATTCTGGTTGAAGGGGCTTCATCTCCACCACGAGGCGGTACAGTTAGCTTTCTCCTCCAGCTGCGACTTCGCTGCGGTTATTTTAAGTCGACGTGCCTACTTTTGGCCGGCAGTCACTTTCGAATGCGACGTCCATTGTGACCAACACCTTGAAACATCGGAGGGCAAAGGACGTTTTTTGGGGTGGAGCAAATGAACAAGCGCATAAAGGGTGGCTCAACTAAATGCAACAGCACCCGCCTCAAACTAAACGTGAATTACCAACAGGAGAAGTCAAAATTAGCGTTGCTTAACCTCGTGAAACGTCAACGAACGAAGTGATTGCTGTGTGATTCAACTTGATCACAGATGAGCCGCCGTGGAAGCCTGTCCTGAAGCTAAGGCAGGCGTGGATCACTGTGGTGAGCTTAAGAACGGAATTCGGTGAGAAAATTATTATCCACAGGCTACTTGAAGGTTGCACAGCTCAAAATCAACAACACTGGCTCAAAGGTTACCCACTGTTTACCCTTCTCCAGTGGGCACTTAAAGTACGATTCTAGACGCCACGTTTGATTGTTTAAAAGGGACAAACAATTCTGTCTGTAGGGTAAGAAAACGGTAACAAGTGGAGGAGTTTTGTCTAGCGCCACAAAAAAATTGAGCAAAGGAGGCCTTAAAGGCGGTCAAGGGTTGAAGGCATGCTTGTGTGAGGAGCAGAAAACTGCTCCCTTCTACCCCGGTTAGCCACCTTGCAAAAAAATGTTAAACTCACATTTTTTCCTCGCTGCTGTTGTCACCACCGCCACCACTAACACCATCGAAGTTGGCGGCGGCTTGAGGCGAGTTCAACCAACCTTGAAGATTCCTTAACGCCGCCTCACGGCAGATTTCAAACAAATCACTGCCCGAAAGTCCTTCAGTTTGAACTGCGAACGCCTTCAGGAAGGCGGGTGTGACCGAGGCATCCAGTGGCTCACCACGCAAATGCACCTTCATAATTTCCTGTCGCTGTATTGCATTTGGCAGCGGAACTCGAACCTACCAGTAGTAGGAAGAGATTACTTCAGGCAAAAGAACTCACTTTGTAGGGCAGTCGACGAAGAATGGCGCTGTCAAGGTCACCCGGTCGGTTGGTGGCACCGATCACCATTATTCGACTGTCAGGCTCGGAAAGAAGGCCATCCCAAAGAGCCATGAATTGCGTTTTCATCATTCGAGTTGCCTCATGGTCGTGCGTGGAACGGGTAGTTAGAAAGGAGTCTAGAGGTTGTAATCACGTAGGAGAAATAGTTTGAGTGACCACCAATTTGGATCGTTCATTTGTGTCCACTCTAAACTGCGTAAGAGCTTCACCCACGTGACAGTTCCGATGATAACAAGGCAAATTGGCTAGCTGAATGACTGGACTAGACGAGAAGATATTCGAATATGTAGAATACAGTCTCCAAGATGGAGGGGTGGACTTTAGTCTCAATCACAATGAAGCCGGTCATATGGAGGATTCAAGCCAAGACAGAGAAACGAAATGCATCTACAATTACTTTGTAGGGTTAGTGAGCCTACAGAAGGGATGGAAGACTTCGTTTCACTGTCAAAGAGGCTGACCTAGGGGATATTGAAAAGGTTAACTTGGTAAATACTTCCCTACTACTTGGGATGGCCACCTCGGTCATCGTTTCCAGCTTCATCACGCCAACCAATTGGACAATGACCGCTCCTTTTCTAAAAGGACTTTAGATTCAATGCGCCATAATTGTGTAACTCAAGGCTCAGAACAATCTACAACTTCAAATTCCCCCCCCCCCATTGGCTTATCCGACACCAAACTTAGGTCAAATTACTCAATAACTTGGGTAATCACAATGACTCGTTCTTGGGGCGAGTCGGTGAAGTCATTAAGGGAAGGTACAGGTTTCTTCTCCTCTGTGGAAGGAAGTTAATCTCAACTTCGGTGAGGTGTACGTTCCAGTTACCAGGCAAGAGAAAGAAAGCGGATTGAGGGAGGGATAGAGAGTAACAGCGAGAAGAGCGGGGGGAAGGGGAGGCTTGGTACGATGATGCATGACCTCTGTGTTTTTGGCCTTCAAGTTGTTGACCCACAGACCTGGTGCCGGTGTAGTGCATGTCTCCTTCTGTTATCAAATGCGCACCGAAACTGGTGGAAGAGGAATTGTGTTTTCATTTCACCAAAGCATTGAAAACCATAGCGACAGTGGTAACATCAACCAGTGTCTGGAATGAAATATGCAACCGATTACTGTCAAGCGCCCCCAAATCAGTAGTATCAAACTGTTCAACAGAAGGTGGCGGACTTGTGGTCAAGGACCAGACGCTCTCATGGTCGCATCCGTCTGGCTAATGTACTACCTTCTCCACATTTCAGAAATGTGAGATGTCCATGGGCCTCATTCTTACCACCACAGATCATCATCATCACCATCCGATCTAACCCCAGCTCAAACCTTCCATGTGACCGGTTCACCTTCGAAATTAAAGTCTTCTGCCAAGATGGGCATTTCCAAATAACGGCAAGCTATCGAAAAAAGGGTAAGAATAGTCGTTGACATCGGCGTTGGTAAAAGTATCCACACCGATTGCAGTATAATGGAACGTGTCAAGAGATTCAAACCGTCGTTTGCCTTATACCAACTTTGATGTGCCTTGCAGACCCACAATGTTGTTTACCTATTCGAAAACATGCAGTCCACAACAGCACCCTTGTCATTGTCACTTGTGACTTTGAAGGCAAAGGCATGTCGTTATCAAACGCGTGCCGTAGCCAGTGGAATCGTGTTATGCAAAGACCTCTCCACAACGCCAGTTACTGCCAAAAACAAGCATTCATTATGCATAATGCAATCTATTAGCATCACAGTCTGCCCGGTTGGATCAGTTGACGCGAGCAGTAAAGACAATCAGTGCGTCTAAGTGACCTACCTCAAAAATGACCGGTGTCAAGCTTCACCGATTGATTTTTAAGCAAAAGAAAAGCCAGGAAGACCATTTCAGGAACACGGAATAGATAGATAGGTGGATAGGGTGGATAGGCTGAATGGATGGAGTATTTCAATGCGTGCTGTCCACTAGCCATTTCGGCCATAGAAGTTTCACAGCGGAATGTAACGCAGCCTTCAACTGCTGTCTGCCTCTCACATAGCTGGCAGTTAGAACGGAACCCCTCAAACCTCCAATCAAAAGTGCTCTAAACTCATTCCATGGAAAAATCCCCATAGGAAACTAATAAATGGAACACTCGTTTAAATAATCAAAGTTAAGGCATCAACCCTCGCATATCACCAAATCTTCCAACGCGGACAAAAATGCTTACCAATTTCGTCGATGAAGATGATGGAGGGTTGAAGCTTGTGAGCCAACGAAAATACCGCCTCAGCGAGTTTTTGTGACTCTCCATACCACATGTTGACAAGGTTACTTATCTACAAGTAGAAAGGGAGAGATTGGAAGTGGATACAGATGGCCAAAACCATAAATAATGCATATGGCCACGCAATAAGATGTCCAAGAGGGGTGTTAACTTGAACCCGGACTGAGCATTACTTAATGACCCCTTTGAGAGCTTCATTGACAAGAGAATGATCAAAGAGGCACGGGGGTGAGTGGCAGTTGTGAAGGAGCTTCCTACTATTCACATCGCTCCCATGACAAAATTAGTCGTTTAACACCCAGGCTATCTTATCCCGTTTTGAATCCACTCTAGATGACACAGAGGACAGAGTCCCAGTGCTCTGATGAAGGTGCACCTCGTCTTAACTACTGAAAATGCCTTATTAGGAATACATACGAAATGGGGCGGTTCTGGCTAACCCCCTCTAGATGGTTGACAAGTCTACTACAATAGGGGGGAAGGGGAAGAACTCGGAAACAATCCCTTCCCCCCTTTGAATCGGCAAGGTAGTTTTTTTGATTGCCCGAACGACAACCACTACGTCCTCACGACAGACCACCGGAGGCTGATGTGTGTGTGTGTGGCACTTTTTGCAGGGAAAAAGCATCCTCCTTTAGTACACATAAAATTGCCGCGTTGACAATAAGAAGTAGAGCAGGGGAAAAAAACAAAGAAACAGAATTGAAACTTCTTGTGGGAATAATACAAGATGTATGATTTATGGTTGTCGCAGTACTTTGCCCCAGCAATTGTGTGGGTAGCTTGAGAACCATTCGACTATTTATCAAGTGACCAAAAAAAAAGAGTTGATGCAGTTCTCGGCCCTGGAGACTGGTCACACGCACGCCATTTCTTTGCCATGACTGCATCATACGTCACAGTGATGCGCATCAGTGTGCTACCGTGGCACACTTGGCACTTTGCCCTCCTATTTTGAACCCTGATGCATTTCAACCAGCCCAACTTGTTCATCGCACGAGCTGAGTCAATCACCTTGGTCAACTTGGCCGTAAGGGGGAGGAGAAGCCAGCTTGGGCAACACTTGGAAAGGGTATGGTGGCAGAACAATGCACCGCCCACATGCGGATCGAAGCATCTACAGCTCCGACGATGATGAAGAAAGATGGATCATATTCAAAAGGACGTGCTATCTTTGAGTCATGTTTGACGTCAGGGATAAAACAGCTCGTTTACAGGAGGGGAAAGTCGTAGAAACAACTGATGGATGGATACGGGTGACAATCACCTTGAAAGATTACCAATTTGTTCTCCGTACCGTACACTGTAGATTGCTTTCTGACCAACCGACTGACTGCCGTATGCGGTGAAGTGTCTGTTATCATCAGTTAGCCATACTACTGACTGCACACATTCTTAATCACCACCACTTCAGCCCAGAAGACCACACCGTGTATATTTGTGCTGACCTGTAAACGGAATTGTTTACTAGGAATTATTCATCCTGGCGAAGGCCAAACACTTGTGTCGCAAGTGTGCAGTAGAGGAAGTGCTTCAGAAATAGCCAGGATGAGAGTTGATCATCATTGAGGAGGCAAAAAAGTCCTACCTTTAGAAGCAAGCCCTCCTACCGCATATCTCAAACCCTGCCTGCGAGAAGGCCTCATCCGTTAGACTCCACGCCTGATGCTAGGCCATCACATGATCATGAACACAATGAGGCTAAATTTGTTACTTTGGCCGGGGGGATGGGGAGACCATATTATAAAGGAAAAATAAGCAGTCAAGCTGCGTCGCGTTTGAGAAGGACAAGAGACTGTAATTGTGATTATTCCCACGATTCAGGTCGTTTAAAAGTCGTCTGGAGATGCCTAAGTTCCACCGGCATAAAACCGCATTAACTCGGTGCGTTCACCTCCGAAAACCGCCTTTCGAATTGGAAGCGGAGCCATCGAAGGAAGACATTGGACGCGTCCATCCAAATGGCAGTACTGGGTCATTTGAAGAGAAAAAAAGGCTGGCAAAAGGCAGTAAGGAAGCAGGAGAGTTGAGTGGAGTCTTCTCGGCAAAATTTGGACTCAGTCGAATGGGATACATTTAATGAGTCCACTTACTAGTGAAGGGAATAAAAAGAGGAAATCGCATTCACAGCTTTGAGAAGAATGCAAATTGTGCATTGTCAAGGAGAAAAAAAAGTGAAGGGAAGGACTCATGACAGTGGAAGTAGTGCACCTTATTGACAGCTTAACTACTACTTGCCACGTTGGATTAACCAATGACAAGGCAATGACAAGGTATAACTTGTTTACGCAATCCTGGACAACCTCTGTCACCGGCCTAACGACCCTTTTTGGCAGACGTGAATGAGGCTGTTGGCACACTCAACGCGCGTATTTAGTCTATCAACAGCTTCTTCACCTTTTTGTCGGACGCTCGGATCGTTCTGAATCTGTCACGGACTCTGTCAAATTTCTCACCTCCTCATAGATGGAGGCGAGTACGCACACACGGCAGACATCCATTCAGAATATGCTGTGAGTGAAAGGCCACCGTTCCTTTTTGATGGAGGGGAGTAGTGAGATACAAAATCGGACAGGACTGGTTAATGCCCCTTTCCTTCACCGTCTTTCGTAACACCTCTTGCTGACGTAGCCTCCTTCGTTCTTTGTCAACGACACTTTCTTCCAGAGTGGTCTGCTTCATCTCGTCTTTGATTACTATTCGGGAAGGAGATCCCCCGAAATTGCGTCGGCTTTTGGTAAACGTCTCTGTCTTGAGGACTGGAGGTGACCGAATTCAAGATGTCCTAACTGTTGGCAATACTGGCATGGAATGAGTGAAATAAGAGTGTCAAATGAGCTGACACCTCGGGTAGGAAAGAGTAATAAAGTGGGAAGTAGGGATGGATACTCAACACAACTCCATGAAACCATCTTTAGACGTAAGAAGTGGAGTAGTTGTAGAACACCGACCAGTAGACGGAAAGGAAACGTGATCACTGGATCCATTGAATATGGTCAGGTTCAACTACCTTCTCCTCTTGATAAAGAAGTAAAAGATGATTTTTGTTCCTGTCTATCAGATGCCATAGATATATTTGATTACCTTGCAATAACTGAAACAAAGGGGCGCTCAAATCACCCCGGTCCCTCACGATTCAACCTCCATGTTGGTGGAGCGAGTCCTACCTGTATTATCTGTTATTAGTCTCTCAGGCCTCCCGAACATAATAAGCTTACCCATCTAAAGATGGAAGAAGTGGACAGACGGAGGGAACTGATTACCGTACCACCTACTTAGGGTGTTCCAGAATCACTGCCTTGGAAGGTAGAGGAAGTGTGAGTACCTGAAGGTTGAAGAACCTGGCGTTGGCAGCACGAGCCATAGCCCTGGCTAGAAGTGTCTTTCCACACCCCGGAGGGCCGTAGAAGAGGACCCCCTTGGGCGCGCGAAAGAGCCGTGAACGCGGCAAAAGGTAAGTCGAAGCGCGGAAGGGCAAGATGACGGAGTCCCGCAGGTCGGCCACCACTTCCTCCAGGCCTCCAATACTGGACCAGGACGTTTCCAGCGTTGACGTGTCCACTAGGCTCACTGCGATGCACACCTCATAGTCGGTGAGTTTGGGCAAGGGACTGATCCGAAGGGCTTTGATAACCTCCATTGCCTATGAGTGTTAAGAGATCAGAATGGTTGAATCGTTCAGGTAAATATTCTCTTTAGGTGCCTTTAGTTCCTAAATATGGAGGAAAAAATGGCGCCAACTATTGGCAGTTCAAATCCGATCCGAGTGACCAAGTGATACGTATTTTCGTGTCAAACACAGCACGGACACTCAATGATGTAAAGTTTCATCAGTAAACCGCAAGTTCTTGTTCCACCTGATCGGGAGCAGAGAATCCTCTTGCACAGATGTGATGCACCCGGTATTCTGCTACTGGACACACCGCACCCTCTCAAAATGCTATCCATCAACAAATGGGATGTGAGACAGCCGCGTCGACCAAGTCGAGTGACTCGCCTCGTAAAGCAAAAAAGGTGGAAGCGGTGAAATCTATCAGGTATTAGAAAACACGACAGTGTCACGTATGTCACACCAGTCCACCGACGCGCATCTCCACGACCTGTGATGCAGTCATGGGAACAAAGTGGTGGGCATGTGAACAATCCCCAGGGGCTTACATTATGTTGTACCAAAAACTGAGCTAACCTCCTTGATCATTTGACATTTCACTCCTGAGAAATGGTTAATAACCAATTTTGACGATGATCGGAATTCGGTGGGACCAAAAAGCGTGGAGAATGGGTCATTCAATCCACGGGCTACGCAGATTTCGGTCGGTAAACTCAAATGGCCTTCAACACTCGTTGAGCGTTAATTCAACTCGTTCTGTGACTGGCATTGACTGCCTGATTTTAGGGTCGGAAGTGGAAGTGGTCACAGGCCTTTGGAAAAAAATCACATAAATAAGTAAATCATGCCACACTTGACACACATTTTGGATTACACTTTATATCGCCAGTTCACCTCCTCAAGTGGTCAAAGGATGGGAAGATCACATCGTCCGGTTTGAAATTCTCCCCACCCTCTACCCTCGAAAAGGGACAGAACATCTCCGGCTCTATAGATTGCTACTTCATAAATGGGTTTTAGGGTGAACCAACCACCCTCTTTGGGCTATAAACTCTCGTCTTGCAAGAAGCAGCTGCTTTCTTGGTTCATGGAAGAAATATTTCGCTACATTATTCAAATACGTGCACTCGCTTCCAATTCTTCCAAAAGCAGGGCAAAACATGGATGAACGAACTAACTTTTTTTAGGTACTATTACCCGGTGGTGATATTTATCTGCGCAAATTCAAACAACTTTCGCGATTTCAGTTACAAGGAGTGGATTATGCAACTGATTTAACAATGCCGATGCCTGGAAACAAATGTGAGGAGAATAGTCTATTGGGACAAGGGTGTGGTAGTCTAATGACCGCGCCTACAACAATCCCTAGGTGCGTCGAGAAGGCAAGGAAGGAGTTACCCTAATTAAAGCCAGGCACGAATGGTCAAGCCTTCCAGCAGAATCTGAAAGCCTTAAACCCCAAAGAAGTGGGGTGAATAGGCAGTCGACAGCTCTTCATTCGACAATGCAATGGTGATGATGCAATTCGCCACTGGCACTCCTCCCAAGACGTAGACACTCGGTTACAGTGGAAGGACGTCTATTACCAAAGGTGGACAAATTAGTAGTTAGGAGGGGTCAAATCTTCTTACAAGCCACGGCGCATTCAAAATCCAAAAACTCAAACTGTTCAGTAATAGAGTGCCACAAGGTAAATTGGATTAGACGCTCCCAAGGTGGCAATAGAAAACACAACCGGATTAGAGGTGAAGGGCGGATTGCCTTTGCGGTTGTGGAGTGGAAGCTAGGCCAGCGCTTTAAGACCGGGCCGGTGGAACAAACAATTCGCTTGACGCACTGTTGCCGTTCAGTGCAACCCCGCACGATGACGTGCACGCCCCTAAAATAGAACTGTTCCACCGCCTGAGGAAATGAAATTTTTTTTCCAGCTAAGAAGAAGGAACTAGGGTACTACTAGTGTACAAAGCTAGCCCTAATTAATTCAGAGGAGACGGAGAAAATGCTAATGATGCACAAGAGAGGGCGGTTATCGCTTCATCCAGGTAAATTATCAAGTTTTGTACTACACCCCTATTTAGTATTGCACAACTGTCGAGAGGATATTTTGAGCATCTGAGTACTAATTTCATGACCACAAAATTATACACCTAGAAAAGTGCAAATAAAAAACTATGTAGAACCCATTGTTCGTGTGCAAAACATTCGTGTCAAACAACCACACGGTAGGAGAAATGCTCACCACAGCTCAGTGGAGTATCCGCAGCTCGATAGTTTGGGAAATCAACTTTTGGAAATGGGTCAGCCTAGTGACCTCACTAACCTGACCCCACAGATGCATAAGTAGCAAGACTTTCAAATGATGGACAAGAAGTTGCTTCTCCCCTAGAGCAAAGAACAGGTTTGCAAAGCGACCCAATTTATTCCAAAATTAGCGTTAAACGGTTATACAGAGAGGGCCCGCTACTTATTGCTTTCTAGTAGCATGTCCCGAAGCGGAAAATCGATTCTGTGGGAGGAGATTGAGATGGGAAGCCGCTCAACAAATCGACAGAGTGGGATAACACTCTACAACCTCCATACCCTCATTCGCAATCATTTCCTAAATGGTGAAATCTGAAGGTTTATACTACTTAATTCGCAGTAGTACCCCCACAAGTCAATTGGCGCCGGACAACATTCAACTTGGCTGATGAGTTGTGTCTTACATTCGTAATAACTAGCTAAACAAAGAGGGGTTTTGAACTTAGCTCTAAAGCTGATTTAAAATGCAGGGAATTGGAGGTTAAAAGGAAAAATCATCACAAGACATCAAACCCTGTCTATTCAATTCACCCCCAGATCTGGTGGCTCAGAGCTACAAGGGAAGAAGGGGAACTGACACTCAGCCCATTTTGGTCGAATGTATCAGTAGAACGGTAATTTGAGAAAAGGGAATTAAAAATACCGACCCACCTTCTTCCTCGCGGCCTTCTTCTCCTTCGATGTGGGATTGAGTTGGTCGATGAGGTAGTACAAGAAGATCATGCTACCGACAAGGGACAAGGGGGGAATGGTGAGCCGCAGAAACCTCTGCAAAGGAGAGCGAGTGGGGGGATGGTGTGATAACAGATGTGGTGGTAGCGTTGAAGAACTACGTGGAACACTTTCTTGTGATAAGCCATGTGGCTCTACTCAAGTCGCCTATCCCATGAGTCTCGAAACTCTATGGCATAAGCACTGCATGCGTCTGTCGGGGACAATCTCGGGCATGGTGTTTCGTGCCCAAGCTCCAAACAGTCATTCACTTCTCTAATTAGTATGTCCCTCTGTGGAAACGGTGAAGACAGCATACATGATCGCAAAGTTGACAAACACTAGATGGCAAGACTTGAAGACTGTCCTAGGACAGTTCGGCCGCACCGACAAATCTCCCCATCCCAAAGCTTCCCAAATGCTAGTTAAAAGCTGACAAGTGCAGAGGACTAAGTCCAAAAATAAGTGTACTTCCTAGGCCTAGAAAAAGGCGTTTTTCTTTGACAAGTTCTAGTACATGCCAAAACAATGGAGAGACAATTGCTTACGGCAATACGTTCCTCATTGCCACCAGCATCAGCAGAATATGCTACGATTTGACGTCCTAGGGGATGGGAGATATGCAGCATGTCATAGAGCGTTCCCCACGCCTCCTTGAGATACTCTTTGACAGCTGAAATTTGATTTTCCAACCATATTTGTGGTGGTTTGGAGGATTCCGCAAGCACGACTGGTGGTAGTTCTGACATCTGCAGTGCAGCCAAGACAGCAAGTGTTACAGAATGACAAAAAAAGTCCGAATCAGGGGACAAGATTAGAACAGAACGATCTTTTCACTAACTGAAGCCGACTTTTCAGCCTCTACACTTCCGTTACCAAGTTTACTGGAATGCGAACAGTCTCTAAGAACTTCCGTACGCCCAGACTACAATGGCTTACTTCTCTGGGTATAAATTGAAGCCCTATGTAAGTGATGGAAGTGGGCTAACACGATCCAAGTGGACAAAGAACCGAATGGCTGAATCAGTGGGAAATCACGGAAGAAGGATCTTTGGAACTGCCAACATTTGTCACCCAACGATTGACTTGACTTCCATCATGACGGGAGTGCACGATGCTGCTCCTCGCCTATTTCTCCTTTAGGAAAATGGTTATGAGAAAAGCGAGTGACACAGATTATGCACACCCCTGGAGAGCGTCAACCAGCTTAAAGTACTACCTCCTAAATCGACTTCGCTTAGCATGCAACACCACAATTCCGGAATCTCAACTTAATCCAGTAAGGAAGAAGCGTTTCCACTATGATCCATATCCACCGAACCTTTGCTCCTGCTTTATAGTCAAATACCATTTACAGGGCGAATTATGATGGCCGAAGCAGAGGAGCGGTTACAGAGTGAAGGTTGTGCTAAAACCTCCTAATTTTAGACTGGTATGAGCATTGGAAAACTAACCATGTCTTTAGAGGCGGCTCGGAGATTGTAGAATTAGTAATGAGGGGAAAATGGCAAGTTAAAAGCAGTTACTAGGAGACAAAGAGGCGAAAAGTTGGCAAGACACGAGGGGTTGAAAAAGCCACAGACACCAGGCGTCGTAGAAGCACTGGTGAGTCATGCGTGTCCTCTGCCCTCTCTCGCCTCCGGTCGTACAGTCACTTCACTCCAAACCATGATGGGTAAACAAATTGAGTGAGGGTCTCACACATGCATCCGGCTTAATGATGTGGTTAAATCGGGAGGAGGGGGGGGGGGGGAGCCTGAAATGCGTAATGTGTGTACAGATTGGCATAGGGAACTCCTAGAGGGAGACGCATACACAAGATACTCTCACCAAGATGAGCAGAGCTGGAGAAAGACATATTCTCACTTCTGAGGGAGAAAAAATACCAAAGTATAGCTGTTTATGTTATTTTCACTAGTGGTATTTTTTATAAATGAAAATTTCACAGGATAAAACATACATCAACACTTTTACGGCACATACAAGCGCGGACGTAGCGTGCCTTTCTTTAATTAATTAAAAATAATATCTCAAGGTGGAATAAAGATTAAACTTTGAAAGACACCTGAAACGCATGCAGAATCCAAAATAACAGATGGGACTTATTAAGGGGTAAATTTGGGATAGTTGAGAATGTTTAGGCGGAAAACTGGTTTGAACATATGTATCGAAACTTGTTTCATCGTGTAACACTAGCCTAATCTCGAGAATGTGCTTAATTAAGCCTGTTTAAGTGTCGACGTGAGGCAACAACTTCAGCGAATGGATAGAATGCGATAAACTACTAGCGGAGAATAAGTACCAACGTAACACAACTCTGTAATTAGAATACGATACGGATTTAAGGCATATTTACTTGGAGGTGCTGCAACAGAAAAAAATGAGGGATAAACAATAGAGATGCCATAAAAGAATAGCAAGACCTGTTGGGATGGTTGACTAATATTTGCTGAAGGTGAGTTCGCACCTAACGGAAAATATACGAAGGGGCGTGGTCCGACGAAGACACATTGTAGTCAAACACCACAGGACGAATTGTAAACAGTAATGTGCAACGACTTGTTACTGGCAAAAATGCGCAACTGATACAGAACTACGACCTATGATATCCGTAGCTTCAGTCCCTCTGAGTAAAGCCTGATATTCTGTTTGCCACGTCCCTTAACAGACAGCCAAATCTTTTGTGCATGGTGGAACCCTGTCATCAATCGAGTATTCAGCAAAGACTAGCACCATGATTAAGCCTTTATAAAATGTGATCTAACAAAAGGAGAAAAAAAGTGGGTGATACAAACGGTTCCGACCTGTATTGAAAAGAATAGTTTGACGCTCATAGACCAAACAGTGTACTAGTGACGTGATATGAAAAAAACCCTCAAAATCATTTACAAGGACAAATTGAGATCCCTATTACAAGGAACTTTGACAAAACAAATAAAGGGGAATGGGTACAACGAAATTCCAAAAAATTGAGGGTAGAGTAAGCAAACCCAGAGGGACCATTTTCTTCAAAAAGGTAATTACAATATAATAAAACAGCCATCTAGTCTGCACAGTTGTAATTCAACAACCCAAAAAATAAAAAAAGGAGTTTACAACGGTACGTGACTGACCAAATGGGTACCGACCCCATTTTACTGAAGCAGATTCCTATAATACAACACCTGCACCGATAATCAAGCAAAAAAATAGGAAGGAGGAGCTTCCCATGACCTTCTTAACCGATATAGGCCTACAACAATTATTGACGATATTGACAAGTAAAATACTGACAAACCAAGAGTTCAACCGCGGCTACAAAACAGGACAAAAGGACCGCAATCTAGAAGTGAAAATGCAAATTTGTCATAAAAAACAGCACTTCTGGCTAATGTTCTCAAAAGAGGTACTGGAATTACACAACGGCAGCACTTAAAATAGACCCTGCAAGAACGGGACTTAGTGTCTTAGCTGTAAGAGGTTTCAGGCGTTATCACACCAAAACACCCGCCTTGAAATCTTACAGTACACTTGGAATATTGGACAATAATCCATACACAGACAGAACAAACAAGGGAAAACCTTCATGGCAAAGGTAAGCGCGGACGCACCAAAAAAGTGCCGGGTCATGTGGGTTATTATAACGCTGCAAAGGTCAACCAAAACAAAATCCAAACCATTTTGTGGCTAAAAATTGGATATAAATTATGTTGAACATATACTCTTATTTCAGTTCAATGTAGGCTTTAAAGATGTATAAGTTTGGGCGTTTCAACAATGAAGTGTACGCTTATTTGTACCATAATTAAAGCTGTGTATTGAAATGTTTTAAAAGTTTGTCTACTTTTACTTTTAAGTGTAAAGTGATTGAGTTCCATGGATTGCAATTCAGCCAGGCTATGTGGCTTCTGGTTCATGCTATATGCCTTAACTCTTCTGGTCGTAGGCAATGCATCCTTTGTCATACTGCCGTGGCGTCTTGAGACTTCAAGAAAGGGTTTTGATACGTCATGTATGAACTAAAAACGATCTGAATGAACTCAAACCCTGCTCGGTGGAGATTTTGAGCCGAAAAGTGAGGCAAACTTTTGCCATAAATAATTATAACCTGGAAGTATGTACATGGCTTGTTGTAAAGCCAACAAAAGGGTCAGTCATTAAAATTTCTACCATTCTGCTGCCTTTGTATTATTCCAAATTTTTAACAGATAAATACTAAGCTTGAATAACGGAATAGCAAAAAAGTTTTTTGCAAAAATGCAAAAAAATTTCAATTACTTTTTCGAAGAAAACCCAGCCTTTTTTCTAACCCCAAGTTCACAGAATCCCCAGTATTAAATGGCACATCATTCAACCCAACTGAATACATCCGTGACGGGTAGTCAATAGTTTGTGGTTTCGATGTCTGTCGAATGTTTTGGCAGTCGGGATTGGCTTGGTAATTATGTCAAGATCAATGTTGGAGGTTCCTTATTTTACACCACCATATCTACCCTCACACGGGAAGATAGTATGCTCAAAGCACTGTTCAGTGGACGTATGGACGTTAAAACTGACGATGACGGTAATTTCATTATCACCAAGTTACCTATCTTGTCAACATTTGAGTGGAATTCTGGTAGTGCTTTACTTGCAAAAAGATGTTGCTTTAGATTTTTCATCGAAGTCTAAGAATAGACTGCATAACTTCAATTTCTTTAATAATCGAAGGTATTGCGCTGTTTATGCGTGATTCTCCGATCACAGGCAGACCTCTATGATCATTCTTTGCTAATGCTATGCGAATTCTTGTATTTCTTTTACATTTTATTTCGTAGTTTGGTGAAACTGTATCATAATTCAGGATTATAAGTGAAGCGATATAACTACATCTCTATACCCATTTCCGCAATCCAGTTCGTTTTAAGAAATATTAAAATCTTTGTTTTAAGTCTGGCTGTTCCGTTATGCAATGTTGTATTGTTTATGAAACGTATGAGTAGTCGTATTCTTTCGTCTTCGTTCTTGTTTCTTTCATCTTTGTTCTTGTTTGGTGTCATTGGCTGTCTTGCACGACAACTGGGCTACTTCTGATTAGATTTTTAGCGAAAAATTTGATGAAACCGCAATTGGAAATAGCATTTACTCTCCTGTAGACTGGATTTTTTTTCTACGAACTGAAATTTTATGCTATAATCTGATAGGTACGTAGTGATGATTTTTTTTATCATTTTACAGTCCAACCATCTGTCTGGGTCACCTTTAGGTCTCCAACAAGTAAATACAGCGCAGATAAACGTGTTTATTGTTCCTCTATTTTGGTTGTATGATATTGGCAGCTTTCTATGGAAATGCAACTCTTGTGATTGAGTTTGTTGGTAGGAGTTGGCGTGTTTTTAAAAGCTTCTCTTTTCGGGTCTCTGTGGGTCCAGTCTCTCGTAACAACTGCTTTTGTTATAAAATGATTAACAAATACACTTTGACGCCATTTACATTTGAAGCATCAGTAGAATTGTTGCTATTCTTTGTAATCGTCTAGGGATACAGGGTATATTTCATCACGCTATCCCGAATGTAGCATCCGAGTTACCCCTAGAAACACAATGAGAACTGCGTTTATTGAACCAGCCTTACAATCAAAGCACAAACAGACTGGGGGACTGAAAAAATGGGTGGCGCAAACAGGCCTTCGTAACATTGGTTGGTTAGAGAATATTAGTCCATAAGTGAGATGACTCCTAAACGTATTCTTTGCACCACAGGTTGGGTTCTTCTGGATCGCAGTGGCAAGCACTTTCACCTGATCCTCAACTATCTTCGCGATGGTTCCGTTCCATTGCCTGACAATCGTCAGGATCTTGAAGAGCTTCTTGTTGAGACGCGTTTCTACTGCCTAGAGGGTCTGCGCCGCATGTGCGAAGAGAAGCTGGAAAAGTTGGTGGCAGAAACACAAGAGAAACCCAATGCGGCGAGCATCTACATTGTTAAGTATCCCAAAGTCACGAAAGCTATATTTGCCTCCACGAAAAAGGTATTTCTCCTATTAGATTAGTTTCTTTTCCACTTTTTTAGTAATTTTAAGTTCTTTAGTTCTATTCTGACATCAGCCACTATTTACCTGAGCATGTAGTATGATTTTAAGGAGTTTTTGGAATCTGAGTAGCTGTGATTGAATCACTGTTATTATTTATGTTCGATTGGCAGTCACTTTACTGTGACACTTAACTTTTGATGGTGTATGCCTTTAGAGTACCGGATAGATCCAATTTGTAGCGTAGGAGTGCTTTCTGGAGGCGCATCAAAGTTGGCACTAGAATTTGATTTGGATATCTGATTAGGCTTACCCAAATCCTGGGACCCATGAATCATGGGAGTGGTTTTCGTGCGCCTTGATCTAACCCCACCTTTTTCGAATAGCATATGCATTTTGTTAGGTCACGTGATTGTGTGGACTTTACCACTGTGTATCGTTTTCTGATGCATTTTCTAGCCAGTCGTCAAATTAACAATGAACCGATACAACAACGTGTTCTCGTACACCAAGTACGTTAACTTATGTCTAATCCTTCATTTTTATGAACCAATTCAGTTTTAATTCCTCATTTTTTGTATTGTTGCCTCTTTATCTCGATTTGTTAGTAATTGGAATGCTGGAGGATGCCTAAATTTAAGTCTGCTACATGTTGATTCTAGAGCCTTTTCATGGTTTTCAGTGATTTTTCTCTATCACCATTGCTGGTGAAGATAACTCTCAAACAAGGACTGACTTCGTAGTAGGACTTTGGCACTCGCGTTTTGTTATAGATCGAACCGAAGTCACTGTGTTGCCACCAGTTTCACTACAATTAGTTCCATCTACATTGGGGGTGTCACCTCAGAATTTGTTTTCCCTATCTGCGTCCTCTTCGCAGCTCACTAGTGATGATGCTATGGCCGACACATGTGGAGTTCTGGTAGAATTGATGGTTTTGGGAGTGTCTGGTATTGGTTGTCCAAAGTAACGTTACCCTGCAGGCGGATAGTTCATCCAAGACCGATTTTATCCACTTCTCTGCAATCGTTTCATTCACTTACTAGCTGCGGTAGGAACCTAACCGTGATAACTGTTGGTACTTCGACTCGCCCCTTCCATTCTCTGTGACTTGTCATGTTAGGTCTTGAAAGTGCGGCAGCTCGACGTTCGCCTTTGGACTGTTTTGTCACCTCATCTTCCCATGCCACTCGAGTTTCTGGACGTGCCACCCACATTTACCTCCACTATGGTAACAAAAACATTTACATTTTTTTCAGTCAGTACCCTTCAAACACTTCCATGATTATAGTGCATCAAGATCGCATTGTGTCTTGCGAAAATTCACGTGAAAATAACTAGAGATGGTAACAACAAATGTGTGATGTTAACGGTGTCCACTCACCTCGGCGATTTTGGTAGAACTTGTCACTCACTCCCTCTGGCGGCAAACTATCATGCGACCAGGGTGGTCATGGTTTCCGATGCACCTCGCTGTAATGACTTGACGTAACTGACGGGCAATTGTCAAATGCATGCATCATCATCAATTCGGTGATCCTTAAGTCCTCATTTTATAACATTTCGGCTGAATCCGATGAGCATTTTCCCGGTACGTCTGCCTTACCAACTAAAATTTAACTCGGTTCCAAAGCTGGACAGATTAGATTCGCATTAGAAGGCGCGGTTTATGGCATTAGAACAAAGCACCGCCGGGAAATGGTCGTGGTCACGTTGGGGGAGGGAAGCCTCTCTGTTCATGATTAATGTAGCGCTTGAATGTCCGTGTTGCGTGTGCTAGTGACCCAGCGGTTTGTATTTTCCTCCACAGTAACTCGCACGACAACCTGCTTCGGAATATTGAGTGCTTGGAGAAGTATGCTCTCATGTTCGCCGATCGGGTGGTCTTCATCAAGGATGTGAGAGACAAGTGTGAACAAAATGAGATTTGCGAATGGGGCTTCTACTGGCGGTGCCACAAACTCAAGAGCATCGATTGCATTGCCATTCACTACTCCTCCGAAAAACGACTCATCAAGGTGAGTTTTTTTGGTCTTCTAACTTGTAGGGAGTTTAAAAAGGTGGGATATTGTAGGGTTTTTAACTACGTCGAAAAGCCGTTAGACTTAGGCGGGAAAAATTCACCTCATTGATTTTGATGAGGAGGATCCCTTGAGCCTGGCTGATGTTCCATGTGGGACAATCCAGGACTCAGAGTCGTACGTGTAGCTTTCTCTGTAGCTTGTCAAATTCATACACTTTAAAACCCCCATGTCTGGCAGTCTGTCATTATTGTGTACCTCTTTTTGGCCTTTCCTCCGTCATCCTTCTATTATGAATTCTAAGTTCGTACAATGTCGACTGAATCCTGGTGCCTGTCACTCCACCTCTTCCGCCTTACGAACAGGGTGTAACTTGGTTTCAGCAGTGCAAAGACCAGTTTCTCATCAAATCTACCGCACAGCGTTTGGAGAGGGTGTGGTATGGGGTGTCAGAATAAAGTACCGCTCAGGAATAACTTACATAAATAAATATTTCAAGGCAGATCCTGATTTGTGCATCACGTTGAAGAGGGGGGCCTTTCCGTTCTTCATCATAACGACTGGAGATTCGCGTGTCGCTATGGCACTAAGTAATTGAAGGTCAGTATGCGAAGAACTGCTCGCGGTTATGTTTAGCGTGGGCGGCAAAACTGTGAGGTGAATATTGCGGTGGAAGAAAATTCAACAATCGAGTGTCATGCTCTGCAGCATCAGATGACAAGGGGCTCGAAGGACTTGTGATTCGTCCTGCACTTCTTCACCTCACCACGTCAAAATGCGTATTCGCTGACTGGCCGATTGACTTGTGATTGAAAATGCCCTTTATGTTTCATCTGGTCACCCCAGACCCTGCACCAAGGCGACTGCATTGAAGACGCTTGTTCAGCTGTTGAAGGCCAACCAGTTACAGCTAAGGTTGGCCAATCTACAGGATACAATCAAATTTGAAGGTGTCCAGGGCAGTACCTTTTGAGAAGCAGCCAGGAATCCATTAAGTGGGTCTAGATATAGCTCCACCATAAAACCATGCCATCTCCATGATTCCTTTCAGTCTCACCTGTGAATACTTCACCTTCGATAAACACAAAGTTGAAGGTATCTTTGTGGTCAAAAGGGACAAGAATTAGAAAGTGCTCTCTTTCGGAAGGTGGAAGGGATGAGACTGATGACACGTCGGTAAAGGCTTTGGTAGTGCTTTCAGTTCTTCCTTATGATTTACTTCAAGCAAGTACCATTTCCGCTTAGGTCGAATTCCCCGAATCGAAGATTCACGAAGAAATGCTCTTCCTTCTCTCCATCTCCGATCGCGACCTCTCCGATGCAGAAATCCTCGACACCGCAATGTGCCGTGGCAGCGCAGCTGGTCTCAGTCTCCCCACTACCGCTGCTGTCTCCCAACCCTCCACCTCCCCCGCCGACCCCAATGAAGAGTCCATCGCTCATGAACCAGAAACTGCGTCTTCTTCCTCGGTTGCCTCCTCTTCCGTCCCAACCACTGCTGCCTCTGCTTCTGCCTCCGCCTCTACCTCTGCCATCTCCCGGGGAGTGAGAGGAGAGGAGGAGGTGATGACCCAGCGCTCCCTAGCTGGGCTCTTTCCCCGAACATCTTTGCCATCGTCCTTTGCTGCGTCGTCATCGGCGGGGACGACAGGAGCTACGACAACAACAACAACAACAACGGTGGCGCAGACAGCTTCTGCCGGACCTGGCGTTGCTGCAGGTGGTACCTCTCACTCGCGAGGTTTCGTGGGCGCTTTTGCGAGCTCGCATCGTGGTCCGAGAAGATCGTGAAATGGGTACTTTTGATGGTTATCTTCCTCTTCTCTTTATCTTTTGTCTGATCTTGTAATGCAGTGATGTGGTTAGTGTGTACAGTGGAAGCGTCATTTCACTCATCCTACCATTGGGATCTATTTATCTGGGTTATTTTCACTTTGTTGGCATAATATTACAGAGTCATTTCTTCGCTCTTTTGTTTTGACGCGCTGGGGCGGGGGGTCCAGATCGTCGGAGGTAGTGGGCTGCCCGCCTTGCAAGGTTGTGTTGCACGGTGTGTTGGTTCACGGACTTGGAGAGTGTATGCTTCCAATCAGTCATTGCCAAAGCAGCTGGGGTGCAGTGGATTGAGCCCAAAGGGTAGCGCGACTGCTGTAAGAGTAAGGGGGGTGCTAATTTCCTTAGTTCCTCCTATTTGCTGTTAGTGTTGCTAAACTTCAGAAAATCCAGCTATCCATCATAGTAACACAATCACAAATATTCATAAATAGGTCCAAATTACGAACAATGAGCTGTCGTAAGTTTGCACATGTTGCATATATGCGTCAATGAACCGTCGACAGCATTACGTAAAAGTAATTCCCAATGTCAAAATAAATGCAACAGAATTTGTATAAGGTAAAATATGAGTTGCAGAGAGTGGATACCACCATATTTAAAAGCATACTTAATGCACAAAAATGAGACAAGATTCCTTTGTTTATGCTATGAAAAATGCGGGTGATTTGGTGTGGGTAACGAAAATCTGCCGTACACGAATGGAAGAACTGCCTTCTTGCTTTAGCGCAACTAGCATTGTAACTCGTGCCACTTTGCTGATTTTATTCGCATAGCTCAAAAATATGCTTTTACAGTGGATGAGTGAGGTACCTAGTCCTTTTCCTCTTTCGGATGCTCGAGCTTGGTTGAGACGTTATTTGGTCTCCAACCACGGAGATGCCGTTAAGGTTGACGAGTTTCTTTCGTTTCTTCAATCAAACGACTATATTAAGATCATTTGTTACGAAAAACGCAATTTACCCTTATTTTAGTAAGATTTTTCCCGTTTGTACACACATCTCTAGTCCGAATGATGAATCACTTTGTTATGCACATGGTGGGCAAACAAGTAGTGTGTTTTTGCAATCGTAGTTTTACATTCTAGAAGCCTCGAATTCCTGTCGTGGCTATGGAAACTCAGCTTCAGAACGAATGGAACGGGCACTTTATTATCGCTCATTGTCTTTAAAACTGCTGAAAAGGTGTGTTTTGCTATTTGCTTTATCATATGTGGTAAAGGCTCACTTCCTACCTGCCAGATAGCGTGAAAAATGACCTCCATCCGTCACTTCACTACAAAAATTTATCAATTGTGAAGGAAATTCTCAATTTCCCACCCCTTGAGACATGTAAATTTTGCTCAGATTGGCTTACTGAAATTGGTGAAAATATATATCATAATAGACAGGAATCAGGAATTGATCTGAGTTCCAGTCTTCTTGTCCATCTGGATTTCTTACGCAGATGTGAGTTTCACCTTTTTACTGTGTTCTAACTACCTCGAATTTTGCTCTGTTTTAATTCCTATTCAATGGACTTAAATAATTTCTGGTTTTTGCCACTTTCTGTATTAAGGCCCTGACAGTAGTGTACTTTCAAAAGAAAATATGGCCGACGTTTTGAATGATATTGTTCGAACGATCGTCAAATTATTGAAGACCTTTGACTTCTTCGTCCCCCCTAACCCGATCACAGTTTCTCTTTTCAAGTTAGTTTTACGTAAGTATGAAACCAGTTTTAGGCATAGTTTTGCGTCTATTAGATGTCTTAACTACACCCCGATTATGCTAGGACCTAAACTTCGATTCTGTCGTACCTAGAGCGTCCTGAAGTACAGAAGAGAAAAAACCGACAACCACCCAGTGCATGGATCGGCAACCGAATGGGTGTTCTGTAAGTGCGCTCTTCGGATTACTTCACTTTGACCTCATCTCAACTTTTAGGAGTGACCCCTTTTTCTTACCCAACAAAAGATCTTCAATGCGTGACCCCCATGTGCAAAGACCTACAGAGTCAGAGGTATCAACTTCAAAAGTGTTTCGCCGTTCCCAATCAATGTCCCCAGGATCTCGAAGGTAGGGTCCAGCAAAAATTCGCTTTCGCCTTTTCTCTAGGTTATCGTTGAACTCCATAGATCTTCACGTGAATATGTCATTCTCTCGGCCTTTCATGATGTCCGGTAGACTGCAGAGGGCCCATTCGGACATTTTCAATCCCACCGACTGTGTGGAACGAGCACTGCGTCTAGCCACCACTCTACTCTGTCCAAATACTTGTTCTATTATTGCTCACCTAACCGCCGCTATTAGAAGCATCCGGAGCAACACAAATCGTGAAGGTTTTCAAGAGGACTACTTCCCTTTATCTAGCGTTGAATGCGTAAGTTTAGATTTTCTTCCAACTGTTGACTGCTCACTCATTTTTGCCCTCACAGATGGCGGTTCTCATGGCACCGATTCTGTTTCCGGTGGTCTCTCAACGTAGGGTGACTCATAGTTCTCGTCTAGACTGTGGGGAATGGAGGGAGGCTCTTTTGACCACTCTTTTCTCTGCTGACGCGGGGAAGTGTATCCAACCCGCTGAGCTTCTTCTTGACATAGTTGATCCAACTAAGATTCCTTCGCTAGCTAAAGTAATTGCGCCTTGACTTCTTTCTTAACTGTCAACCGATTCGCACTCCCATTTTTTCTATTATTTGAATTTATTGTAGGCGTTAGAACTAACTGTGAACTGTCAATCATCACCGAAAGTAGCTCCTCTCCAGTCGTCTTTCTCCCGCCTTAACATCAAGTCGTCATCCCACGGTACAGCAGCTGCTTCCATGGGTCCCCGTCATACTAAGCTTGAAAATGAGAGATCTTTCTCTTCTGAGACACCTAGTGCTTCCCCAACGTTATTGCAGCCAACCCTACCGGCTAGTTTGCGATGCTCACTTTTTTCTGTAGGTGGGCTGACTCTCTTACACAGGCTTTTCTTTAGAGAAAACCGGCGTCACAACAGCGATTAGCTAACTTGGGGAAGACCTATGAACTGATGAAACTGTTGAATGGGATTCTTGAGGACCGAGCCATGGACCCCAAGGTGAAGCTGAATCATCTTCGACAGGTATTATTAGGGGAAAATCCACCTCACTCCCTCTGTTTCATTGGATCAAGTTAAACAAGGCCTATTTACAGTTCCAAACCTTCCATGGGGACGTCTTCTGGATGCGTTTTGGCGATGTAAAAACGGCGGAGAGGTATTTCGACCGCCTCAACCATCGAATCGCAAATGCTTCAACTAAGAAGGCTCCAGAGACGCCGGTTGCAGGTATGCCAAAGTCGAGTAGTGCGTTCTTCCGGCGAAGGGTACGCTCCAATACTCCCAAACCTTCGCAGTAGACGACTTACTGCGGTGTGACTAGTCGGATGCCCATAATTCCATTCGTCATTTTGTACATTTTTTGCTTTAATGCGCATAGTACTTCAACCTCTGTACCCAAGGATGATATATGCATATATTTTTAATGCTTTTTAATCAGCGTCGTATTAATTAAGGAAACTCAGGTTGTGCTCGCCTTCGTGCATTGGAAATGCACTTTCTCGGTGGTATCTATAACGGGCTTAGGCGCAGGAATTGTTTGTTGTGTAGTGCCCAGAGTCCTACCTGAAGTTGTGAGAAGCCGCAGTGGTATGGCAGAACATATCTCACTAGCATGCAGGAAAGTTGGGAGGCAACTGACCTGGTCCAAAGGTCACACTACCGAGCGAAGTCATGGACGGCCGAGAGTGAGGTGCTTATGGAGTAGGCCACGGAACCGGTACAAGCACCGAAGTATTTCGTCTGCAGGGGTTGTGCACTTAGCGGTGATGCAGGTGTGACACTCATTCTTGTGTGGGCTTATTGGGTGGTGGTGATCGGAACTGGAGTAGTGGGGTGCCTATCCCAAATTTGTGGTTTTTAAGCCCGAGTGGATGCGTCACCATTGGTCAGTGAGTTGGTGGGGGTGGTTGCCCCCTACCTCACCTCAACTGCCGATACAACCTTTTGTGTGTATAGGTAGATTCGATAAAATCTGGCATCAGCTGTCAAAATAAGCCTCTAACTCCTAGCTGCTAATCTATCAAACTTAAATGAGAAGCCGCAATCTACTAAGAGAATCCGTTGAAATTTATAAAAAAGGGATGAAATTTCAAAAGGTGCAGGAAGTTAAGGATTGATAGCTTCAAGTTCCAGATTGCGAAAAATATGTATTTTACCATACTCCTTAATTTTTAGAAGAAGAATGGGGCTTCGGTGACCTTAATAGGCGTTTCGGTTTTAGACTTTCAAATTTCAGCACCAGTTAACATTATAGTTCTTCTTCTGTTAATCCCTTGGCGAATATACAAATTTACTTATTATAATAATCATAATTTTTAAGAAGGTCGTCTGCTGGCGCCTCATTCTTTTGGTCGCATATCTTGCTCGTTATGGGTCCCGCGTACAAAGTTGGTATGTTTTGTTTCGATGCTTCTCTGGCAGCCTATTTTCCGGGAATCGCGACCATTTTATTGCATTTTAGCTGATATTGGTCTTGCTGAGTGGGGGCGTCGAGAGATTGAAATAGCTGAGAATGAGATGCCGGGATTGATGAAACTGCGTGCCATGTATGGCGCAGCTCAGCCCCTTAAAGGAGCTCGCATTAGTGGTTGCCTTCACATGACTATCCAAACCGCAGTTCTTATCGAAACCTTAACTGCCCTAGGTGCTAAAGTTCGTTGGTCATCGTGCAACATTTTCAGCACCCAGGATCATGCAGCCGCTGCCATTGCCAAAACTGGAGTTCCTGTATTTGCTTGGAAAGGTGAAACTGAGGAAGAGTACGTATGGTGCATGGAACAGACACTGCAGTTTGAGGACGGTCCGCTGAACATGATTCTTGACGATGGTGGTGATCTAACCAGTCTCGTTCACGACAAATATCCCCACCTTTTAAGTGGTATCAAAGGTGTCACTGAGGAGACAACCACTGGAGTTCACGCACTCTACAAGCGCCAAAGGGAGGGCAAATTAAAGTGTGCCGCTATGAATGTCAATGACTCTGTTACAAAGAGCAAGTTTGACAATCTCTATGGTTGTCGAGAGTCACTGGTTGACGGTCTTAAACGGGCCACTGATGTCATGTTGGCCGGTAAAACGGCTTTTGTTGCTGGGTATGGTGACGTTGGTAAAGGTTGCTGCCAATCTCTCCGTTCCTATGGCTGTCGTGTATTGGTCAGTGAAATTGACCCAATCAACGCTCTTCAGGTGGGTACTTGCTTTCCGTTTTATTGATCTTTTTCCTCTATTAAGGCTGCCATGGAAGGCTACGAGGTAACGACCGTTGATGAAGCCGCCAAAGAAGCTCATATCTTCGTCACGGCCACGGGCTGCTGCGATGTTATTGTGGGGCGTCATTTTGAACAGATGCCGGAAGACGCGATAGTTTGCAACATCGGACACTTCGACGTCGAGGTTGATGTTGCTTGGTTGAATGAAAACTGTGTGGAAAAGGTGAAAGTGAAGCCACAGGTGGATCGTTACCTTCTGAAAAATGGTCGGCATATTATCCTCCTAGCTGAGGGTCGTTTAGTTAACTTGGGCTGTGCTCATGGCCACTCGAGTTTTGTCATGTCAAACTCATTCGCCAATCAAGTCCTCGCGCAAATTGAGCTTTACACGAAATCTGAAAACTACCACATTGGTGTCTTTATGCTGCCCAAAAAGGTGAGGTCATTTTTCCCCCCTCATCACTCCGCTTCTTCGTAATTCTAGTTGGACGAGGAGGTAGCCGCAGCTCATCTGGACCAACTTGGAGCCAAGCTGACGAGGCTTACCAAGGAGCAGGCCGAGTACATAGGCGTCCCAATCGATGGGCCCTATAAAGTGGATCACTATCGTTACTAAGTCGCCATGGCATCGATTCCAGCGCGCCGAAATTTAATGATGACAATCAAGCTAAATAAAGTTGTTCCCTCTCGCGTCCTCTTCTGCTGCTTTAAATCAAGGCGAGGGGATCAGAAAAGAATTTAATTTCCATAAGTGATATCTTATAAGGAACTTCAGGATAGGGAGAGGTGGTGATGGAGTGGGTTTGGTTTTCTCAAGTTTGTACGTGTCAATAGAAAAGACAGGACCGGAAGGGGAAAGGGCTGGGTATCTTTTTTGGAGGGAGAATTGAAGGGAGGGATGGGGGAGAGAAAGTGACGAAGAGAAGACGGTGAAGTAGTAGAAGCGAATTTACAGAAAGCTGCATGGTTGTGGAGGTGGGGGGAGGCGGAATGATAAGACCGCAAGGGTCAGTGAAAAGGAGGGGTACACATCACGACATCAAGCGCAATGGAGAGTTGTTCCAGGCGACTTGCCTCCTCTCAGCTCTTTCGCTTTCGCCCTCATGCTGTGCACTCCTCTTGACGCTCAAATTCTGCCATGGCGTCGTTGAGCTCCATGAGGATCAGCTTCGCCATGTTCATGTGTTCCGTATTCATCCACTACAAGGAATGTGTTTAACGTCCAAGTTAGATCAGATAGTCTAATGCATCACCCGCCGGCCGGAAGCAGAGATAAAGGAGAGAGAGGAGAGGCATTTCTTTGGCCTCCCGAGTTCTCATCGGCTTTAGGGAATGCTCAAGGCTTTACATCGGTACCCACAAGCTTGTTTACTAAGTTTGAGACAAAACCGTTCCATAGAACAGACCACGCCAACTTTGTAGCGTGACACCATCGTGATTCAACAGCCTGAGGGGCAGAGGCGCTTCAATTACCCAAACTCATTGCGAGAAAAAAAAGTGTGGACTAAAAGTTCATTCTCTAACAATGGGAAGCGCATATCCAGCCTTGTTTACAAGCAGAAAAAGCACACACGGAGTTAGACACCGGATTGGTCTAATTTCGCAATGTTTGAATCACCATGGCATTTCGATTTAATTACAAAGAAGATAGGAGGGCTTGAATTAGTTGAGTCCACACAATTTACCGCACCGATTTGGAATCAAGCTCCGAAATGTCATGGCCAAAGAAGGCTAAATGTAGCCAGGGCATTAGATTTCATGCACCCAGGTCGCCTCGGTTACAGTTTGGCGCCCCTAACACTACCACCTCAGGTGACTGCAAAAAGTTCGTGGGCACTTCGGTGTAACAGTATCGCAAGGACGAGTTGTGGCGTGTATTTGTGCAGGAGTTGTCCAATCCACCCACGCGTTTACCGGTGAACTTTGAGTCATGGACGTGGGTCACTCTGCCGACACGGTACTCCGTGCCCCTCCTCTCTCTCTCTCTCTCTCGATTGTACTCTCGACCATCTTCCAGCTTACCTTGAACCCGCACTTCATCAAGTGTAGCTTGAATCTGATGGATACGGTTCCAAATCCTAATTAAGTCGAGTTGAACTTGGCTCCAACACTCCAGAAGCTAGCTGTTGCTGTTGAATAGTACTTGGGGAAGGTGTGGCAGACCGACACACCGTCTAGAAATGGTTCGCTCAAAGGTAAGAGGCGTCATGTCAAGGAGGGGAGTCCCTCTGTTCTCCATCATTACCGATGGGAAATGGCGTGTCGTTACTGTCCCTAACCACCTGGAGGTTAATATGAGTGATGAGCCAACTGGTTTACATCTTTGCCATCAACCGGGAGGAGATTGATCGTGATGGAAACCACCGAGCAAGTGGATGTCATAGATGACAAAGTACTTGAAAATCTGTCACCCTCTTTCCCATCTTTTCACCCCACCTTCCAAAAAGGTGGCCACTGGTGAAGAAGGGTTTATTGGCTGACGACTGACTGACAGATTGGCCTGTGATGCGGAAGGGTCTTAGCATTCCAACTTTCTTTACGGCAAGAAGCATAAATGGTTACACCTAAACGACTCACTCCCACCACGATCCGCTCCACTCTCATAAGGACCCACACCGTGCATTGTTTGAAGTGTGTACCTAACTGAAGACAGAATTATTTACTACGACCTGTTGGTATGCTGAAGGCCAAATAAATAGGGTACAGACACACCCAAATTTAGGGTAATCCTCGCCTCATAGAACGACAGATAGAAAATAAATAAGCATTAGACAGATCGAAACACCGATCTGGTATGGAAATATTAGGGCTGACCCTGTGACCTACTGTACTGGAATTAAATGGCCAGCGATGGAAACGTTATGTAAACAGAACAATATCTGGAGGTGAAAGCTGCCATGACAGTATTGATCAAGTGATTTTGTACAACAACACCTCAAAGGCTGAAAATGAAAACAGAATAGGTAGTTTAAAGGTGCAACAGACATCAGATTTAAGTGCCAATAAACAACGTAGAACAACAGTGATTACAGCGGTTCAAAGAATTCGTGTCTGACCTATTCACCCTGTTCGCCACAAAATGCTGCTGAAGAAGAAACTCAAGGCTGTAATTCTACCCATCTCGCGCTTGCTAATGCTCCTGCCTGTCCGTCCAATTACAACACTCCTTCTTTACTGATGGAGATGGCAGTAAGCCCTCCCCCCCTGATGTTCATGCAGTCCTTAAACCTGCTGCAGGTATCAAACCCTCTAAGGCCATTGTGATAGGCATTGGGGAACACGCGGTGAGGAGTCACAAGTCATTGAATTGTGCTTTCAAGGCAATTGGTAGGATGCAGACTAAGCTGGAGTCACTTCAAGTTGAAAGGCATTCTAGTGTTTGATGAGAGGACGACTTATGCCGAACCCATCCACTGGTGAAAGAAGGGGTACTTACAGCCGTTCCCTCAAATGTGGTGGCAAAACGCCTCGGATTTGGGAGGACTATCGCATCACCACAGATGAACTAGAGGAGATTGTTTATCAATTCCACAGTTTGCGTTCCTTCTCTTCCGTACTGTTCTCCTCTCATCCCCACATCTACCGAGCTGGAGAAACTTTTATTCCATTCTTACTTTCAAAGTGCCTTCACAGGATCTGAGGCAGATGAGAGTATCCTGGGAATACTTCCTTTGTGCTTTTCCTTTGCTTCCAAGGCTGTTCTAATCCATCGGCATTTCGTAGACACAATGGAGCGCTGACTGGACTGCTACGAGATTAAAAAATTTTTAATACACACCTCACGATTTTCACTGACCCTGAAGCTGTTAAATTCACCTACGACCCTCCCAAGTAGTTGGAAGAATCTCCTGCTAGAATGAATCAACGATGGATGCTTACTCTTATCCAGCAACACAGTGTTGGTGACATTCCTCATGATGATCAGGTCTCAACATGCCAGTGCTAAAGAGACTGGCATCTCTGCCCGCTTCCTTCCATAACCATTGTGGAGTACACAAGAGAATCCAATTTGTGACACATGGAAGCATTGACACGTTATCCTTAGAGCCACGAGATGGAGAATAAAGAATAAGGGGAGTTTATAAACTTCGTAAGGAAACCTTGGTTACGGCTACATATTAGGGATCGCATCGTTATTTCTCCCACATTGAGATCAACAATCCTGAAAAACTTACATCCCTGTCATTTGGGCATCGAGAAGATGACGTCCGGAGCTCACCTTACAATGGCAGCTAACGGGACTTACTTGCGATATCTCAAAGAGTTCCGGATATCACCTTAAATGTTTAACCAAGAGCCATTCACAACCAACTCAATGAACGTCACGGCCGATCTCTCTTGTAGCCTGGCAACAAACATGACGACTACAACGGTCCATTCAGAACTTTTACGCAAACCAGGGGTGTACTTCATTAATTACATTCAGACGTTTAGACATCTGCAATCCCTTGGTGGTGCTGAACACTTCATCCGTCAATCCGCGCGGGCACATTCCTGAATGTTGCAGATTTCCTGACTGAAAGTATTCTAGTGCAGCTATTCAAGAGTTGTACCTAGTCTAAACTCCGCAAAAGTCGGAGAAATGACCTCAGGCCATGGAGGGGAATTGTTCTCAAGACCAAGGACCTTCTAGGCACAGCTGATAACTTTGTTCACCAAAGGCATAAGTATCAACTTATGTATATTTCTGCCATCTCTGATCCTCCACAATTTCTGCCTACCGGAAATCCTGCACTACTGAGGGGACTGCAGTAGCTGAGGTCGCCAAAACCAACTCAAAACAAAGCGGCAAAATTACGAGAATTCATGTGCCTGGTTAGGATACCATACAAACGTACTTTGTAGCAGTTCGACAGAAGAAGCTGATGTGAACCAATAGAGGCAAAGGAACAGAGAAACCTCTCTTTCTCTCTCTCTCTCACACACACACACAAAATGAGACGGGAGCTTGCAAACTCCACTTGGTCAAACGTTTTGTCCTCCCAGGAGGAGACAATTTGGCACTAGAGACATGCGCGATTGGCTAGAGTCAAGGTGATAATCACTGAGGGAAATAAAAGAGGAGGAGGGGGGGATGAAGGCGAGTCAATACATTCGCCTCATCCTGAAGTGCAGATCTCATAAGTGAATTTTTGCTTGGTGGTCTCTACCATGTCGCCCTCTACCCGGATGATATCAAGGGTGTAAATCAGTTGGCGCATCACTCACGCTGACCACTAAAGTAGTTAGAGCTCGTGATGGAGAGCAGAGGGACTTTCCACCTTAACGTGATGCATCCTGCCTTTGAGCTAATCATTTCTGGGCGGTGCATTCCTCTACTACTGCGTACCACACGATCTTCTCCAAGTGCTATAGGAGGAGAGGCTTGCTAAGACCAGCCAGTTTCTGCAGCGTTGAAACCGAACGCAACTCGACTTGATTAGCAGCTGGAACCACAACCGTCAAAGTCAACCCAAATGAGGCTTCAAAAGAAGGGAAAGATGGTAGAGAATACAACCGAGAGAGGGGGGGAGAGTGTACCGTGTCGATAAATTGACCCAAGCTATGTCACTCCGCTCTCGACTGGATTTGTTCGGACCTGATATTCGTCTCCTCAGTAGCCAAGCCACCAATATCCCAACTATTGTGCATAACGATGACCGGCGACAAGTCTACACACGTCTGGTTGCTATTTGGTGATCCCTTAAGGCATAAGACTTAAACGAAACTATAAAGGTGAGCAATAAACTTGAGTTTATCTGCTTTGACAGAACGATTGCAAAATGGCAGTGCAAACGTTGCCTAATCAACATCATGGGTCACGCTAGGCGCCAGGTCAAATGATACAGGAAGACTTATAAGCTGAGCACTACACATCGCGATCCTTCCCCATGGGATCGAGATCAATCGTATCCAACGGCAAAGATAGGTGAAATTGGCAAGTCTACTCACCTTGTCAGGATGGACAGCACGAGCGGCCTTGCGGTACTGCTGCTTCACCTGTTTCACAGTCATCACATCTGCCATGGAGATTTGCTCCCATCGGACACCCTCCCACAGCACTGAGTTCAAGGTGCAGAGCAGGGCACGCACATTCTTCTCCTTGCCCTCCAACCACTCAATCACCTAGACAAAAAAAGGAGTGAATCGGCCTACCACCGGTAAGGACGCTGTGGTCAAGGCGAATGCGGACCACCTGAAAGGCGCACAAGCTTTCCTCCTCCAAGCTACTTCTAAGTTGATGGCTAGTTGGTGAATACATTTTCCAATTTTACTCCAAAAAAACAAATGTGACTGTTTTGTTGGACAACAAGACAGCGTTTGTAAATGTTGACAATCCCACTAAAAGGAAAAATTTCACCGCTTTAGCGCAGGGACATACCTTCAGGGCTTCGCGATCTTCCGTCTGTGCCAGCTTCTGATGTCGAATCTCTGCCAGCGTTTTCGGTTGTTGGTTGCGTCTACTGCTCCCAAAAGCCTCCCCAGAGGAAGAACTAAAGCCGCCCAAAAGGTCTTCAAAAGTGTCCTCCGTGACACGTGGCCGGGCACCATGAAAACTAGGTGAGGCGGTGTTCGGTGCAGGGTTGTGCCTCGGCGACGTGTAGGAAGCCGACGATTGGTACTGTTGTTGTTGGGGTGGTGGCGGCGTCGGTGTCGCTTGTTGAGGTGTAAACAATGGCTGCCGAGCTGAGGAGGAGGAGAAGGGAAAACCAAAAGTTGGACCTAATTAAAGGAAAGCAATTAACCGTTAGATTAAGAGAACTTTCAAATCAAATGAATGACACCGTGTCGGTACTCAAAGGCTAAATATCATTATGAACAGGAACAAGTGTGGCAACAGGGATCGCTGAGAAAAAAAGGTGTCAAATCAGAAGGAAACCTTACCGGTGTTATTTGCGCCCATTGGTACTGATGAGGAAGGATATTGCTTACTTGGATGCACCGGGCTATGTGAATGGGAGCTCGCCTTGGCCGCTGCAGTCTCGAAGATATCGCCAAACTCCTGGAAGGGATTGCCACCGCGTGTGAGGTTCGATGACGAGGAAGAGATGTGCACGAAGGACGAGACTCCCACTCCGGCAGCTGGAGCTTCAGCTGAAGCACCCGCATTCGTAGACGGCACGGAAGTAAAGAGATTTGACGTGCTACTACTGGTGTGCACTTTGGCCTGAGACCGCATTTTGAAGAGATCGAAATCTGAGGGATTTTTGGGGGTGGCAGGAGGAGGTGGTGGAGAGTTGGAGGGAGTTTGCTCTTCCGGGGGTTCAGTGGCCGTGCCAAAGGGATCGAAGGGATTGAGATTCACCGCCGTCTCGCCCCAAGGGTGGTGCCAGTCAGCAGTGGCGGACTTGGCCGTCGGTGTGGAAGGTGAAGCCGAGGATGTGAAGAGGTCTTCAAAAATAGAATCCGTTGTTGGTGTCGCGGCGTTACCGGTTGCAGGAGGATGGTTGGACTGCGGTGGTGATAATGATGACGGTGAGGAAGGGGAGGCGGCGGTTGATATGTCAAGGAGATCACCGATGGTAGCAGATTCCTCTAAGGTCTGGAATATCAGATTGGACTATCATTGTTCACACTCTTAACGAAAAATGGTTTTTTAGTCTAAAATAAACCCACTAGACAGAGTCCAAGACGTTAATGTTGGTACAAATGGACCACTAAATAAACTGTACCTTGCTGGAATCTGCTTGGGGTTCACTTGGAACAGTAGTAGGTGACGAGGACTGATTCTCTTCCGCTCTGGAATCCAAGGGCTCATCTTTACTCAGATAATTCGTCTCCAGGCCCTCAATCAGCGTATCCACGGCTGACGTGGGCTTCGACGAAGTGGGAGTAGCATACCCGCCTGTTTGCCGTGCCTCACCTTCATTTCTACCCGTGATCACTGGTGACCGAGGCGCTTGTGGTTGACTAGAGTTGCCAGAAGGTGATAACGGGTGACCTGTTGATGAGTAGCCTACAATGGAAGGAGTTTGCAAAGGCAGTGAAGGGATGGAACCGCAATTCTAGTCAACGGACAAATGAATGAGTACTACTGATACAGTTAAATAGCAACCAAATGTCAAGCTCGGGATCGGACATTTCAAAGAATGAAGGCGCCGTAATGTCTCCAAGTTTCGGTAGACACTTTCAAATACCCCACAGGCTTCTTTATGAGTCGGCATGTACGCACCCTTCGCTTGCTGCGTTATAATGAGATACTGCGTTGGATGTAATTACTCCGGAGGGAATTAAAGCAATGAACTGATTCATCGGGAATCCCTCCATCATACCGACTAATAAACTAGAATCCCTAGATGACAATGGCAATTTAAAGCATTACTGTAGCAGTACTACTATCAGGGCATAAAATGCTCGATGTTCACAAGCAGGACATAGTTCTACAATTGATACTAACTGTACGGCGGGTTGCATTGACCATTCCCCGTGTTTTTTGGTGGCATGAGGTTGGGTTGTTATCATTGCCTGAAGTATGCGATTCAACGTCATCACTGGAAGCTTGTCACTTTACTCATGTCAGCACACATGCTACTAGCTATTAATAATGCAGTAGTGAAGCTACCTTCAAGACTGGGTGCTCCACGAGGACTTCAGAGGTAACTCCGACGTCGAAATCGACTCAAAACAGAGATGATCGGCGGTAGATGGTTGTATCATAGCAATTTTGAACAACTACCTCAAACTTTGATTCTGCACTATGGCCAGTTCTGGAGGGACAACACAATAAAACTAATTCAAAGTGTCCAATTGATGAAATATGACCCTGCTTCCAGATTAATACAACCTCAGAGACAACACGGTCAGTAAAACAGCGTAGTCATCCTCCTCATTTCTAATTCTGAGAGTGATCATGGTGGTTTGGTAGATTCAAGACGAGGCCGAGGTGAATGAAACTGGACCGTCCAGAGGAAGCAGAACGAATTATCGTAGCGTCTAGTGCTATTTCGTCTTCAAGATCGGAGGCTTCATCGCTGAAAAATTCACTTGCGAGAACAGATGACAGTGGAATAAAGTCTTGTTTACATTACTGGTGCCTTAACAGTAAAGCTACTTTTAAATTCACATGTCTTATAACAACCTCAAAGGGACACTCAAGCACCACACTTGTGGAGGCGTTGGCGAACCCACACCAAAAGAATCACAGCCCCAATTTCATTGGAAAGTACGCCACTACACTGTAGAAGAAATCCGCACACGAAGAGTTTCATAACAATGAAGACGAGTGAAACCACGTAGAATGCTAACAATCGTTCTAAGATTAAAATCGGCATAACGGCCGAAATGGGACGATTTGAGAAGTACCCACGAAGGAGTGGCTTGAAAGAGCAATAAGATATTGACAACACCAACCAACGCACTCCGAAGCGATCAAAGACTCACGATTTTGAAAGGATAGTAGAAATGAAGTTCGCTTACCAGCAGCCCTGAGTGCAGCCGGTGACATGACCGAACGCATCTCGAAGGCATCGGAGAAGCAAAGCATGGGTTTTCGTGAGCTCTCGGGCGGTAAGGTCTCCCAAGGGAAGACGAGGGCTGCACCCTGCCGTGGACGTTCGTTAAGTGAGACGGAGAGGTGGAGCACAGTGTGGAAACTCTCAGCATACCGACTAGTCGATGGCGTGCCGATACCTTGGGAGCCAGCGTTGGATGAATGCAGGTGGTCCAGTTCCGATCTACCATGGGAAGGGAGATCAAATTAAACGAATCGTTATTATAGTGTGCAAAAATAAGTCAATGCAGATCGTATAGATGAAAGGTAAATAACAACAGAAAGTCCCTAACATATTTCACTCACTTACCGTTACACGCTATCAGCCTTCACCCACCATGGGGACTCGAAATTGCAGAATCCACTCACTTGGGATTCCCAACTCGCTATCTCCCATGTGATATCCAGAAGGGAGGGTAAACATGGCTTAATGGAATATCACTACGGAAATACAGAAGATAGGATCAACCGGTATCATTCTCCCATCTTGACACGTGGTGCAACGGTATGACGTCTTGCCTTGGATTTGTGTTGTAAAAATTAAAGTCGCAAGTTCTTTCCACTAAACCTCCCTCCCCCACCAATCTAGTTTGCTGGATGAAGTTTTCTCGCACACCTCCGAGTTCTATCGTATCCACTAGACAGCGACATTCCTCTCTGTGTGCTAATTGTTTGGCCTTCAGGAGAGAAACAACTCCAACCAATCTTGGTCTCCGGGTCATATCAGTAGCCCTCCAACCCTTCTGAAAGTCTCGGGGGGCTGCATTGATGGCAGCTGAAAGCAAACTTGACTATAAAGGACAACTATCCTCGTTTCTACTACTGAATACTAAGCCTTTTCGCGAGAGAATAAGGATATGGGGTAAAAATGGGAAATTCTGCAACGATTCCTAACAAGAGGGGTGACAATGGTGTCGAAATTTGGCAACATCCCATTAACCGAAGCGAGCGACACTGGCCATGAACCATGTGAAGAAGTTCGCTACGGAGCTTTCTACGGTGTCTGTATGAAGATGTCAGTTAAATGAAAAAGGACTACTGCCTCCATCTGTCTAGTAGCTGGATAAAACCCAGATGGATATATGGCCGGGCAGCATTGAGGTGACAGCAAAGTGGTAAGGAGAAATGGACGCAAAACCTTGTCCCCACAAAACTATTTTAAGCACTGTCCTTCATTAAATGACTGCCTTTTGGGTAGTGGTCTTACGACCGGCGATGGACATACGAGACGAACAGCACATTTCCCCTTCCATCAACACAGTTCCTACATAGAACAAAACTCCAGATCCAGTGGGATTGCCAAGAGAGATCAGCGACATCGTGGTCAAGTGTCTTCGCAGTTGCGCGCAAATTCGATGACTGGGGTGGTTAGTTAGTGGGGTGATTCCATTAAGCACCGACTGCGGTGTAATGGCCGACGCGGGAGATTGTCCAAGGGAAGAGCCGACGTCAACGCACAACAGGAGAGAGGGGGGCTATGTAATGCTTTGATTATTTATTTGACTCTTTATTTCGGTTTCCCGGGCATTGAAGGTCCCACTTTTGTACCTCCGCTGGCGGCGTGGCCCCCGGTTATAAATCTAGTACTAAGTAACGTATTTCTGAGTCATTACTTTGTCAAGTCCCTTTAAGACTCAAATTTGTGATTCATATGGAATCAAGAAAAAAAGGCGTTGATGAAAAATTACAGAATTTATATGGAAGGGATACGAAAAGGTGTACTGACAGCCTCAAAAAATAGTTTAGAAAAGAAGGAAATTAAGAAAGCTTTGGATTTATTTATGAGGAATCAAACGAATGAAAACTCACTTCAAGAAGGTAACCTTCCCAGCATCAAGATTAATGAAACCGGTGTGAAATTGCAATTGGCATATCTTGACCGACGCCGCCTGCAAACAGATGCGTAGGATTCAGTGAGGACACAAAACCCCGCCGCAAATTTTGGACAAATAATTATCACAAGTGAAGTGTTCAAATAAACTGTTAGTCCACGGTCCTATGGAATTTAAGGCATTGTCAAAGCCAAGTAAAATGAAATAGGCAAAGGAGACAGCTTTGAGGAGGGGGCGAGAAGAGGAGGAGAGGGGGAGGGAGGTTGCAAAGAGGTGTCGCATAGCCCCTACATTTTAAAGCTAAAAATCCAAAGGAAGTGTTTAAGATAGTCAACTCATCCAAATGAGCAAGGCATCAATTCGTCCTGTTATGCATACGGTGTGAAACAGGTTACGCTATGAAGGTGTAATCTCAAGAAAGCCAAGCACAGCAAGTCATAAACCATCTACAGGACAGGAAAAGAGAACACAGAACTAGTCCCTGAAGGGAATATTTTTTTTTCTGACCAGACGAAAATAAGGGAAAAGAAACCAACCTTCCCCTTTCCAGCAAAGAAGGAGCGAGCATGATAGACACTGATTGTAACATCCCCGTAAACTGAGAGGTCAAGGAAAGTGATCTCAATTTTACGATCCTCGAACTCGTAGGTCCTGAAAGGGCATCAAATCAACAGGTAAGGATTACCAAAGGATGGAAATCAGTTAATCATCATTAGCCTTGGCCTCCGCTCGAATATGAGCAGTACGGCGCTGCTGACAGGCCTTTAACTCAGGATAGACTAAGGACTCGGCAAGTTAACCTTAACTCCTGATTGCCGTATTTTCCATCGAGTATTTGATCAGTTGGCAAGTGGATTTCACCACAGTCATCGAGATCAGCACTGCATCAAAACCACTGATACGTCCCGTCTTGAGCTTAAAATATGAATTTCCTTCCAAGACCGATGCAGGCACTTGAAAATATCAGCGAACGGATTTTGAAGGTGGGAAAATTGGTACGATGGCTTGGCGGGTTCAATTTTGAAAAAAAGGGGGGCTGAGGCCACGACGGGGAGTAATGACGACGAGCTTAGAGCAACCTCTGGCCATCTGCCACTGAAACCATAGCACTTTCTTTTTTAAAATGCCAAAAATGTAAGCGTCTAGAAAAAACCTCACAGTACTCAGATTTGTATTTTGAAAAAAGGTTTGTAACTAGTTATTGTAATCTTAACGACAGATCGGTCACGTAGGAGACGTAAGCTGAGACCAATGCAAACAGTCTGAAAGCCGATAGACAAATACGTCTCACACCATGCCATTTACAGCATGTTTGACAGTTGGATTATGGCTGTTGACCTCCCCTCGTAATCTCGCATAAACTCACTGATGGAAGGGGAAAAACATCATCAGTAAACGTAACAATCGTTCCGAGTGGAGATTGGTATTTCGATTATAAACGAGCCAATCAACCAAGTGAAAGATTGGAGGAGATGAGTCGAAAAATGGCAACCAGTGGTGAGCAGAAGGCAGCAGATACATTCACCTCAAACTACTAATAAAGGTGTGCTAGCAAGAACGGACTGGTTAATAATCCTCCCTTATAATATTCGTATGACCACTGGTGGAAGTGTCAAAACACAGGTTACTTTCCACCATGAAACATCAGCGAACAAGGCTTCACGTGGTGAAGTTAACCCTTGCCACAAATGCGCCAGCCGTATGACCGTTAGTGGAGTGCTTTAGGACGCATTTGAGTGTTTTGGTTGACGGTCATCTTCTCCCATAAGTCACTGATTCAACAATTTCACGGAAGGATCTCATTGTGGGTGTAGGCAGCAGCGGTGAAGGTGGCGAACGAAGTCTCCTGTCAACGAAGCCATTGGCCCCGCGCAAGGCTTAAAGAAGAGTACTGTTGGTGGGCCCAGCACGCCATGCCGGTGCTCAGCCGCACTAGGCCATTTGGACGACAACAGCCTTGAAGCAGGCTGGCGTAGAATACTTCTTCGGCCAACCTGACAAGTCTTTCCAAGGGTGTAAATGTAACAGGAAAACCTTTGAAAAAATTCCCGTAATGTAGGCTTCTTGAACCACTCTTGCCGTAAGCCCCAGCTCAATTGAGACAGCGTATTTGCGACATCCTTGATGAAATGCGTGGTAAACTCCAGTGTGTAGCATCAGTAAAATTTCATCGCGACTGGCGATATTTGTCTCAAACTAGATCTGCATCCATCTCAAGCAGCCGTATCTAATGCGCTTACCGTTCCCCGGCGAAATTTGACAGCCGAAAGAGACAGGATTAGACAGGCGTCAGAAGGGATATCCTTACAAAGAACGTTTAATGCCTCCAAAATCTTTTTTTCTATTTACTGAAGCTGAACCTCACAAAGCAGACAGACAAAAAGTTAAGGCTCCAGCACTTCCACATAGTGGGGTGGTGGGGCGGTAACTCACCGCAAAGACTCGTAGTCAGTCATTGACGAAAAGACCTTCTTGTTGCCTTGGTAAACATCGACATAGGGACGACAACCGTTTCTGTAAAGTGAACAATTAAGAAAAATGTTGTTTAGCGAAATACACCTCTGGGGAGAGGAAATAAAGTTATTGAAAGAAATGAGCTCCTCACATTACCTAACTGCAGCGTTAATGCTTTTCCTATCTCGATATGTAGATATTCAGATGATCATCTTTGTCAGATAGAAACCTGTCCGAAAGGGATTCGGTTATTGAAAAAAAGGAGGGGACTATGATTACACCAATTCATATTATTTAAGGATCGTTTGACATCTGACCAATTTTCAAGCAAAATGAAAATTGTGACGGCAAATGTTACTAATAGTAACAAAGCATAATGACTGGTACCTAACGACACTGGTGATAAAAGTTAGAAGGACATTTATCAAGCTATATGAAACAATTTATTGTGGAATACACTAGTGAAGACAGCTATATTTTTCTGGAATACTTTGATTTTTTGCTTAACTTCCGATTTTGGTAAAGATGCCGCTTAGGGTGTCCGCGGTCTGGCCTCCAAGCTGTGCCAGTGGCCCTCCCACCGCTTCAGACCTTCTGTGGGTCGACAATACATGTTCTGCCCGAATATGGTGTCTTTATTTGTCTTCAAGAAAGTCGCGAGACGCTACATTGGTGGCAGCGTAAATCAATCTCGATCCTAAAGGACAACTACTTTGATTTCTACTGCTGGGTGATAAGCCTTAACGTGACGGAAGAAGAAGGGTACATGCTACAAATGGGAGAATGACTGACGACCCCAAGCAAAAGGCCCAAAAATGGCGACTACCTCAATTTCGTCTTCTGCGGGAATGTTATTAAAAATTGAGGTGACACTAGCCGTGACGCATCTGGAGGAGTTCATTACGGGCCTGTCTACGGTGCCCCTATGAGAATGCCGATGTGAAAAATATGACGCCTGCCCTACCTCTACACTAGCTGAATGGAACCCTAAAAGATATGGCTGGGCAGTCCCGGGAAGGAGTAACAGACGCAAAACCTTACCGCCATGGAACTACTTTATTGAATGACTCGTCTTGCAAGTCTGCCTTCTTACAACTAGCCAGCACATTCCCCTTCTTCCAATAGGGTTCTCATAGAGGACAAAACTTCGGATCCAGTAAACCTGGCGAGAGGAATCAGTGATGCTACAGTCAGTTATCTTTTCAGCTGTATGGAAAGTCGATGACTGGCACGGTTGGCTCGTGTAGTGTTTCCCTCTCAGCACCGACTACGTTGTGGTGGTTGACACGGGAGGTTGACTAAGGGGAGCGCCGGGGAAGACGTTCAAAAGAGGGGAGAAGCTATGCAACACCTTAATTGTTTGTTTAACCCTCGGTTTTGGTAACAGGACACTTGGGGGCTCCGTCATTGAACCTCCACGGCGCGGCCTCACCTTTGGGCCAGGCCTGTAGTCTCAAGCCTTACTGTACATTGAAAACGCACATTTTTGCCGAGCATTACGGCTTCTTTCGTCTTCGGGGAAGCCTCGGAACGCTGCATTGCTTAAACGTATTATAGTGATTGCCATGTTGAATCAATTTATTGCCTGCAATCACAACTTTAATTTTGAATAAAGGAGTTCGCTAAGGATGAACGACCATTCCTCAATTCTGACCTACAGGAAGGCATATGGAAGCCGTTTGTTGAGTTATATACAACGCAAGGAATCTTCTTTGTATCCAAACTCAGCAAAACTGTAACGAATCGTTTCTGTCCACTGCAAATCGACCTTTGCGCTATTGAAGTAGTGTTCGGCTCACATCACTTACAAGAGCAATCTCTCGATCCGTCTGAACATCGACAATAAAGCTACCAGCTTTTATAGTCTTTGGAAGCACTTTGACCAGCCCATAACAGGGTGAATGTTTCGTAAACCTGTGGAAGTTCATGAGAGAGAGGGAAATAGAACTATCAGGTGACCCGAAAAAGTTGGTCCAATTTTTGGCATGGATGTTTACTTTTCTGGTGCATTGTGCCACTTTTCTTTTATTTTGAACCCTCATTTCGTAAAATGTCGGTTGGACCTGATAAACATGATTCCACATTGTGTAGGTCAAAAACCCAGTTTAACCGGCTTCCAATGATGAAGTACAAACTAAATTCTTTTCGAATTTGTCACTTTATAGCCTTCGGGGAAGGCGCGGTGTGGTGACGGCTCACATACCCGTCGGAAATGGTCCATATAAATCACTTAATGTTGGTGGTGGTGGTGATGATTCACTCAACGAAGGAGGCAAGACTTTCTCTTCTTGATCATGAAAAAGAGATAATGATGTGTAGCTACTGTACAACTTGGAACAAAGTTTAACGTGAAACACACGAACAACTCGGAAGGCAGAAAAGTGGGAGCTACTTAGTGAATGGGCGCCGTCCGCATGCATTTACACGTGAAAATCGGCTACATCTTAACGACACCTCATCGAAATGCGGCGTTAGAAAGAAAGGTTCGCTGCATGACCAAACGACTCTCAATGAGAAGCACCTTTGCAAATTGAACGAAAATACCACTGGTTATCCCCTGCGCAATCCACTACCAGCCCCTTACACACCTCTAAGGCACCACTTCGACCCAGATAGACTGCTCGGGCTTTCAAGCCTGGAGGACAAAAGGCTATGGAAGAGTAAAGTCTCCAAGCTTGAGTTTTATGGAAAGGGGAAGATAAAATGTGATGGTAGGCATTCCAATGAATATTTTTAAGAGGCTTCTGCAGTTACCAAATTCTCACAACTGTTTGATAGCCATGTCGATGGAGAAACAGGACCTAGGGTGGACAAATCATGTCATTCCCAAAAAATATGGTCCCAGCGCTGCCACAAAAGCCGAAGACGAAACTCAAAACAATATCCCATAATGGCATTTGTTTTAGCTCGGCTTCCACGCTATGGGGAGGGCATCTTCGCCGAACCTCCAGTCCCTTACCTTGCTTACAATAAGGCTACTTCCAGACGCGAATGCCACATTATGACTTCATGGGACCATTCCAAGGCAACCACAACTTACTTGAGTCGGTTGAAAGATGGGATAGGGGCGATGATGATGCTCAGTAATTCCACTGGATGATTATGCGGAACTTGGGGCGGTACAGACACAAGCTTTGCCACGTAATCGATGTAGCTGAAAATGACAAAAGTTTGGACAATGATCCTCAAAAATTATGCATTTTCTTTTTTTCCAACACTTGAACCATCAAAATGACCAATTAAACTGCTACCCGAAGATTAAAAATGAGCCTGCTCGCAGGTTAAGAGCCCAAAATATCCATTTTATTGTTTTAAACTCTGCCAAACTGAAAGGGACGCTAACAACACGATGACTGATACGTAAAACATTTGCCAGACTCACCGCATTTGAGACGGCGTAAGTCGCACAGGTCCTCGCTTCGAGGCGAAAAACTTTACAGCCGTAGACGCCTCCGTAAACACACGGCAAAAGCAGAGGAGACAACAGACTAACACTGCGGACAGCTGTCGTCCATCAGTGCAGTGAATGATGCACACATTGTCCGGTTTCTGCGACAACCAGAGGCGCGCGTTTTGGCACAACTCGACGAGGGACCACAACGTTGGCGCTCGGTTGGACTCGAAGGGGCGGAAGGAAACACGGCCACCAAACCAATGGGGAAAACGATAAGCTCGTGAGCTGAGGTTATAGACGGCGTAGCTATTAGGGTGGTGACGGTCTAGGTAGAGTTGGGCCTCCTCCATGGAATTGCGGGAACCGACAACGGTTTCGAGACCGCTCTCAGCAGGGTAGGACATTACTGGAAGGAAGAAGATTTACAGAACCAAACAGATTTGCCTATCGACAACAATGCAGTTGTGGCATTGAAGAAAGCCAAGAGTCAGTGCTAAAACCCATTGAGAGAGAATTACAGGTTCAACAGGTGGTGCAACATCTGGAAGGCGAAATGGACTGATTTAAGCGTGAGTCCTCCGTTGAATTCCTTCTGTGTTATGACGAAACGTTTTTTTTAGTTACAAATACTAACTTGAGGATCTTTGCGGGTTCCTGTGGGTCTACATTTGCATTGGTGGCATGGAGCCTTGCTCATGCCATCCGTGGCGCTAGTCTCCCAGCCCTTCCACATGCAGGGGGAACTTTTCAGTCCGATAAAATTAAAGCCCTCCTGTACAGAAATAATTTTTAGCCCAGATTAACAGCTAATAGGTAGAGGTCAAGGGGTTACGATCTCAAGAATCGACATGAAGTAAACTGTTAAGGTTTATGAGCGAGCGGCCTGGATCCTATCAGGCTCCCAACCAGATCACCAACAGACCGAAACTTCGGAGCGGAGGCCTACATTGACCGAGGGGAAGCACGAGGAGTGCGCACAAGCCAGGCAACTAGCTAGGGGCGAGTGCTTGACTTTGAGCCTAAATTGTCTGAGTTTCTCGATCGTCTTAGCCTTGCGTACTTACAGGTGAGTGACCTTGAACTTAAAGTGTTTGTCAGCGCCTAAAATGGAGTCAAATGTGATCGCAGCTAATAAGAGGAGTGAGTGAGAACGATATTTCAAGAATGGATGAGAAAATAGCTACAGAAATGGCAAATAGGGATGTAGCTATCCCCGAAAGGCGTCAAAACGCCAATGAAGTGGAGGAACAATGAAATCAGGATTAGAATGATGAGAAACTACCTTACATTGTTTAATAAAGTGGATTTATAGTTTATATCAAGGCCTACATGAAATACGACGGTCATTTCAAATGCATTTATTGTAGAATATCGTCCAAACACAAAAATAGGAATTAAAAGACTAACTGAAATACTTTGATCAATTGTTTAACTCGCGGGCACCTAAGGCTCGGATTTTGTACTCCCGCTGGGTAGCACGTCTACACGTCGGGAATGCATATTCTGCCACACTACTATGACCATATTACGACTTCAGAGAAATCTCAGAGTGCCACAATGGTAGCTACGGCAAGCAAACCCGATCCTAAAGGACAACTGCCCTGATTCCCATTTTTTAATGAAAGAAAGACAACTTTTCCTGATGGAAGAATGAGTGACGACTCCTAACAGGAGGCTTAAAAGTGACGTCTATCTTCGGTAACTACCCCAGTTCCGAGCGCTGCAGGAACGTGACACTAGCCGTGAACTATCCGGAAAAATTTACCACGGAGCTGTCCACAAGTACCTGCATGAACATGCGATACCTCCTCCGCCTCTCTACCAGCTCAACAGAATCCAAACAGATTTGGCCGGGCAATACTGAAGGAAAGACAAAGTGGGGAGGAGGAATAGAGGTAAAACCCAATCCTACGGGACTATTTTTTAAACACGTCCTTTATTAAGCGACACCTTTTAGGACACTGTTATTAGGACTAGCAATGGGTATACGGGATGACCACCACACTCCCTCGACCCCAGTAGTTCCCAAACAGGACAAAACTCCAGATTTAGTAGAACTGCCAAAGGGGATCAGTGACTTTACGGTTAGATATCATCTCAGTTGCGACTGGTTCGTAGGTGGTTTTCTTACAACACCGACTAACGCTGAAATGGCCAACGTGGGAGGTTGACCAAGAGGAGTGCCAGCGTCGACGCTCAAAAGGAGAGGAGGACTCTGTAATATCTTGACTGTTTGTTCAACCCTTCGTTTTGGCTTCGCGGATGCTTAAGGCCCTGTCTTTGTACTTTGGCTGGGCGGCATGGCCTCCGGGTCATGCCAGTAGCCTCTCAGGACATCTATACGTCGGCAGTGCATATTCAGCCTTACTATCATGCCCTCTTTCATCCCCAGGACAGACACGGAGCACTGCAGAACACTGAATTCGTTAAATTAGGAAATCTTTTCTCTAGGAAATCCGGTTTCATAATCCTTGCTCTTGTCTTGCGTTTTGGTTTTAATTTACACGAATACTGCCATAAAGGCCGACGCACGAGAGTAATCAGAAAGTATGACAGAGACCACGTTCAGGACAAGGCAACTACTGCCTCCAAAATATACATACTACCCCGCGAGGCATCAGCCCGTTGTGAAACGGCCTTCACATCCTGATGGCAAGGGCTACTGGTCTTCCAAATCTTCCATACACCTGCAATAAAGTGAATTTTAGACATGCGGGCCGGACAACCCGGAAGTTAAGAGATGCCCACCTATTTGATGTAGGCCTGTTTGTCACGCGATTTGCCCTTGAAAACTTCATGATTGTGAATGATTTAAAATAACTGAAATGAATACGTCAGGATTATATTTAGTTTATAAGGTAACTAAGTAAATACGAAATCTCTCACCCGCTATTCGTGAGGTAATATACTGCAGATCCAAGTCGTTTGGGATAGCGCTAAAAGAGAAAAAAATGTTAGTGCTTAAGTAATAACAAATTATCCCAAGCTCATTCTAGGAGCAAATAGTGCCGACACATTTGAACAAGCTAACACTTTTGGGGGACAAGACAATGATTGACGGCACTGGAGTATCCGGTGAAGCAATACTACTACTAAAAAGGTGTCTGACACAAAATGCAGCAATTCACGTACCAGTCTCGATCGAAAGAGCTTAAGAGACAAATAAGAATGAAAATGTTTGATCGCTACCAGTAATGCCAAATTTGAATCCCAACCTTGATTATTATGAAGGTAAGTAGCCTGTGTCAGTAGCTACCCTACATGAGTAAAGGCTGTGAAATCATGGTCAAGCAGTGTTTGAGTTGGATCGTCTTATCCAACAGTTATAAACACTGCCAATCATGAACTGCAGAACTATTAGGTGCCAAATGCACGAGTCCTTCGCTTACTTTCACCAGGAAGACAGCAAACAAACGTGAAATCCCAGTACCATAGGCTGCGATTTACGATTGAAGGATCGGCCACCTTGAACAGCGTTTCTTGTATAAGCCTCTTGAAGTGCGCACCACCATACTCCATAATCCTTTTCCAACAAGATACACGATTACGAATTCTACTTTTTAGAGCCTTTTGCTTACCAAGGCAAGAAAGCTACTCGACCCCTTTAATTAGCCTCAACCGTCCACTTCCCCTTATTACCGCATAATGGATGAGGAGTTGATCGTAACTTGGGGGAAACAACAACAGAGAAAGAGTGAGGATGAGGATAAGGCAATACCTCTCACTCCGAATCAGCTAGAGTGTAAATCCTCACACGGGTAGGTATAGGGCACTGCCCCACGTTGTAAGAATAAGGGCGAGAACTTCCAATTATTTAGCGGTCCCTTGCAAACCAAGCTGCTGTATTGTTTTAGCCAGAGAGACAGATCTGGTGTGATCGTTTGACCTTCGACAAGCGAGCAATTCTGTCTGTAATTTACAGCAGAACACGAGAAACAGTTTTCCAGGAGTGATGTGGCACGTGACGTAAAAGAGTGAGATGGATGTTGGAGACGTTGGAGTTGTATGGTGATGATAAAGCAGTTTAGGGGGTGTGTTCCTTCCCTTGGCGAATAGTGTAACGCAAGAGCCATTTTGCATTGTAGGTAGCTTAGAAGCTTTCACTACAATTTTATCTTCCCAGTTGGCTTTATGGAAGAAAGCCAACTGTTTTCACGCTCACATCATTGTGGCACACCGGTTGGCCACGAACTGCCCGGTCCCTTCTTGACGTGTTGCATCCGTGGGTTGTACTAGGTTCTACTCCAGTTTTGGGGCCGGATTAAACTTGACTGTTAAAGCCAACAAGCTGGAATCCCATAGGCTAAATTAAATCGTCATTTCTACAAATGAGAGCTCGAAGCAAGAGGGAGGTTGCGGTGAATACAGTCGAGTATCAAACCTGAGAGGCTGGCTGATGCACGTCGATGCATTGTGACTCATGCATGTAGACGATCCCATGTATTGAACAAGTCCGTACGAGTTACAATAGGTCATTAATAGTGAGTTACACCAAAGGCCGCACAAACTGTTTCGGCCACACGGCACACCACATGGCCGACTAATCGAGCATCGTTTTCACAGGGTAATAAGTAAAAACCGAACACCTCAAGCCTCAGACCCGGAAAAAAGGTTGCAAGGGAGATCCGAGTTATGATCGGAGGGCGCTCCATTACTTGACACTAAAAAAGCGGATGAGACCGGTTTGAAAAATCTACATCCATTACTTACATTCACCGAACCCCAAGGCAAGTAACCAATACCACTGTGTCCAGACACCATGGGGGGAAGACACGCATTGACATTTCATGGACCCAGGTCTAACCTATAAAAACCCATTTTTCCAGTCGGTAATGCACACAAATTATCGCTCTTAAGGCTGAAGTGCACACTTTGACCAATCGCGCAGCTATCGAAGACAAATGTCCGCTGAATTTATGCGCTCAGACAATCACACAAGAAATGAATTCGTGCTGGCGTTTGGGAGTTTACATGGTGCTGAAACATTGCAGGCAGTTGCAGGCCAAAGAAGGTTCGATTCTCAAGCACACACGTTCGTTACCAGAGCCTTCAAGGAAAAAAAGCACCAGAGTCCAGGTGTTCTACCACTCAAATATGCTACTGACACCCGTGATACCGAATCAAATCAATCTGAGCCTCAACCAGTCTGTTTGCGGCATGATTTGCCGTAGCTAGTAGTCAACATAAACTATTTGTGAAACCGGCGTCAGGTGTGAAAACTGGGGAGTCATAAACAGATACAGAAAGGACACAGAACAGAACATCCGAACCCAAAGGGAAATGCTTAACTCACGCAGTCACCGCTTCCATAACCTTGGATGACGTCTCTCGAATATTTTTGATCAAGTGACCTGCACTACCCTTGAGGAAACCCAGCACCCCACCAGCAGGCCGCTCTGGTGCTTCAGCCGAACCGTTGGAAGAAATGGATCCATTGGTTGGGGAGGGTGCACAGTGGCGTCGGGTGTTGCGAGAGACATTCATGCCAGGTCCAACTGAAGGTCGACCCGAAGAACATGAGGGTGAAAGAGGAGGAACCGACGCCTCAGAGGAGGAAAGAGCGGTGGGAGTAGCGGCATGAGCATCTGAAAAGAGAAATTTACCAATCCTTTTTTGCCGCTGCTTCAACTATTGGGTACATGAAAGCAGAGAAGGACCGACCACTTATGCAGGTATCGAAAGGCTACAGAGGCCAAGTCTAGTTAAAATGGGATAGAATTAGCATATTCACATCCTGGGAAACCCAAAAGGCGTTGTTCCGAAAGAAACTTAATCTCAACATTCCGTCAACTAGTTAAGGCAAAAATCCACCCGGCGTAACCGATCAACTGTGAATAGTTATGAAGGGTGATAGAATCCACTGGGGACCGGAATTTAAACAGATTTTTTCCTTTCTGAAATTCGCCGTCAACTTTAAAAATTTGTTTCGATTCCAACTATCCCAAGGAATAAAATTGCTACGTCCATCACAACTTTTGCTAGCCTTTTTCCCAAGGGTCAATTGAAATGTTGTAAAAGAAGGTTTTTAAACTGTTGACTGGCATAAAGTGTTACACACTTGCGCTATGTGCTGCGTTAATGGAACAAGTGAACAGCCGGAATCTATGGCTTTTTTCCAGACAAAACCATTGGCATGGTAGAATGGATTTAGAGGTCCTACTGCCTCTCCCACTAGCAAGCCGATGGGTATCATCGTGGAGTTTGCTTCTATGAAACCACCCGGGAAGGTAAACTGGTTGTGGAGGCTTCTAAGCCGCCTGCGATGAGAAATGACGTTTGTATTGCACATGCCACTGGATCACTAGAAGACTGCCTCTCGTTTTCTGCGGCAAATTATATGCGGAAAAGCCCACGTTCTGGAGACCAAGCTACTACGTCAGATCTCTCTATCTCTCTCTGTTTGAAAAGATGCATTTCGGCGTGCAAAAGAAGCTCCTTTAAGTTTACATTTATAAGATCACCTGGGAAAGTAAAGTCGTGGCGTCAGCTGCTAACCACATATGTGCCACATGCCATGCACAAAGCCGACGACAATCACCTTGACGCATCCTGTCTTCAATTTAACCCGTAAAATGCAAAGGACTGTTTACTCACTGACCCCTCCGAGAGGCAACGAAGAATGCCGAATAAGGGGAGAGAAAAGTCCTAGCCTTATTCTTTCAAAAAAAACCTTAACGTGAAAACTTGCACCTAAAAATTTGCTTGCTAGAAGACTGCCTTACGAGTGATGTTGACGCATCACCTTCTTCTGTGTTCCACCGACAACATTTTCACGAGTGGTATTTACGATTGCGGGAAAGGATCACATGGAAGGCAAAGGTGACTTTTAGTGGAAGGCTTTATGAAAGTGACGTCTGCAACCTTCTATCTTGTTAGAGGTACTGATGGATTACAACGGCGCTTGCTTCAGTGAAGGTCTGAAGAAGCCAGGACCGAGCGATCTAGCGGCGCTTTATGGCAGAACTTAGTGAAAGTTGTAATTGACGTTATGGAAGCTACATTTGACGTGTCTACAATTCAAGCCGATTCGATGGGTTAGTTAATGGAGTTACTCCTCCTTGCTGATAATGACATGGAGGCGAACCGTCAATACATTGCTGCTTTTGTATCCTTGAGGAATTTAGTACAACGTCTAGGTACTGTTCGTTAGAAGTTCACCGACTAATGCCCTCCAAATGGTTTCATCGATCTAGGCAGAAGGGTGGTGGCTGCAGTCGATTGGACCATAAAAAAGAACAAAGGAGCTTACAACTAAGATTTTTTTTCTCACCCCACCATCAGGTCAAACACACGAAGTGCCACAAAATTCGTCCAATTTGTTGGCTTCTTGCGCCTCATTGGTACCGCAACCAATGGGTTACAGACATTGTAGATAGCCGATGAATGGAATCGTCCAATGGGCGCTCAGATGACTCCATCAACTCGTTCATCTTCAAAAGGAGACGTATTAACATGTAATTTAGTAATCACTATTTGCCCGACTAACTATTACCAAGGCTGTTTAACCATTCAAGTAGCCGTCTATTTGCACCACTGGAGGAGAGTGAAGTGGCACAAGTAATGCGGAATTTGAGATCCAGTAAACGTGGTGAGAAAGAGAGGCTTCACATTCGGCCGCTACGACTGCATCCACTTTGGTTAAAGGAGGGAAAGAAGGCTGGCTTAATCTCAAGCTGGATCACTATTTTGTCCAAACAGTTACAGTAAGCAGCCGAATGACACCGGCTAAAAACTAGACCGTTAGTGATTGACCGATAAACACAAAATCGTGTACTGAGGTAAATCATGAAGGCAAAGAAAGACCGATTTCGAGACAAGTTCTTTTGATGTTAGCTGCGTTGAAGCCTGTATCTGAAGGTTTCCATTTTCCCTTATCTAGTACTGTCCACACTAGTCTCCGTTTTGTGCTGTTGGAAGGTGATCGTTTACCGACTTATAGGTGAGGGGAAGCGAGATTTTGCCCCTCAGCGTTGACTGAGCTAACACGTCTTTGATCGGCCCAAAAGGGGTCCACGCATTACCCAACCCACACTTCTAGGGCAAACACCACGTCATCACCCAAAGACTATACTTTCGGACAAATTCATGACCATGAATATCTTGCAGGAAACCGAAAAAAAACCCTCCAGAAACCGCCAGACCTAGGGAATGGAAAGCGAGTCCCATTTCCACAAGGCAAAACGAGACTACGTCTTTTTGCTTCTGAAGACGAAAAGTTTTATAACAGTGGAACGCACAACTAGTCCGTGTGTCACGTTGGAAGGGGCCTGGAGGCAAGAATGGCGAAGATGTCAATAAAGTGTTTTCATAACCTTTCTACAGTCTTTGATTTTCAACACAAAATCAAACAAGTTTGATACCAACAACAAAATTTTGCTATCCAAATGACAAGCTTTTTCCTCCTAAGTCCATTTGATAAGATGTGGTGGAGTTTCAGGTTACGAGAAGGAATGAAGCTTCTGTGTTCAGTTACTACGGTTGCTTAATCTCAAGCTACCTCGCAATTCCGTCCTGAACCTGCAGTAGTCCGCTTACCAGATGGAGTTCTGAAGGTTAATAAAATCGGTTAGTGGGTGAGCCATCAGAGCCGTTTCGGTGGGCATTCACCCCCACTGCTTCTCTCCAACCGGTACACCTTAGCCAACACAACAGAAAAGTGAGAGTATTTGTCCTCCGCAAATAATAGCAGGCTTCAAAGAGAGTTTCACAGTCTAGCTTCATCCAGTTTAGTGAATGTTCAAGTCTAGCGTGACTCATCTTCGTCTAGAAGGGATCCCAATGAGAGCTTTAACCACCAACTCCATGATTTTTTTCAGCCGCTTCCATCGAATTCGAAAAGATGAAGAAAAGAAGTTGTGATAATTTGTCCAGAAAGCACCACAAAAAGGCGATTTGAAACCTTAACGGGGCACGAAAACGAGTAGGAAACATGGTTGATGAGGTTGCGCTTGCACTAAGATAGCCAAAAGACAAGTGAAATTGGGATGAAAAGGGGGCTGTCGACTACAAAAAAAAACTATCGAGACGAAAAGACATTTTATTGTGGTCGAACTAGGGAGACTTTTTTTGGCTGCGCACAGGTGTTATCAGATGAGTACTCTTGTCCGGAAGGAAGTACGATTGTCCAATGATTTTACTTCGGCAATATCAAAGCATTGTCGCCGTTGTTACTGATAATTTACGTGTAATGGGAGGTGGATGAGTCCAGCTGCCTTCGCTTCAACACCATCAGCATCAGCCACTTCGAACTCAGGTCCTTTTGAAGATTCAAACAGACTTCCAGAATGAGCGTTTCAAAGTATCACACTTTTGCCAATTGAATGCTTCATTGGTATCCTGAACTGTCAACACTGTTGTAGTGGCCCCACTATGGAACATACTTGGAAACGATCACAGGACTCGCATGCTTCCTCCATAGTGTCAGAGGACATTGCTCTCAATCCATTCGTAATGAAAGGCAGATGTATTCACGGCCCCCAATTCACCGCAATTATTCACCACTCGGCCCTCAGCTCAGGACTACTACGTGGCTGAAAGGATCGAAAAGACGTCCAGGCACTTGCACAATAGCAGGAGGCACACACGTCTAGTCAGTTAACTGTTCTGAAGAAAAATAGTGCACAATTTTGTCCACAGAGATGCTGTGAGAGGTAGGATCACTTTTTTCTCCACGCCTTCAACAGTAGTGAGGCACTATATCGCCTCATTCAACTCCAGAGAGGCTTCAAAATTAAACTGATGGCATGAATTTCACGCTTCATGAAATATGGTCTTTCCGGGTGAAGTTTAATAATAAAGACGCTGGTTTCACTCAGCCTGCTCGTTAACCAGTCCCTTTAACTGGGGAAATCAGATCACCCACACGGCGGATTCACAGAGAACCCCGGAGGTGGAATTTGACTGACAGAGGCAACATTCAGCAGGAGGGCCATATCCTTTAGACAAATCCATTAGCTTCTTTCTATGAGCAGGATAAATAAGAGTACTGCTTGTGCAACATCCTTAACATTCAACTGTTAACCTGATCCCAAAAAGGATGCATCAGTTGGGCCACTGCTTTACCTGCTAAAGCGAAGGACGGCTAGTCACAGGCGTATCCCACCTCCAAGTATTAAGTCTAGTACATGCACATAACGCACAAGACTCATTTCATCACACATTTCAGCTAATTACCTATTAGTGATGCCAGGCTGGACGAAGGTGTGACAAGCACTGGAGGGCTTTTTTCCCTCCAAAAAAGGTTTTCGTTCATAAACGGCATCGAATGGGAAGTAGTAATCAATAATTGGGCATGAATGAACCACACTATAAGGTAGATCAGAAGATGATGGCGCTAAGATCAGAAAGTATCAAGACTGGTCCGCCTTCCCAACGCTGAACAATCCTCCTTATTAGCACCTTACGTGATTGGCATGATTTCGTGGTAAGTAGCAAATTTTGTCCATATGATTTCGATTTAACAGAGGGCAGTGACCGTCCCGCTACCTCCTTGAGGCGAGTTATGATAATAATGGCACAGACAAGAAGGCAGTGCTGACTTGCACAACAAATTAGTAGGCGAGAACTGCTCCAAACAAGATCTGGACGGAGAGTTGGGGGAAGATTAATTTTTACCAATTCCTTACAGAGAATTGCATACAAAACCGTTGATAGCCCCGAGCTCACAGGAGATCGGTACCAAATTGCTGCAAATTACAATAGGAATTACTCCAACAGTTGAAGACTACAATGGAGGAAATTCTAGACTGCAAAGCTGTTACGAGTTTTGTAATTGAAAAACGCAATTACTGAACCCATATGTGCGGAAATAACAGTTTAATGAAGACGGCACGCCTTTATAACCGACTACTATGAGTGCTTATGACAAAAAAATCACCAGAATTCAAATTTACACCGGTATTAGGGGTTAATATTTTTGTCTATTAATCAAATCTAATGCTTTAACGAATCCTCAACAAGTAAGAAGCTCGGGGAACACACCTATTGTATGCAGAACAGGTTGTACATTTGCGATTAAAATAAACCATTCCCACTACTTATTCATCTCGATGAGAAGACAAAGAATTTTGAATAAGTTTTAAAGAACAGCATCAAACACCCGAAACCCGTTTGAAGATTGACGTGAGTAAGCTGTTTTTATTGTTTTTGGATCACAAAGTCTGAGAGCCAGTGGCACTTGAAATAATGAGCACCCAGAAACATGCAAGGATTGAAAAGTAATAAGTTTGCAACTAACTTAAACGCCAAAGGCGGCTCGAACTCAGTAGTGATCATAGCATAAAACAAAACCGAGAAGGCACTGATAATTAAGCGTAGAATTCAACCCACAAATTATGGAGTAAGGAAATTCCCACCTTTTGGCTTCGTACAGTTCCGCAATCGTCGTTTCACCTCCTCATTGAAGATGATTGAGTCGAAAGCAGATACGTTTATGGTAGTGGCAAGGTCGGAGAGCTCACCGTAGATGGAGTTTATGCTGGGCCGTTGGGTCGGATCAACCAATAACATTTGGCCTAAGTGGAGAAAAGGGAGAAAGGCAGGCAGTTGAGGGAGCGAATAAACCTCAATCACTGGGGCTGAAAAAGAACCTAGATGGGGTGCTTTGAAAAGGTGTCATATGGGAAATGAAACAACGATTTGCTTAATTGTGGAAGCATGCAGCTAAATTAATCGCTTTGACATGAGATGTTTGAGGAGACGCCTAGCAAATCTCTACAGTTAGCCAACGTAGATTCACAAATTTGCCAAGACAAAATGAGAGCAACAACCTTGCGTGACTTGGTATCATTATAAGGGATAAAGCAACAACAGCAATTGAAAAGAGTTGGAGGGAATCGCCATCAAGCCGACTCCACCGCTGTGCTCAAAGAACGACTCTTTTCTTCGCATAGCACTAGTCAAATAGAGGCAGATTTTCTGGGAAGATGGAGACAAATTCACACAAAGCTCTTGATTTTGATAGCTTTTAATTCACAATCGCTCTTTGAAATGAACTGCTCAAAGCGGAAATCGTGGTCCTGATTAGGCGATAGAAGTAGATTCCACACGAGGTGGCCAATGCGGTCGGTAAATCAGATAGAGTTGAGAACAAATTATAGGAAAAACATAAAATCTTGCAGATAGCGAATTGTAATTTTAGCCGTTCTGAAGTCATTCATGTCAAGCAGCTATAGAAATTGACAGAAGGGACGAAAGTGATACACTAAATTTTTACTGGATAAGTTAACCCAACGTGCTCGAGTGCGCTGTCTACTTGCGTGGTCGCTTCCTCCACGATATTCCATTCCCAGATGTTGGCATAAGTGCGAACCCGCTTCTTCAACGCTCTCTACAATTTGGTTAGCAGCAACGTATGGCTCTCCACTCTTCGTGATCAAAGGTGAATGGTCATCCCTCCACAAATTGCCTAACGATTTTTAGTCGGTGCGGTGTTCTGCTACTGTACATCCCACCTCCTTCAAATGCTATACACCAAAAAATTTGACAGGAACCGAGCTCTCCGCCCCAAATTTGGAACCGAGTTAGACAGACAAACTGGGATCACACCTCTCAAGTCCAACCGACACTTCAAGAGATGAGGGTTCAAGGTAAGGGGATAAATGCTGATTACGATAAATAGTACTGTACTGCGAGATTAACGCATGTCTATACTTTATAAGACATAGAAGGGAGCGGCAATTTACAAGACCCTGGAGAGCACAACGAGTTGAACCGGCAAAGATTCAAGATAACTATGACTCGATTCTTAGGTTGTGCAAAAGACGCTGACTCAAGTACACTGCTAGACCTTTTTATAAGACCATTGAAATTAGGGACATTCTTCAGTCAAACTTGAAGGCGTGCCAAAAAAAACGCCTTGAGAAACAATGAAAGGAAAGCTCTATTCCTAAAGGTGCATAACTTACTCACAGTCGGAACCCTTTGCATCTCCCGTATTCACATTCTCTAGGCATTGCGCAATCACATGATCATATATGAAATGGACAGGTGGAAAACAAACGTGGGATAGAAATGGTAGTGATTAAGGCTAGGCTTTCCGTTTCTGACCGCAAGAGATAAAGTGAGACCCAAAATGGTGGTTATTTCAATGGATAAAGCATTCTAAGAGGCTTTCTAAGGTTGTTTAATTGCGAATTCACCAAATGCAGAAAATTGCTGGGTTATCGTATTCCTGTCAACATTTAGAACCTCCGTTTTCTTGACCAATCGCTAAATGACAGAAGATTTAAATATGAGATAGTGAAAGACTTGCATGCAGAACTATAAAAATTCAAATCTCTTCATTTCCTGTCATATTTTAAGAGTAGCTAACAATTCCTTTGGCATATGCACTGGACCCCAAAAGGAAAATATTCATTGATATTGACCTGAGGCCACCCCAATAAAATACGTCTATTCTTGCAGGAAGCAAGCCATTAATCCAAGCTCCAGAAGTTTCATCGAATACACTACATCAAGATTCTTAAATACACCTAACATGTCAAGAAATACATGATAAAGGCTTGAACACAAAATAATGATAAGCCTATCCACGAGACTCTTAAAAGAGGAATATTTTGAGGTACTTTGCCTGGGTCTGATCAAGTGCAAAAATAGCTAGCACACACCCTGCCCAGGTAAATAATGGAAAATGGGTCACTTCTGACAGTTTGATTGAAAGCCATTTACAATTGAACTCATGCAAAAGAAGTTTGCGATATATGACTACCCATATCTACGCAGGTTCACCTCAACAAACAGAGGATTCAACTAAAAGAGAACAGGAATTTCCTTACAAGATCCTGCAAAGAGTATTAGATGCATGAAAATTTCACCCAGAAAGGAAAGTAGGATGAAAATGTTACTTTTGCAGCAGCTCATTTAAGTGTGTACTGGATAAGTGTAAACCCAACTCCAACACCCAACCAACGCTATTCGAGATAATAACTGAAGCGTTCAGGTAACCACTAGCAAGTCATCAACTACGGAAGCAAGGGGGATTCACGTGCGTTTTTGAAGCCAAACAAGACGAATGATGAAATAGTGGAGGCATAAAAACGACAAAATGAGTCGATTGAAACTCACGAATCAGGTTATGAAAGGGTTCAAAGCCGGTATCACAGGGAGGGAGATTGAAATTTGCGTTCAAGATGGCCAGTTTTGCCGAATCTTCGAAGGGATGATATCCACAGACTAGGTAGAACATTATGCATCCGAAAGCCTAAGCACAATTGCATAGGATTTGTGATCGTATAATCGAATTTCAAGAATAAGTACATTAGAGAAATCAAAATGTGCATGCAATGTTCAAATTCCAAATTCCCGATTTGAAAAAGAGAAAATTAGTAAATTTTACACAAATAAAGATGTGTGAATGAAACGAGGTAATCCGCACCCAAATGTCCAGAGCTTCGTTGATGGGATAGTTGAGATATAAATCCAACATTTCTGGAGCTCTATACATAGGCGTTGTAACCTTCTCCAGCTAAATATCAACAAAAAAATAACAGTAGAAATGATAGGAGCATGACTTAACAGCACAATAGGCCAAAGTTAGAGAAAACTTAAACTTGGTTTTATAAGATAGCATTCTTCATTAGAGATAAATGCAGTAAACCAGTGCTTACACTTTCCTGCACTCGACCACGTTCAACAGCCGACCACGTCACACTAGGAGCAAAAGCTTCCGTCGTGGCACTGCCGAAATCACATAATTTTATGGTGAACGATTCTGAGAGGAGAATATTTTCAATTTTCAGATCACGATGGATTATCGGAGGTGACTGCTTGTGCATGTGCTGTATGGCGCAGCTGGTCTGCGCAAGGATTTGTAAGACAATATTCAAAGGTAGGTGCTTGCCTTGATGAGAAGGAGGCAGATAGTCTTTTAGAGGACCTCCTAAAATCATTTCAAATAAATGCGCAGCAGATGGCAGAAGTAGAGTATGCTTGCCTCGAAAAGAGTTGCCTACCCGAACATAGTTCCGTAACGATGAGAAACTCGTTCCCGACTTGTTTTCCCCTTTCCTTACCAGCGCATGCAACCCCAAAGAACTTCATAATATTTGGATGTCCAGAGAGCCGTTTCTGAGCAGCCGCTTGATTAAAAATGTTAATACAAGCATACCAGTATATCAATTTCGTTCATAATATCAGTAACGGCTTCCTGGTCTTGCGCAAAAAGCCGCTAAAGATGACAGGACGAGAAAAGGCCTACCTTTATAGCAAACGACTTTCCTTGAGATGGGTCATAGCCCTCAAATACGACAGCATAACCGCCTAAAAGTAACATACTGATATCGGTACATGCCTTCCGCGATTACGCGCCTTATCCGAAAGTGAGTTTTTCCTATTCCAACTGACTCGCCTACCAATTCATGCTCTTTTACTCCCTGACTTGGCCCTCCAAAATAGCAAAATGCTGATTTAATAAAATCCTCCATATACCCAGTCCTTAAAAGGAGCTCTGCGGGTAGTAGTTTAGTCAAAGCATCTAACGTTGAGCATAAATAAACCATTTTAATGATTAAATTCAAACGTTTTTTTATTTCATTCAGGTGTTTTTCCATTTAAAACAGCCAAAAGCTAGGTTTATAGCTCTTTGATGCATTTTCGTAATACTATTAAGCGCCCGTTTTTACAAATCTATTTAAAATACAGGAATTAGTTTATCCCAATGATAACATGGGCCACTAACAATTTAGTCAAACAAAGTGCGATTTTTAAATATTTACGTGTTTTTCAAGTATGTTTGAGGAGCCACAATTTTTCAACATTGAATAACTTATCCTGAACTACTCAGCGACTTGGGTACCTATGACGCCAAGAAACTGACGACCTAAGGTAAGAGCCTAAGGTTCTTTCAGAATTTGCACCTTTGTCAGTAGACGCTTATCGCTTTGACCACATTCCTGATAAACCGGTAAGTTTAGCTGGAATTATCTTATTTTATTCTTCTTTGTGCCTTTTTCCAGTATTGGTCACTCGACGATGATTTTTCATGAGCCCCCATTCGTTCGCCGTTAAGTAACCAATGTTTGGCGCTATAAAAATGAAACTGAACGTCAATTTTAATACAAGATTACACTTGTGCAGAATGCAGTATCAATGGCGGGATTATATGCTTCCCGACATAGACAAAATGCAACGCCAAGATTTGAAAATATCATGTGAAGTAGTTCTTTTCAGATATGGATTAGATTTAGTAGTGGTGCATTGCACAAATTGCGATTTGCTCAAAAAACTGCCTTGTTGAACTTAATAAGACAAAATGGCACTTCAAGATGCTGCATTCAGCATCTCGCTTAATACCTGTCATTTACAGTGCCATTTAAAAAAATCTCTTAACACCCGCTAAACAAATTACTTCTAGTAAAAAACCTAAGCAAATTTAATTTCACTTCCAATATGGAAGACCTTCTTGTCATATTCTGATGAAATATGGCAAAAAAGGAAATTTAAATAAAATATCTTTACAAAAATTAAAAACTGAGCTTAATGAACCGATTGCCCAGCAACATTCACCCTAAATTAACTTCATTTCCTCTGTTCTTTGGGTCTTTTCTGTAAACCCACTTCGCAGCCAGGTACTGCTGAGACCTCTTCTCAGACAAAATGAGAAGTTGAAATGGAAAGTCTCTCCATTTGCACTGCGTTAGTAGCACAATTTTCTAGGCCCCTCCGTGATGAGTAGTCTACATTTTTGACAAACATTTTCTTAGTCTGTCAAGTCTTAGAACTTTGCTGATGCCTTAACAAGGTATAGCAGAATGCTCAATGATTATGTTAGAATGCAAAGACTGGGAGGCTATGTGTATGGCCATGGAGTCGTGCAGCCTAGGGGATTTGCGGCCTAAGGAGACAGTTTCAGTTAAAGGACTAAAATAGTTGCGAAACCCCCACCTATTTATGCATGTGAATGCCGAAATTTTCACAAAATTTACATGGGTTAACAGATCTTCGGAAAGTAGCTGAGCACTCCTAAACCTTGAGGCTCGTGTGCTCGGAGGCCTGTCAAGTCCCGAAACCGACAGAGCCTCAGTAAGGATGGCTTCACTGTCGACGTGCGCAAGCAGGAAAGTAACTACAGCTTGTTCACTCGAAGAAAACAACCAGTCGGACAGTAAGGAATAATGGAGACAGGAGGTGACCTTGAACCCCTTTTGAGCCAATCAGGAGGGAACAAGAGCAGCACGATCTCTAGGCTGTGCAGAAAAGTAGCCACACTAATGAAAGCTTCTCCTGAAGGTTTCGTGTATCCCCTGTACGCAAAATCTCCCCTAAATCATCCTCTACGATATTATTTACGCATTAGAAGTCACGGTTTACCAGTGTGAACACCCATTAGGTGACACCGAATTGTAAAGGGCCGCCTAAGAAATGCTCGGTAACACTGCAGTATCAGTAGCAGTTGAGTCCCGGTTAAACAAATAATCATTGCTGGATTTATGACCTACTGGAGATACAAACTATGTACTTCCTGCCCCAACTGTACACACCTCGTGATCGTCAGTTACAGATAACCAGGCTAAGCATTTCCTCGTGGAGTCACCTACTCCTAGTGATTGTAAAATTTATGGCTTGCAGTTTACTTTGCCCTCCTCTTGGCGGAATGAATAGGATTGACACTCGTCGAGGTGGTTAACTAGCAACTGTGAGGCAACCTCAAGGAATTATTTCAAAGATGAACCCATCCAATGCCATTGCGGCGGTTTTAGAAGCCAACTTGACAGCAAGGGGACCCTGCTGACAACAGGAAGGGAGGCCAAGACTTGAATTCCCACCTAACCTCACCGAATGAACAAAAGGTAGACTAATAGGAAGAATTTCCGTTCTTCATTGGAAGCGGTTCCGACTATTTACACAGTATCTGGTTAGCATGTATGCCTTTGTGTGCTAAAAAAGGGAAAAAAGACATTCTGATTATTTGAAGACAGGTGAGTTAGCTGACCAGATTGTTGGCAATGTCTGAGGTGTACTGGGTCAGGGGATGCACACACACGCTCTCCACAAAGAGGACCTCCTTTGGCGGTCCTCGCTTCTTGTGGCCATCACTGCTTGCCGTAATCACCACAGGGCTGTCATCCGGTAAGGTGATGGCTGACTTTTTGGTGGAGGGTTGTTCACTCATCATTAACTCCGATTGACCAACATTGCTCTCCAGACGGACATTACGCATTTTCGACTTGTCCAGACATATTAGGGAGGCAAATCCCATTCGAAATGTGTCACTGAAGAAGGCATATAGAATGGGATTAACACAACTGTTACCATAGGAGAGAATATTTCCCAAGATGTGGAAGAATCGAAATGAGATGGTTGGAATGTCTTTGTAAAAGTTCTGGATCATAAAAACCACCTGAATGGGCAACCAACAGGCGGCAAAGACAATAACCACCACAATGACTAGTTTAGTGGCTTTCCGTTTGCCTCGATGCGCCTCCACCGACTTGGACATCTTGGAGACGCGTCCACAAAGGAGTTCTCGAAGGAGGATGCTGTAGAAGATGCAGATCATAGTTAAGGGGAATGCGTATCCCAGGGCAAAGAAGACACCATAAAATATCCGGCTGTGATACTGATTCATCCCCGTGACAACCCCCTCAGGTGTGACCTCAAATATCCACCCATTGTGACATATCGGTCGTTGGCAGCTTGTCACATTGTCCATGTCAATGGCGTAGATAATTCTTGAGGTGATGGAAATGGGTAGAGTTGCACCGGTGACAATGATCCACATGATAATGACGGTAATCACTGTATTCCTCGTGGTTCGCCATAGCCTACTTTGAAGGGGATAAACCACAGCTAGAAACCGATCCAAACACATCAACACAAGGGTATATACACTGCAGTAGACAGAGAAGTAGGTAGTAAAGAGGTAGAGTTTACACAGCATCTCGGGTAGGGGCCAATTGCCTGTCACATAGACCATAGCAGTGAAGGGCACACAGAAGATAATGAAGGAGAGGTCCGCCATAGCCAAGGAGACAATGAGAATGTTGGCGCTATTTCGCATTGTCGCGAAGCCTGTTATCACGATGATGACAAGGAGGTTGCCGGAGAAGCCGATGATGTCAACTATGCCAAAGAGGACGGGAACTACGTAACGAGTTAGAATGGTGATGGGATCGGACACATCCACATCGACACACACCGGGTAGGTGGAGAGATTGAAGGCGTCTGATTCGGTCATTCCTTTTTTTTCTTTTCTTTACCTCTCTATAATCTGGAAATGCAAAGGAGAGATCAGCGTTGGTTATTTTTGGCTCAGCTTATCCCGATAGTTGGATGTGAGTTTACTTGGCCCATCTGGGGATGGTCCGCGCCAGTCCCACTCACATTTGCGCAGTGTTAAACTGTCAGTCAGCTAGCCAGTTCTGAATTCTCAAAAAAGTGTTTTGTTTTTGCCCTCCAACATCATAAACAGAAATTTGTTTTGTTCCCCTCCTTTTAGCAGGCAAAACTAGAGCGGGTTAGGTATCATTTTTTTGTTCTCCCGGGGGGGGGGGGAGAAAAACTTTCGTCCCGATGCTGAGAAAGTTTTTCGTACAGTTTTTAAAACAAAAAAGTCTAACAGAAACTGAATTAAAAGAAAGGAAAAAGGTGGTTGGTAAAAGCTTTTTCAGTCATTTAATTTGATGAAATGATCATGAAGACTTTGCTACTCCAACAGGAGACACCGAGTGGTCGCCAGTTTCGCCTTCTCAGAAGGTGACTCTAATTTGGAAGAAGAACAACCAAATGATTAAAAGATTCTTCAATGCTATGAAACGACTATATGCATTACTGGGAGGAAGATGATGGAACCTGGGGGAAGGAAGATGGGAAGGGGAGTGAGGCAGGAACCCCATCGGCGTGGAGTTGCGGAGATGTCAACCTCAAATGTCCGGCTTCCAGCAGCAAAGTTGGCACTCAACCCTTGCAGTAGCTCCTACCGCGACTTTACCTTGACACCTGACTTTATGGGTATCAACTAAATCATATCAGACGCGTCAGTCGTCAGTATTTCAAGGTGGCAATAGCGACACACAACTCGTTGATTTGATTCACCGTCATTATCGAGGGATTTATTTGACCCTTCCTTGTAGATGCGGTGTTCTGTCAAGACACCTGCGACATGACAACAGCATATTTGACGGAAAACTGGCTTCTCCCACCAGTTATGGAAGTGGATCAAGCTAGGAATGTAAAGGCGACAAGGTGGAATCGCATTTGCCGGGTTTGGCCTGCGCTTTGTGAAATGAGCGCACCCCATTAAGGAGAAAGGAGAATTAGTAGACTAATACAGACCATTGCATCGTAGAGCGTGGGCATAAGCAAATGCCTGCATTTGACAAGTCCCTACAAGTGGCAACAAGTCATTGCAGTAGGTTGCACCTCTTGGCCACTCGATTTGCCGAAAGGAGGGCATAAACTTCTCCACAATGTCTGAAAACCCTTAAAGTGTGTCAAATCGGCAGAATTCCCCTTTGTAAAGGTTTAAATACTAGCCTGCATCTCCAGACAACGGTGGCTTGCCAGACAGCGCGACCAGAAAAAGATGAGGTACTACACTCTCCTTTCTCCATCTCCCCTGACACTAAAAGTATAGACTGCGGGGGTGTTTTGATCATCTCCTAACACCAGGCAAGAGGAATTGGGACGCATTATAAATTAGTAATTTCTGAATTGAAAAGTGCCATTTGGATTTTACGGCCTTGGTTTGTGGACCTGGCCGATCTGCGCCACATCAAAGGATTCCACGGGATCACGACAACAGCGCGGTGACGCCTACGGTCGCCTCACTCTACAACCAATACAAATTTTCCTTCTCACTAATTTCTAATGCTAACTTTTTTTGTTGTTGGCGGGGTATTTTAAGACAAAATAACCTTTCAGACATCAATGAAGTGTAGGGGAACTGAAGGGTATCAGCATCGCTCGGAAGCCATGATGCAAAGCTGGAATTTAGTGTCAATTCACCTCGGTGTACCTGCTGAGGAGACAATAGGCAAGCCGGCATGAAGAGCAAACTTAAAAGTCAAAAAATATGTTCCATTTGTAGGGACCGATAGAAAGTTTCGAAATATCCGCGTTAATTTTGGAGGCTTAAACAAGGCCTAATCCAATATTTATAGTTTTACGTGTGGTTTATTACAGTGCCGCACGTTTTTATACAGTGCTATGTAAGGGTAAGACTACTGGGAAATCGCTGCTCTAAATCCATTTAGTTAATCAAAAAGCCGCCTTTAATGATTGCCCCACTAGAATGAGAATAGAGCGCGAGTTAAAGCACCGAGGTTTATGGCAAGAGAGGTTGTTTCTGCAAAAATTAGAACAATTAATTAATAAAAAACTGCCACGGTGTCTACAAAGACATCGCTTTCAGTTGTTTTCGTGTTTTTGTGGCTCAAACCGACGGCGCTTATAAATAATCAGATGTCGTCAGAAATGGAATTTTTAACATAACCAGAGGAAGAACTAAATGCAAAGAAACAAAACATTTACAACTACTCTGCTATTTTTTATTAATTCTGTTTGATCTCTCGATAAAGGTGACAAGGCGCTGTCAAGCATCTTAACAAGATATATTTGCCGTGATTTGACCTCGGAAAGAGTAGAGATAAACTGCTTTTAGTAGTCGGCAAATTAATGTAAACTACTTGTTCGTGAATAAGGCGATGCATATTTCACCCATCAAGTTTGCGTGTTGGAGGCAATAAATGTCAAGACATCCATGGCCTTCCTCCTTGAAGCTTTCGAGGAAGTTACTCGATAATATGCGCATTTGCACATTTTATTCAGGCCTGCCGATTCAGGCAACAAAGATAGTAAGAAAAATGTCACATTTAGATTTTTGTAGATTTTATTAACCAGCTGCTAAGACCTGCCACAAGTAAACCTACTAGCCTAAGCAAGAAGATAGCGTCAATTTCCCAAAATATGGAAAGTGACAGATTTAAAAACGATTCAAACATTGGTGTTTTTATAGGCATTTTATTGAGGATGTGTAAAATTCAAAGATAAATTGAAGCATTTAACAAACCTAAATCATTTATTGTGAGAGGCGAAGATTTGGGTCATCCCACTTTGTTTGAATAAATCAAAATTAAAACACTAAGTTTATTTACATGTCAGATAAGCCGCTTTGGTTGCTTTTTTCATCAACTTCTAGAGCTACCAAGCAATTAAGCCAAATATTCTGCGTTTTTACCTCGTTTAATGGTTTAAGGGATTAGAGTAGTATTAAATTGTTGGCTTACCGATGAGAATTTAGGCTCCTCTTGCCTACCAACAACATTTAAGTGACATTCTTTAAACTCGATTAGCAATGTACCACCTAATTTCCCATTGGTTCGAAGGGACGGTTAAGTTGTTGACCAATCGCACGATGCTTTGGGATATCATTAGGGTAGGTCATTATCCCAGTGGTAATCAAAAGAGTCAAATTTTGCAGTCGCTTATCCATTGTTCTACTTACCAGTCACTCAACTACTGGTATAAACAGCATTATTTTGGCAGCACAGACCCTTTACTTTCCGTTACAGTGCGTAAAAGTCGTTTGTAACAAGTCCATACATTTATTCAAAAAGATAATCAACTTTGAGCAATGTACAAAAATAACGTTTCGATAACAGAAGTTAATAAAAGAGTCCCTTAAGACTCATTCAATGTTGGCAGTGGACGTCACAAAGATTAATGCGGTAGCATCAAATCCTCTCACAAAGTGACGGCTTGAATTAGGGGTCAAGGCGATGGTGGGGTGAGTCGCACTTGAGGCACATGTTAACATCCCGTGTTTTTGGATTTTCCAAGTATTCTCTACAGAAGTAATCACGTATAACGATAGTAATATCCTTCGAACTCATCATTCCTCCTGCTCTCTACTTTTTACACATATGATTAACATTTTTGTGGCAGTTTAACACTTTTGGTGAGCAGTTAAGATGTACTGCATTAGACTGATATGATGTACTCGATAGTGTACTTTTACCCCGATAAATCTGATATGGCACACATTTTCTCTTTTTTACCTCCAAAGTACACGAAGCGAGCACTTCAATAATGGACAATTTTTAAGCAATAAAATTGCAAGAATTTGTGCTATTCTATCAATCATTAAAATTAAGGGGCGTAAAAACAAATGATGAAACACAATAAAATTTGGAAATGATTTAAAATAGCAGTAATTGAATTATATTGGCCCTATATCAAGGACTGGGTTCTTGTGAAGTGACCTTTTGATGGTCTGGGTGGAAGGTGGCAAATCTGCCTCCCCTTTTTCCTCAAAAAGAGTCGATATACCGATAAATTTGAGTTACATCTACGCAGTTCTTGATGTCCTTTTGTCTTTTTTCATTAACAACATGGTGGTTTAAGTGTGCCTTCTAAAATTGAAGCAACAAGAGTGACCGATAGGCCGCTAACGATTCCCAGGAGGCAAACGAGATCCGATCCCGTACAGCCTGGGTTTGCTGTTTATTGATGTAACACAAGTCAAATAAACAGTACCTCTACCTAATCTGCTTTTTAACTGTATGAAAGCCAAAGTTAAAGAAAAAACGTTAAATCTATTGCAGGTGCGTCAATTCCAGGCCAAATTTGAGTGAATCCGAGGTTTTGACTGGTTTGAAATGGAGTTCTTTATTACAAATAGACAAAGCGCAAATGCAAAAAAGCAAAAATAGTATTCCTATATCAAAATATGCAATTGAGATGGAAGCAACAAATGCTAGGGTACTTTTGTTTCTAGTGGATGTTCTTTACTACTTTACACAGTACATACATATCGTTTTGTGATATAGTAATCTCTACTCGCTTTTTTTGCAATAACCTTAAATTTTTAATAAAGAAGGAGTAAGTATCTTATTCAAGTGCTCTTTGTGCCCTACTCTAAGGGTTTTACCAAGGGGGGTAGGAGGAATGTGGCATTTTATATATTTGAAAGAAAAAAAATTATAATTAGGGGGTCGAAAGTAATGAGCACCTGGTGGCAAACACTCGAGGCGGTACTAACATCAGTAAGTGTTGCGTTGAGGCACCCGTCCAAGACCATCAATCTAAATTAGACCTACCATACGGCTAGCTAGGAGACGCACTGCATAATACACCAAATCAGTCTCGTTCAATGCTCATTAAGTGTGGAGAAAGGTGGTAAATGATTCTACTTTCTACATAAAAATGTTTAAAAGTAACACTGCAGAATACTCATTT